CTGCCTGGAATTGAACCCAGGTGGTTCGCTTTTTTGTTTTTCCACTTCCATATTTGGTAAACAAAATTACAATAATGATACAGTGAGGATAGAATGAGGGCACATAAAGATGTTAGAGATGAAACAATGTGGAGAACTGAAGCCTTTCTTTATTGCTTATTTTCGTATATCACTTGATATTCAACTTATGTTATCTATTGTTTACCAAACCTGCAGTACCAATCCTTATTTTTGCTGTTCACCCTCATGTAGGAATCCAAAATGTCTTGTACAAGTTATTGAGTTGACTTAAGGATACAACGAAGATCTTTACTGTATCCTCATTGTATTATCAAATCACCTTAAGAACATCTTGTTGTTAATTTATACAACATGCTTCCTGGGAGGTCATGACTTGGAGGTATTTACAACAACAGAGTTTGTAGCTAAGTCAGGGGTGAGGAGAAGTGAGGAGAATGACCATAGATAGAAAAAACAGATCTTCAGGCGTGATCTAAAGTTGGACAAGGAGGAGGCAAGGCAGAGGGATTTTGGCCAACAGTTCCTGTTGTCGTAGTGTGTGAAAACATGGCCACTGATGGTGAAGTGCAGGGAATAAGGGATGTGCAGGATCCCAGTACCACCTGAGTGAAGAGAGCAGGTAGAGGAGTGGTGTGTAGGCAGGACACGAACACATTTGAGGCTTAAAGATCTGTGAGTTAAAGCAAGATTGATCTTTCAACTCCTTGGGAACTCACAAGATTTCTTCAGGAAACATTGATCACCAATACTCTGTTGGGTACAACTTGATTTGCTGTATATTGATAGCATTCTGATACTTTGATCATTCTACAAATTTTGGGATAGTGCAGGTTATTGTGAGGCACGGATCATTTTCACACAAGGCAGCGGGATTATCAACAAAGCCAATAGGGAAATGATCTTTTCCTTATGTAACTAATCTATAAATAAGTTGGAATGGATATTTTAACACATGCGTCACTTCCTCTCTGAATTTCCTCTGGGTCACAGCATAAATAAAAGTGTTTGTGGCACTGCTCAGAATGTGAAGCATAATTCCACATTCATACAGGATATACACGGGGTCATTGTAACCTGTATAAGAATGGTTTGTTATCTGCATGTAGATGAAATACACCAGGTATGTAGCCCACAGTATGATGAAGCTGATGGACACAGTGAAGAGTAAAATGATGGATTTTCTTCGATTCTCCATCTCCTGGTCACTGCCTTTCTCACCATTGTGGCTGATGAGCTCTCTGCGCACTCTGTTGGCCACGAGAATCTGTCTGACTGTCAGAATATTGAGCAGGAATATCACAAAGAATGCAAGACAGGGGGTTAAAATTGTGTTTGACCAGTTGTACGCCTTCCACCACGATGACGTATAAAATATTGCTTTTGTTTTGCAAAACCATGGCACATTGTTGGTTACAAACCAAGGTTCATATGGGAAGAACCAGGGAATGTTTTTTACACAGCTGATTCCCCAAACTATAGCTATAACCACCGTTGCTGTCTTCTCTGTGCAATATCGAGTCTTCAGTCCCTGATAATTGATGGCTACACAGCGATCAAAGGTGAAAACCACTGTTAACCAGGCAGAGCTGTCGGTGGCTACCAAAAGCAGACAGGTTCCCAGCGCACACACAGGGGTCATGTCCAGGAAACAAATTGGGAAATACAGGAAATTCATGCGAGTCAGAATGGCATCAAATAGAACCACCAGCAGGTCACTGGCTGCCATGGCCACCAGGTAACAAGAGATACATCTGGAGAGACCACACTTTCCCCGGCTCAGGATCACAATCGCCACCAAGTTAACTGGAAACAAGAGATAGACACGGATATAACTGACTCTTCTTCCCATATTCCTGTGTGTGTCTGTATGTGTGTGTGTGTCTCGCTCACTCTGTCTTTCTCTGTGTGTCTCCCATGTGTAAAGCCATTGCCTTGCGCAAGAATAGCCAAACCAAACTAAGAGCTCCATGTATGGAGGGCTTGTTGCCATTAAAATTTCCCTGGGGCTGCAATGGCTTGCACATTTTCTCCTGTGCACCAGAACAAATTGTGATAGGATGTAAATCAGCAATGTAACTTTGTGTTCCAATGAAGATCCTCCACCATCATTGACATCAGAGTATCTAAACACCAAAATCACAACAGGAGAGAAACAGAGATCAATGCTACGCGACAAGTTCACAGCATCGCTGTATCTTATTACCTAAAATCATTGTCCAATCTTCCCAACCTCTAAATATCTTGATGGAATTCCTTCCACAACAAGGCGTGGTGCACAGTGAAATATCCCTTGCATGTCTGAGACAAGAGCACATTAGCAAACCTTTAACACACTGCAGTTTCTGAAAGATCTGTTCACCACAAGTGCGCAGTTTTACAACAGATTTGTGAAACTATCAGTCAAGCTGGGGAAACGTACTCATCACCGCATTCTATGTTTTGGAAATTCAAACTTTAACAATAATAATCCTTACCCTCTTCCTTAATAATGTATTAAGAGTTAACAATAGTTAGCTTCCAATATGTGTGGGAGATCAATTTATTCTGCAGACCAGCAGCCCCATTTTACTGACATGAATGATCATGTTGATGATATCCGGGCAGCAGAGACTCTTATTAACAGATGTTTTAGTGCCTGTGCTCACCAGGTACAATCCAGCAAGAATAAGCCTCAATATTGCTTGTGTTGAGTTTTGCAGGAAGCCTATCATTTCAATAATAAAGATGTGACAGAAAGCAAATAATGAAAAAAACGTGTGCAATGTCTCACTGAGAAGATTCGCTGAATAAATAAAAATGCAACACATGTTTGTATCGCAGCGATCAGGTTATCAGACTATCTCCAGGAGCAATACAATGTTTATGGCACTGACTTACCTAAAACTCCAATGGCCCTAGAATGGGATAGTAAATGTACATTATCTGGAAAATGAAGTCTGGTTTATAGACTTTTTCTGAGAAGCTGTGATATCTCTCCATTGTGAAATAGCGGCTTGGACTAATAGTGATGTACTGACGGAGTCTCATTTATACAGGAGAGAAACGTCCCCTGGGACCATCTCCCTGCTTCTTCATTTGTGTTAGTTACAATCCACTGAACAAACAGGTTACGACCATCACCTCTCCGACACCAACCACAGTCTGGTCAATAAAGGGAGCTGCATTGACATTGTAAAGAACTTGTGATGTCTCAAGACAATTCATAGTATTTCAGCAAGAAACACATAGTGTAGAGATGACTCGAGGGTGTAATGTTTACAGTCGAAGAAATACACACCTCTGATTTAGCCGAGAGCTGGAGGAAATATACTCAAGCGTTAGGGTGCTCTAGTCAGGCCACATCTGTGAACAATTCTGGCCACCATCAATATCCTGGAAGCAATGCAGCTTCCAGAGATGAAACAGAATGAACCCTAGTGTTATTGGACTAGCGATGAGCAATGACTGGGCCCTGGGTCTCTTAAGTCTTAACTAAAGATGTGTCTCAAAGGGACCCTGACAGAGGGATATAACAACAGCAAATTGAATTTATATGATACTTTCTGCATCAGGAGGACGTCCCAAGGCACTCAACATTGAAGGGTTTGCACCCGAGCGGGGGTTAGATTCAAGAAGGGGTGGAGAGTGAGGGGGTGAATGTGGGAGGATGACCAAAGGTCAAAGAGACAGTCCTTGAAGGAGGCAGGGGAGGGTACAAGTCGGAGGGGCTCCGGAGGGTGGGAGCAGAAGGTAGGACCATTAATAGTGGAGCGAGCATGTTGTGTACCTAGTTGTAGCGTTATTATAAATGAATAATAATCATTCCATTTGATATAGAATCTTGTCACATCTTCAAGATGTCTCAAAATGCTTCACAAAATATATTGTACAGTGCATTGACTGCATATTTTGTGGGTGAAACACAGCAGCCAATTGTGCACAGCAGTGTCCCACAAACAGTCGTGGATTGACTGACCAAAATATATTTTTTTAAAAAATTGAAGGGATGATTACAATACAATTAAAATTAATTAAATTAAAATATAAATATACATTAAAATATAGATATATATTTTAAAATGTTTTATTTAAATGTGTTAGAGCATTTTGGGAAAATTGTTTGTGATGTTATAGCGTTATAAAAAAGCTATTTGTAAAAAAAGCTATAGTGTTAAAAAAAGACTGTATTTTGCAAATACGGCAGCACAATTTTACATAGCAATATCCCGCTACCATCCTCCAAATTGTTAGCAAAGCTTTTCATTGATATTGCTGTCTGGCAAGCTTTCCAGCTGCTTGTCCAACTCGGACCAGCCTACCCGTTAATGTTCTGGCTTGTAGAGTTAACAGGAGCTGAGTGGGATTACACCCTGCCCCGAGTGCCTGGTCTACCCTTCCAGGTCCTTTCTAGGAGCTAGGCTGGCTGTGCTGTCATCAACAGTGCCTTGGATTACTGTGGACCTGCCTGGCTCAGGAACCGGACTTCCGAGACCGCCACAGAAGGCTGGCTCGATTTCGACATTCCAGGCAATGCCAATTCAGCTCCAAGGATATCCCACTTCCCTCGGCTCCCAATCCCAGCTCAGGTGACCCACGGGCAGTGTCGAGAGCTTTGAGATGCCCTTCCGACGTGAAAAAGCATTGTAAATAAGGGTTGTTATGTTTCTGGAAGGGAGACACAAAAATATTGCTAATGCGGCCTGGGGATCTCAAATAGGGCATTGAGCCCTCGGCAGCCAAAAGGTTGGCCCCACCCTGGCTTAGACTGTATAAATTCTAATTTGCGATTTGGGCGTTGAACCCACAACCTTCTGACTCGGAGAGTGCCACTGACTGAGTCATGCTGACACACAATAATTTCCGATTTTTCAGCGGAGTGAAAGGGAGTGAAATGCTGGGAGGTGGATTGGCTTGTGATTAGTGCAGTCAGAATTATTACTTCCAAAGGTCACTACAAAATAAGTGATATCAGACACGAAGGGACAAACCTCAGTGCTGCACTGAGAGGCAAGAAACTGGGTAGTGTTCAGAGGAGGAGTTGGGACTGGTTTGATCTGAAACACTCTCTACCGACATTAATCTTTTGGTAGACCTCTAAAACTGGTAAGTGTTCCTTTTCTATCAAGAGGGTTAGAATTAAACAATGTTACAGGACAAAAATAATCTGCTCTGATGGTTCTTTCTCTTTGCGAGTCTAATCACACTCTCGCACCCTTTAAAATTCCTCTTCAAGCACCTATCTTACCCCCTTCCAAAAAAGAATAGACAGACTCTGCCTCCACTTTGGTGAGTGTTAGCAAACCTCCACACCCACCACCCACTGTGAGAAATTTTTCTAACCTCCTCTTTAACTCTTTTTGGGATTATGTTAAATCTGTGTCTCTCGTAACTGAGTGGCAGTGAAATAATCTGGGATGATTTATTTACCCTGTTGTAACCCTTCAGAATCTTCAAGATCTTGATCATGTCACCATTTCACCCCTTCCGCTTTGCCCCATCTTGTTTTAACTCTTCCTGTTTTCTTTCTTGTTTGTTGCCAAGCTCGACAGAGTTCCACACCTCACAATACTGGTGGGTTTGTGGAACAATAGAGGCTGGAGGAAGGGAGGAACCTTAAAGGAAGAAAATAAAGAGGGAGAAAAAGAGAGAGAGAAAAAGAAACAGAAAGTGAGAAAGAAACAGACCGAGAGAGAGAGAGAGAGAACAACAACAAATTACATTTGTATAGTGCCTTTCATGTTGGGAGGACATACCAAGGCGCTGGACAGTCAAGGATTTGCACCCAAGCTGGGGGTTGGAATCAGGAGGGATGGAGGGCAGGTAGGGTAGGGGTAGGAGGATGACTGAAGGTACGCTCGAAGAGGAGAGTCTTGAGACATGCCTTGAAGGAGGCAAGCGAGGCGAAGGGAATGTGGGATAGAGTTCCAGAGGGTGGGGACTGTGAGGCTGAAGGCCTGCCCGCTGATGGTGGGGCAGGTTTGGAGAGGGACGAGGAGCAGGCCAGAGCCTGCTGAGCCAAGGGAGTGGACGGGTCAATATGGCGTTAGCAGATCACAGAGGTAGGAAGGAGCAAGGCCATGGATGGCTTTGAAGGTGAAGATGAGGATTTTGAACTCTATCCTCTGAAAGGAAGTAAGGAAGGAAGGAAGGAAAGAATGGAGGGGTAGAGCAATGGATCATATGAGGAAAGCAGCAGTGCTGTCTGGGCCAAATTATCTCAATCTCTTTCTGTGACATTCTATGTAAGATTTGAAAACTTGCTGTTTATTGCAGGTATCAGGTTGTTGAGTGAAATCAGTTCAGTTTCAGTATGTGTCAAAGCTCGACACCCTTTTATGATTTACAATAAAGAGGAACTTTAGACTTTATAGAATTTTTTGATTGCATTGGAGGTGCCCAACACTGGATACAGTGCTCCAGCTGCGGCCTAACCAATGATCTGTACAAATTTAGCATTACTGCTTTGGTTTTGTACTCCTATGTATCTGCATATAAAATCCAGGATGCTATTATCATTTTTATAGCCTTTGTCACTTACAATGTCATTTTTAACGACTTATATCCCTGCACCAAAGCCCTTTGCTCCTCAGCTCCTTGCAAAAGACTGCCATTCAACAGATACTCCCTTAACTTGTTTTTTCTACCAAAATGAATCACCTGAGTTTCTAGTCTCTGTTCGATAATGTTGCAGGACTTGAACAGGCACAGATGGGACCTCAGTTTAACATTTCATCTGAAAGACAAGGCCTTAGACGTTGCAGCACTCACCCCCCCACCAGCACTGTGCTGCAATCTCAGCCTAGACTGTCAAAGTGCAAAGTCTAGGTGAAAACTTATAATAATAATAATAATAATAATATTTGCATTTGATAGAGCCTTATCACATCTTGGAGACATCTCTTATGTCCTCAAGGCTTAGTTAGCAACCTCTCAAGAAAGTTGTGAGTTTAAGCCCCACTTTTGACACTCCAGTACAGTATTGGGGAGGAGGGGGCGGAGATGAGAATTGCCAGAATGCTGTCCTTCAGATGAGACATTAAACCAAGGTCCCGTATGTGTCTGTTGTTAAAGATCCCATGGTACTACTCAAAAAGAGAAGGGAATTTCTCCTGGTGTACCAGCCAACAATCCTCCAAATTAAATTGGTCATTTATTTCAAGACTGTTTATGGGATGTTGCTCTGAGCAAATTGGCTACTGTATTTACCTACAAAGTACACAATCACTTCACTTCTCATTACCTTGGGACGTCCTCCCAATCTGAAAGACGCTACATAAGTCCAGTTTTTTGTTGTTCACAGTAAATCCTATAGCACAGAAGAAGGCCATTCTGCCAATTTGCAGTGGCTCTTTTTGAAGAGAAATCCTTTCAGTCCCATTTACATGATTTGGATATAGTTTATCAATCCCATTTAAAATTTTGTACACCCCTCTAAGCGTCTTCTCCCAAGCCTGGCCTTGTCTAATTGTTGCTCATAGCTTATTCCTGTAACACTGTGAATCATCCTCATTGGTCTCCTCTGCACTACCACTATGGCTGGGCCCCCCTTCTTCCCGTATGTATGCAATTTTCAAGGTGTGGACTGACAATAGCACTGTACAGCCTGAGTATGATATCTGGGGATCTAAACTCAACTGATTTAGCAATACAGCCCAGCATCCTGTTTACCTTATTTATTGCTACCTCACAGTTTTGACATGGTGAGCGATGAGTCAACTAATGCCCCTAGATCTCTTACAGTTTTCCACTTGGCAAGTTCTACCCCATCCATGGATACTTGTGTTTTCTATTTTTGGATCCTTTATCAGTATTAAACTCATCTTCAAAGTCCTCCACGGTTTGTTCCCCACTACCTCTCCGACCTCCTAACCCATTCTGTTTGCTCCCTCCGCTCAGCGGGCTCCGGCCTGCTTCACATCCCCCGCCTTGTTCGCCCCACTATCGGCGAGCGGGCCTTCCACCACTCTGCAGCTACCCTCAAGGAACTCCATCTCGCAGTCCCTCCGTCTCGCCCCCTCCCTCGCCACCTTCAAGACCCACCTCAAGATCCTCCTCTTCGACTGTGCTTTCGATCTTCCTGCTTCTCCCCCTGCCTTTCCCCCTCCCCCACCGCGACCCTCAGCTCAGGTCTGTAATCTCTGTCTGTCCAGCGCCTTGGGACGTCCTCCCGATGTGAAAGGCGCTATACAAATGTAATTTTGTTGCTGCTGTTGTTGTTGTTCATAATTATTATTGGCATTGAACTCACAACCTTGTAACTCAGGTGAGAGAGCAAGGTTGACATCATAGTTCAGTGATGGTAATTTCATCCGTTGAGTTTCAGGTATTGAGTGTCATTTTGTAATAGTTTATTGTTGTGTTCGGCTTGAGTTAGGGCAATAGCCATTTGCAGGAGATAAGCGGTGTGTGACCGAACAGGAAGCCATGCCACTGTTGGCAAGGAGTGGCATTTAGTCTTGTGCTTGGGCTAACTGGGGAGAATTTGGAATGTGCCCTAAGGAATTTCCGAGGGTGTGGGGGTAGCATTTGTCAAATAGACAAAGAATGTGATTATCTCTCATTGATTCACAATTCAATCATAAAATACAAAGACTGATAAAAGTCAGCACGGAAGAGTTCACCTTTAAATAATACCGTATCACATCTAAAAAATTTTCATAGTCATCACTGCCAAGTGCAGGGACTAACTTTTTGTAGGGAATTTTTTTTTGTCGGCCGGTGACTGACACATGCAGCAGCCCATCACCATGCTTATCCAAACCATACTGAGAATTCCATGTATCCCACCCATAAGTGGGTCTAGAATGACATGTAAGCTTTCTTCCTGGAAGGACGCATCTTAGCGTACCTAAATCCAGAGAGTATTTTGCACAGGCTGGTGAGAACTAAGGCTTGACGACCCTAAAGTGTGCATTGGGGTAACCACTATTGTCTAAACAGCTAAACCCACATAGCTTGCCATTGAGAGCAGTGTATGGCAAGCGTTCTGCTGCTTGTTCAGCTAGGACCACCCTACTCATTAGGGCTTTTGGTTGCAGGGTTAACAGGAGCTGAATGGAAAGAATCCCCGGCCCCAGATCTATCCCTCCAAGTCCTGCCAATGTGCCAAGCTGGCTATGATAATAATAATAATAATAATAATCCTTGCATTTGATATAGCGCTTTTCACGTCGGGAGGACGTCCCAAAGCGCTTCACAGAACACACTGTAAAGTGAATTGACTGTACATTTGTGGGCGAATGCGGCAGCCAATTGCACACAGCAATGTCCCACAAACAGTCGTAGATTGAAAATGACCAATTTATTATTGTTTTTGGTTTTTGGAGGGATTATTATTAGGCTCTGTGTGGAGTAAGGAAACTTGCCCAAGGTTTCGCCCTGACCCCCCGGGGATTGAACTCAGGTCTCTCACTTGCAAAGCGAGTGCTCTAACCACTGAGCTACAGGACTCCACAATGATGTCATTAGCAGTGCTCTGGAGTACGGAGGACTCTCCTGGCTCAGGAACCAGACCAGAAACCGCCACAATTATTGGAAAATGGAACAAACACATGGGACCTCAGTTTAACATCTCACTGAAAGCTCCAACATTGCAGCGTTCCCCCCAATAGTGCACTTAAGGATCAGTGTAGACTGAGCTCAGAATATCAGGTTGTTTCTGGCAAGCTTCTAACCTAAAGGTGTGAGCAAGTGAGCCAGGTATTAGGTATTAGCTTCATGAATTGCTGTAGCTGGGGCTTTGACTGCAGCGTGCGCTCAGTTATTTGTGTGTCACCAAGCTGTTAATGAACCCAATGAGTTAAGAGGGAAACGACAGAGGTGGCTTGCCTCCTCCTCTCTGTGACTGGAAGGTCATCAGACCCATTAATACGGGGAGCCCACAATGAAGGCTCTGTCCTCAGCTTTGCCTGTAGGAGTTTATGCTGCTGTGTCCGGGCTCTTGGTGATGGGGTGGGGTGGGGGGTGTGTGGTGACTCACCGGCACAGCCCGGCTTTCTGTGCGTTCTGCACACCAGCCGTTCTCGCTGTTCCTACTAATGTCTCTTCCTCCCCCCACCCTGCCACAGGTCAGGATGGATGAGGTGTTTGAGAAGGGGCGAATTCGAGAGCTGCAGGAGCAGCGCATGACTGTGCAGAAAAAGACCTTCACCAACTGGATCAATCAGCTCTTCACCAAGGAGCAGGTATAGAATTGGCAATTGGAGGCAGTGGGTCTGAGGACTGGAGGGTGGATGTTTGGTGGGGCGGGGGGGTGGGGATTGCAGTGGCCGCAGAGGTCTCTGGCATGGTGGGGATCGAGGGGTCTTGAGAGTCATAGGTGACTGGGTTGTATGTAATAGGGGTATCCGGGATGGAGTATATTTAGTAATGGTGGTGTATCTGAGGGGTAAGACATGTCTGGGGTGTCTGCTGGGGATCTCTGGGGATGGGGTGGTTGGGGTGTTTGGGGGATGGGGATGATTACGTGGTGGGAGTCTCTTGGAGATCAGGTGCCTGGGGAGGTATCTGGGATGAAGGGTGTCTGGCAGGGGGTTATGTGGGGAATGGGATGTCTGGGTGGTGGGGTCTCTAATAAGTAGAGTGTATGGAATGGTTCTAAAGCTCTGTGCCCCCATTATCACCTTCACCAGAGACTGTGGCCATCAGCTCAACAGAAGGGTCAAAAGACCAGCCACAGCATTGCCGTGACACAACTGACCATTTCCCATTTAGCTCGGGGGTGGGGGGGGTTCGAGAAAGGCAAACTGCAGGGAATGGGGTGGGATTAATTCGCTGTCAGTGAGGTGGAATGATTGAGAAGGACCCCAGTTTCTAACTTTGTTGTTCTGGGCTGTAACTGGACTATGAGACCGTATAATCAGGTTAACATTCTGTCAGGCCCAATTTAATCACTCCTCCTCCACTATGGAATGTGACTTTATGGTGAGAATGAGAGTACACAAGTCGCTGACAGGCTGAGTGAAGCTGCCATGAAAGGGAAAGTCCTGGAGGCTTTATAGACAGCGTTCAGATAACAGGTGCTGTGGAATGCTCACGTTTCCCAGCATTCACAATCAAACTGTCACCCTGCAACCAAGAGACTGAAGTCCAAACTATTCATAAATAGTTTCTAACTGGGAATGGGTGGGGGTGGCGGGGGGGTGGGGCGGTGTTGGGGAGGAAGCGGGGAAAGAAGTGGCTCCTGGGCAACGGAATGGGGGAATCAAGCCCACCCTCTGTGACGGTCTCTAGTCCGGTTCCTGAGCCAGGCAGATCCATAGTATTCCAGGGCACTGCTGATGACAGCCCAGCTAGTCTGGCTTATCGGCAGGACATGGAAGGTCCGACCAGTCACCAGGGCAGGGACTCTTCCCACCCAGCTCCTGTTAACCCTGCAAACCAAAGCACTAACAGGTAGGGTGGTCTTATCTGGACAAGCAGTGGGAAAGCTCGTCAGACAGTACTCTCAATGGCAAGCTATTATGTGGTTTTAGCTGGTTAGTTAGTAACTCCGGCAGTTACCCCAAGACTTGGCTCTTATACTTTCTGGAACTAGATAATCGGGGTATGTCCCTCTGGGGTGAGAGAGTCCATTTCATTCCAAACGTGGGAATTCTCATGTATAGATGGCAGACATGGAACTCTTAAATACAGTGATGGGTTTCCATATGTTACTGTCAGTGAGTCACAGGGCTGTTCTCTCTTCTCCTTTCCATTTTTCTCACTCTGTGTATCAGACAACAGCTGATCATGGCGATGGGTTTCCATATGTTACTATCAGTGAGTCATTGAGCTGTTCTCTCCTCTCCAGGCCGGTATTTTTCTTACTGATATCTACACAGAGCTGAAGGATGGGATCGCTCTGATCCGCTTGCTGGAGCTGATTTCAGGAGAACAGCTGCCCAGACCAAGCCGCGGCAGGATGCGGGTTCACTATTTGGAGAACAACAGCAAAGCCATCCATTTCCTGAGAACCAAGGTAAATCTAGTGCTCTACCCCTGTGAGGCCTCCCTTCATCATGCCCCATCAGCCTGGCTCAGTCACAAGTACTCTTGCCTCCGACCGACAAGGTTTCAACTCCACATCATGACTTTGAGCTTGCAGTCCAGTTTGACACTCCCGTGCAGTGCTGGGGGAGCAATGATTTGTTAGTGGTTCCGTCAATCAGCTGAGACCGTCTGCCTGTTTGGGTGGATGTTAAAGATCCCACGGAAAAGAGAAAGAGAATTTCTCTCTCTAGGTTTCCTAGCGAACAATTCTCCCAGATAAAATCAGTCATTCACTCCATGGTTGCTTGTGGGACATTGTAGGAAGCTCACAGACAGTTCTGCATTCTGCTTGTGTCAGACACTTGGTTGGACCCCATTCCCCCCAAAAAAAATGCTGTGCAAACAGGCTTTCGTGTTCACCCACAAAACATAGTCACTGCACTTTACAGTATATGCTGTGAAGCGGGAATAGACATCTCAACAACATGATAAGGTATATAAAACGTGAGGGTTATTTTTGCATTATTATTACTGTACATGGGTTGACATTTGAACCTTGTACTTGTGTGTCTTTCAGATCAAAGTAGATCTGATTGGCCCAGAGAATGTGGTGGATGGGGACCGCACGCTGATCCTGGGCCTGATCTGGATCATAATCCTCCGCTTCCAGATCTCCTGCATTACCCTGGATGAGGTGAGTGGCTCCCGGGCGCGCACCAGCTGCTTAGGTAGAGATCTCTCTGCCTCTCCCACAAACCTTCTGCCTCTCCCTCAATCCCTTTGCCTCACTATCAAACCCTCCGCCTCGCCCTCAAACCCTCCTCCTCTCCCTCAAATCTTCTGTCTAACCTTCAAACCCTCCACCACTCCCTCAAACCCTCTTCCTCTCCCTTAAATCTTCTGCCTCTCACTCAAACCCTCCACTTCTCCCTCAAACCCTTCTTGTCTCCCACAAACTCTCCACCTCTCCCTCAATCTCCCTGCCCTTCCCTCAGACCCTCCGCCTACCCCTCAATCTTTCTGCTTCTTTTTCAATCCCTCTGTCTGTCCCTCAATCCCTCCACTCCTCTCTCAATCCCACTGCCTTTCCTTCAAACCCTCCATGCTCTTCCTCAATCCCAAGCCTTTCCCCCTCCTTCCCCTTCTTCTGATCATGCGTGAAGTTCTTCCTCTTCGACTGTGCTTACAGTCACCTTCCCCCGCTTGGCATCAGGCTCTGCCACTGTTAAGCGCTCTGAGATACTATCCTCTGTGAAGGATGCGGTGTAAATCCAAGTTGTTGTTGTTGTTGGAGCAAATGTGTAGGGTCCTCCAGACAGAAGAACTGAGCAATCAGTGGCATGGGCTCCCACCCACAGCCACGTAACAAGTTGGCCATCAGCCTCTAGGCACAGCCGTGCATGCAGAGGCCTAAACACACCCAAAATTACATACACAGGCTCATGCAACCATACATACAGGGAAACGTGCAACCACGTGCAGCTGTGCATGCAGTCTGACTGCATGAAGCTTTGTGCAAGGAGGGCAGGTATGCTGCCTCCTGCCTCATAGGGCTACACATTGAGCAGTGTCTGTCCAGCCTGATCCGCCATTCAAGATCACGTCATGTCTTTTAATCCCATTTCTCTGCCTTTTCCCCACATCCCTTCACCCCCTGACTTCACAGGAATTTGTTAATCTTCTTTTTACATGTCCCGATGGATTCTGTCTCTGTGCGAGAACGGTCCACACTCTCACCACTGTGTGTGGAGAAATGGTTCCTGAATCATCAGTGTCTGTCTAGCTGAGTGAATGTCTGCCTGCGGTTTGTGTGTCTGACTGTCTATCTGCCTGAATGACTCTTTGTGTGTCTGACTCTCTGCCGATGTGTCTGTCTGACTGACTGACTCCATCTGTGTGTTTGACTGTCTGACACTGTCTGTCTGCCAGTCTGACTGACCCTTTGTGTGTTGTACAGGAGGAATTTGGCACCAGCAGTGCCCAGCGTTCTGCAAAGGAGGCCCTGTTGATCTGGTGCCAGCGAAAGACAGCTGGCTACGACAATGTGGACGTTAAGGATTTTACCCGTAGCTGGCGCAATGGACTGGCCTTCAATGCAATCATCCATGCTCACAGGTAACACCTGACACTGAACTACGACAAAGCATCCCTTTTTCTTTATATTCAATATTGCGTACACAACAGAGTAGGGGGTTTTGGAGGACTCCTCGCTGAGGGAGGGAGTTGCAATTTATGATGCAAGTAAACACTGTTTTCTAATTAATCCCCTCTGTGACATTCTGTGTCTGCATGGTGTGCCACTGAGATCACTGTGTGACAGGCTCACCAAACGTGTTCTGTGGTTCCCACTGTTTTTCCAGCTGGGGCCACCGCTTAGGGCTTTGTGTTAACACGAGCCGAGTGGATTCCAATCCCCAATGACTGGTCAATCCATTCCAGTGTGTTCCGCCCAGTGTGCTCCGCCCAGTGATCTGTGTGCTCCGCCCAGTGACCGGTCCGCTCACACTCCTGTGACCTGAATGTGTTTCATTGCAAGGCCCGACCTAATCGACTACAATAACTTGATGGAAAGCCAACCCATCTATAACCTGTACAACGCCTTCCGTGTGGCCGATGAGGAGCTGCATATCTTCCGTCTACTGGATCCCGAGGACGTGGCGGTGCCCCATCCCGACGAGAAGTCCATCATGACCTACGTCTCGCTCTATTACCATTACTTCTCCAGGCTGCGGCAGGACCAAACCGTGCAGAAAAGGATCACCAAGGTAGGGGGCCTGTACACCACAATTACCCCTGCCTTTCAGCTAAATTTCAGTGAGTGAAACTTTGCAAACCGCTTCACAGGTCATGACTGACTTTTCACTCTCTGCTTCAATCAGACGAAACACGGCAGCTAGTTATAAGAACATAATAACGTAAGAAATGCTAGACGAAAAAAGACCAACATCTATTTAGTTCGCCTTCCACCTTCTTGGCGGTCGCATGCACCTATGTCCCGAACTACCTACGTACTATATCTCATAATGTTATTTCCGAAAAGAAAACTATCTAATCTGTGTTTGAAAGAATCAAGATTTCCTGCTTCAACCGTCTCCCTAGGGAGCCTGGTCTACAGGTTCACTGAAATTGTGTTTGCGTAGATTCGTTCTGAATTTACCCCCTTCAATCGCAGGCGTGTCCTCTGGTTTTACTATTCCGAAACAGCCTGTTATGATCTATATTGTTTTGCCCCATTAAAATCTTGAAGAGAGCAATCATGTCACCACTCAATCTTCTCATTGCCAGCCTGAACATGCCCAATTTACTTAGTCGCTTCTCATAGTCCAGTCCTTCCATTCCTTCAATCATTTTGGTTGCTCACCTCTGTATCTTCTCGATTTCTCCAGTTGCGCAGAGCAATGTCCCACAAACAGCCATGGAGTGAGTTCGTTTTAACTGAGGGATTGTTAGCCAAGACACAAGGAGAGAGAAACTCCTTTCTGCATGGGAAATCTGGAAATTTCCCGAACGCCTGTCACTACCCTCCATTTTAATCCCCGACAAAGTTTTTAAATGCGCGGAAGCTTTATGCCGAATCAACGCTCCCATTCTACCTGACAATCATGAGCCCTTTCCGTAAGTCAGTCTGTCGCTGTGGCCTCAACAATAATAATAATCCTTACATTTGATATAGCGCCATCTGATTGTCTATCTGATTGTCTGACTTTCTGAGTGTCTGCTCTCCTGACTGACTTTTTATCTGACTGTCAAAGGCTTGGTGTGTGTTAATCTCTTTGTGGTGTTTCTCCAGTGTGATGTTGGCTGTGTGAGTGAGTGGCTGTGTGAGTGAGTGACTGTGTAGGGGAATGGTTGTGTGAGTGAGAAGCTGTGAGAGTGAGTGGCTGTTGCACTGTTCACGCTGTACTTTGCTGCTCTGTGCACAGACAATCGGCCGCCTGCAAGGGATCGAGAAGTGGAAGATTGAGTACGAGGCGCTTGTGTCCAACCTGCTGCAGTGGATCAGCCGGAAGGTGAAGGAGCTGGACACCCGCTCGTTCCCCAGCTCGCTCAGCGGCATGCAGAGCCTGATGACGGATTTCAAGCACTTCCGGACGGTGGAGAAGCCGCCCAAATACCAGGAACGAGGCCTCATCGAAGCTCACCTCTTCAACATCAGGACCAAGCTGCGAGCCAATAACATGAGGCAGTACATGCCCCCCGAGGGACGTCTGCTGAGTGACATCGAACGGCACTGGGAACTCCTGGAGAAGGCTGAGCACCGGCGGGAGAAGGCCCTCTTGCAGGAGATGCTGAGGCTTCAAAGGCTGGAGGAACTGGTGCAGAAGTTTCGGAAGAAAGCTGTCCTGAGGGAGACATACCTGAATGAGATGACCTCCGTGGTGGCCAAACAAGGCTCCGGGGTGGAGAGCTCCGAGCAGGCCCAGGCGGCCACCAAGAGACTGGAGGCCATCTCAGCTGACCTGCTGGCTCGGGAGCAGAGGTTCAGGGCGCTGGCTGAAATGGCTCATGTCATCGACACAGAGAATTACCACAGCAAAGCCGAGATCATGAGACAGTGAGTGTCCACTTTGCTGCACGAGCCTACCTGCTGCGCTGTCACACTGACCGAGCACCGATAGGGGTCTCCCGGGGCGCTCAGCTCAGCGGACACCAGGTGACAGAATGTTGAAATCCAGCCCACCCTCTGTGATGGGCTCTAGTCTGGTTCCTGAGCCAGGAATCAGCTGGGACTCCAGGACACTGTTGATTTGGGGGTCAGCCATGTGTCTGACCCATCGCATTGCTTAAGAATATCCAAATCAAACTGAGAATTTCAGGCATCCCATCGACACATGGAAATCCCAGAGATAGATTGTTGGAATGGAATGCGCACTCTCCCTGGAGGGACCGTATCCTACTTACCGAATTCCAGAAAGTGTTAGGCGCAGGTTAGCAAGGGCCCAGGCTTGGGGACTGCAGAGTGAGTGTTGGGGTAACTGCTGGAGTCTAACCAACTAAAACCACATCGCTTTCCATTGAAAACTTTGTGTGGCAAGCTTTCCCGCTGCTTGTCCAGCTCGGACTGCCGTTAGGGCATTGACCTGCAGGGTTAACAGGAGCTGAGTGGGAGGATTCCCAGCCCACAGCAACTGGTCGGCCCTTCCAAGTCCTGCCGATGAGCCTGGCTGGCTGTGCGGTCATCAGCAGTGTCCTGGAATACCGTGGACCTGTCTGATCAGGAAGGCTGGAACACTGAGACGCCACAGAGGGTTGACTTGATTCTGACATTCCATTGCCAAACTTGTCACCTTGGAGCCAGTTCAGCTCCAGGGGGGTCCTCGCTTCCCTCCTCTCCAAGGAGGATAGACCCGAGTTGGTCGTTTGACATCTGACAAGCGTGGATTTGAACCCTCACTATGTGGAGGCAGGTACCAGGAACTCGCAGCGAGCTTCCCGGTGGGCAACACAGTTCAATGTGAGAGTGGGATTAGATGGGGAGGCAAGCTCCAGATTGATACGATGGCTGTTTCTGTAACAAGTTGTGGTTCCCCACAGGCAACAGGAGATTGACTGTCGCTGGAGAGATCTGCTGGTTAAGCTGTCCAGCCACCAGGACTCCCTCAGAGAGCTGGGAAACACCCAAGCCCTGCTGCGAGACATCGACATTGCCCATAAGGAGATGGAGGCCCTGCAGGTACAGCCAGAGCCAGAGCCCCGAATGAGACTTTGGGCCTAGTCGTCTCCTCTAAAATAACATCCCAGACCACGGTGGAACATTGCATTCACTATTTCTCAGAGGAACAAATAGTCTACAAACAAAACATGATATAATGTACCCTTATACAGCACCTTTCACATCAAGGGAATGTCTCAAAGGCCTTCACAGTGCTGCTGGGTGGGGAGGGAAAAGTTGGGAGGTGACCCAAGTGTGGTCAAAGAGATGTGATTTAAAGACCGATAGAGACCGACAGAGAGGGATGAGAAGGGAGGGAGGGACTTCCAGAGGTTAGAGGTGTAGGAGCTGAAAGCTCGACCATTGATGGTGGGAGGAGAGGGAGGGCGAGTGAGCTGAGCGAAGGAGAGGGGTAGGAGGAGATCGGAGAGAGTGGGGAGTTTTTGGGTGGCGGAAGAGGGTTTTCGGGGTGGGAGAGAGAGGTAAGGTTGGTGAGCACAGTGAGTGTACAGGAGAGAGCGGCCAGTACCAGTGTGACTGTGGTGTCAAGCTGGGCAGCCAGTATCTGGCACACAATCTGCTCAGGGTCTGGATAACAACAACAACAACAACAAGATTGCATTTATAGTGCGCCTTTCACGTCGGGAGGACGTCCCAAGGCGCTGGACAGTTGGGTCGGGAGCTCTCAGTGTAACCCACTGTCTTTCTGGCCTCTTTTCACTGCCCTAACAGGTACTACTCAGCTCAGAAGATTCTGGAAAGAACATGTTGAAGCCAGCAGACCTTTTACGGAAACACAATGTGATGGCGGCACAAGTGGTGGCACAGGGTGAGGTGCTGCGACACATTAACCAGAGGTCCGAGGAGATGGGACGGGCTCCCGGCGTGTGGGACCGGCTGCAAAAACTCAACAACCTTCACCGCACTCTGCAGAGACTCAGCACAGCGAGGTGAGCCTCTGTCACCGCGGCCAGGTGAGCCTCTGTCACCACGGCCAGGTGAGCCTCTGTCACCACGGCCAGGTGAGCCTCTGTCACCACGGCCAGGTGAGCCTCTGTCACCACGGCCAGGTGAGCCTCTGTCACCACAGCCAGGTGAGCCTCTGTCACCACGGCCAGGTGAGCCTCTGTCACCACGGCCAGGTGAGCCTCTGTCACCACGGCCAGGTGAGGCCCTGTCACCACGGCCAGGTGAGCCTCTGTCACCACGGCCAGGTGGGCCTCTGTCACCACAGCCAGGTGAGGCCCTGTCACCACGGCCAGGTGAGGCCCTGTCACCACGGCCAGGTGAGCCTCTGTCACACGGGGTGAGCCTCTGTCACCACGGCCAGGTGAGCCTCTGTCACCACAGCCAGGAGAGCCTCTGTCACCACGGCCAGGTGAGGCCCTATCACCACAGCCAGGTGAGGCCCTGTCACCACAGCCAGGTGAGGTCCTGTCACCACAGCCAGGTGAGGCCCTGTCACCACAGCCAGGTGAGGTCCTGTCACCACAGGCCATCCATCGGTCCACCCATCTGTTTGTTGCCCCAGCAACCAGGTGGCGGGCAGAGTGTGGTGCTCCTCCCCCAGTTTCCGGAAGCTTCTGCCCGGCTCGTTGGCTGCAGCCTCTGCATTTTGTCGCCACACAGACAGAAGCGGTTGGAGCAGCGGCAGGCGGTGTTTGAGATTGTCCAGGAGTGTGAGGAGGAGCAGGCATGGATATGGGAGCGATGGCAGCTGGTGCATTCTGCTACACTGGGCCGAGACGTCAGCCAGATCACCGCGTCCATCCAGAAACACAAGGTATGTAGTGTCCCACACCCAGCCTCGGCCACCACCACACCCAGCCTCGGCCACCACCACACCCAGCCGCGGCCACCACCACACCCAGCCTCGGCCACCACCACACCCAGCCTCGGCCACCACCACACCCAGCCCCGGCCACCACCACACCCAGCCTCGGCCACCACCACACCCAGCCTCGGCCACCACCACACCCAGCCTCGGCCACCACCACACCCAGCCCCGGCCACCGCCACACCCGGCCACCGCCACACCCAGCCCCGGCCACCACCACACCCAGCCCCGGCCACCACCACACCCAGCCTCGGCCACCACCACACCCAGCCTCGGCCACCACCACACCCAGCCTCAGCCAGTCAGCACCACCACAACACACTGATCTCACTGGCAATCAGAGTCGCATGCACTCACTGTTCCTGTAGCCGTAATTTTAAGCCCAGAATATTCCCACAAACAACAATCTACACAGCACCTTTCACACCAGATTACGGGGACATACGACGAGCGAGGGAGGAAGGGGAGTGGGAGGTGACCTTTGGCGCGGTTGAAGAGATAGGTCTTCAGGTGGGATTTAAGGAAAGATCACGAGGGGGCGAGGAGTGAGATAGGGAGTTGCAGCAGTTTATCTGGGCGATTGTTGGCCAGGGCTCCCAAACAGGCAGAAACAGCAAACAGACAGACACCATGGTTCAATATCTCCTATCAGTGGAAGGACAGAGACTATGACAACTCTCTCACTCTGATTCTCTCACTCTGATTCTCTCTCACTCTCCCCCCTCTGACTCTCACTCTGTGCCTTTCTCACACTCTGTCTCTCTCTAACTCTGTCTGTCTCTCACTCTCTCTCACTCACTCACTCCGCTGACCCTCTCTCACCAGACCCTGGAAGCGGAGTGTAACTCGCACCAGTCTCTGTGTTACTCGGTGGTGCAGGCGGGCGAGGCCATGAGCCGGGGGAGTGCGGGCAGTGAGGGCGAGCTCAGCGAGTGGGTGAACCGACTGCGCAGACACTGGCAGCGGTTGCTGGAGGCGGTGGCTGGCCACCGAACCCGCCTCCAGGCTGCTCTGCTCATTAAACAGGTAAGAGAGCGCCGAGCAGAGCGCTCAAAGTGTCTGCTGTCTCCTCGGGGCTCAGATGGCTCTAAAGTGACAGATGTCGGAATCAAGTCAATCCTCCGTGACAGACTCTAGTCTGGTTCCTGAAGCAGGCGGGTCCTCAGTACTCCTGGGCGCTGCTCATGACAGCCCAGCCAGCCTGGCTCATCAAAAGGACTTGGAAGTGCAGACGAGTCATTGGGGGACAGTCGGCCCCTGTTAACCTTGCAAGCCAAAAGCCCTAATGGGTAGAGTCCTAGCTGGACAAACAGTGGGAAAGTTTGCCACAAATTGCTCTCAATGGCAAGCTAGGCGGTTTTATCTGGTTAGTCATCACCCCAAAGCAAATTCTGGGGTACCCACGCCAACCTGTGCCTAATACTGTCCAGAATTGGGAGAGCAGGATGCATCCCTCCAAGGAGAGAGTGTTATGAGCGCTTTGTGATGTTGTGATGCCGCTCTCAGTATTTCACAGACGTCAATGAGGTTGAGTCGTGGCTCAGGGAGGTGCGTCCTCTCCTCGGCAGTGATGACTATGGAAAGGACGAGTCGAGTGCCAGCGCCCTGCTCCAGAGGCACCTGCGGCTGCAGCAGGATATCAGTGCCTATCGCAGTGAGCTGCGGAGACTTGCTGAGCAGGCCAGGACAGCAGCATTGCAAGCTCCCATCACAGTAAGTGTGTCCACGTGTGACCTGGAGTGCGTGCGCGCTTATATATAGTGATGAGTAGTGAGCAGCGAGTGTGTACAGTAGGTAGCGGTGGTGTGCAGTGAGTTTGTACAGTGAGTGCATACAGTGTGTAGTGAGTGTGTACAGTGTGCCATTATTGTGTGCAGTGCTTTGTACAATGAGTGCGTACAGCGTGCAGTGAGTGTTAAGTTCTCCGAGACACCATTGGGAATCAAGGGCGCGACATAAATGTTGTTATTGTTGTATAGTGAGTGTGTGCAGTGTGCAGTGAGTGCGTACAGTGAGTGTTCGGCTCCAGCGTAAAGCTGCTGTGCTCTCAGGTTGAAGCCCAGGACGGGAAGGCGATGGACACTTTGTGGTCTGATGATGAAGGAGAGACCACCGTGCCTCGCGCGCACACCCCGAGCGTCACGGCACAGCAGCACGTCCCACGTGTTAGACTCCATGAGGCCTACAGAGGTTAGCGTCTACACTCCGAACACACATAGCAAGGCCGTGACGTCACTGTGCCTGGGGGCTACGATGTCACCCAATCATGATATAATAAATACATCGGAAGCCGCTTAAGCCGGACGCTGGTCAACCCGGGACAGCGGGTAAATCGGATAAAAGTCCGTCCCCGATTCATTTGCATTCTTATTCGAAATGTGCCGGTTAATCCGGACATATTGCGTCTACTCACTCGTGCCTTCTGGATCCTGAGCGGCTCCATTCGGCCATGGGGGGGCTCCGGGAGGCGGGTGGGAGAAGACAAATTGCGATTGATTGACAGCGGACCCTCGCCATTCACAAGAGGCTCCGGGCTGTCAATCAGCAGTAACCAGTGAGGGTGGAAGTGGGGGGGCAGTGACTGCATCCGGTGGATGGCAAAGCAGACCAATGTCAATCACCACCGAGCTGCTGCTAATCGGTCCCCTTCCCATCCAGTGGGAACGGCAATGAAAAAGGGAGGGGGTGCCACTTCCGCTGTTGTGTTCCCATGTCCACTATGTTCCCGTGTCACTATGCTCCTGTGATCCCATGATCCAGTGTTCCCATGTTCCTTGTCCCTGTGGGGAGCACCCTGACATTTGCCCTCTGATTGCCCCAGGGGTCCTGGTCCAGTGTGACAAAGGTGACGAGCTGGAGGTCGTCAGTAAAACCAACGCGGAGACGTGGGAGCTGCGGAGCCGCGGGGGCCCGACCATCAGAGTCCCCACCGCCTATTTCACCGAACTTCCAGCCCAGGCAAGGCCATCAACACTGCCACCGGAACCGACACCGCACAGGGCAGCGCGAGACAACAGGCCAGGGGTGGGGTGGGGTGGGGTGGGGTGGGGAGGTGGTGGGGAATCTATTGGGTGTAGAAGCTGGATTGAGTGAGGGAGGGGGGTTCATGCACCCTGAGGTGGTTCGAACCCTGACGGTTTGGCTGGGTGTTGGCAGGAGGAACGGAGGAGTATGCGGAGGAGCCGTGCCAACCGGCGGGTGACCGGAGAGCTGCAGCTGCCTGACCAGCACTTCATCCCCGGCACCATCGAGAGCACGCAGAGCAGCCTGGACAGCGAGTATGGGAGACTGTGCCAGCTTGCAGAGGTTAGCCCCCCGCACAGAGCACTCACCCCACTCCCCGGGTCCCTCCCCCACTCCCCACCTACCTCCCCGCTCCCAACCCCCTCCCCCACTTCCCAACGCTGTTCCCCCGTACACCACCCCCCTCCCCTGCTCCCCAACCCTCTCCCTCATTTTGCAGCCCAGTTTATTATCAATTTGATTGTTATTTATTTCTCTCTCTCTCCCCCCCACCCACGCCGTGCCACTCCAGGCCAGGCGTCTCAATCTGGAGGAGATGGTGCGACTGTACAGACTGTATCACACGTGTGACGAGTTCCAGTCATGGATGAGAGACAAAGAGAATGTTTTCAAAACCTTTGAGGCCAAATCAGACAATGTGGAGGTCATGCAGAGAAAATACGAGGTAAGTTCACACAGCAATGTGGCCTCTCTCGCACTCACTCTCGCACTCACTCCGCCGTGTGCTTCGGGACATCCTCCCGATGTGAAAGGTGCCATACCAAATGTAAGGAACATTTATATAGTGCCCTCCACGCCAGACGGCATCTCAGAGCGCTCTACAGTAACGGATCCCGGGAGTGAGCCGGGGGGGGGGGGTGGGGAAGGTGACCAAAGGCGCGATCGAAAAGAAAGGTCTTCAGCAGGGACCTGAAAATGGGAAGGGAGGGAGCGAGGCGAAGGGAGTGAGGAAGGCAGTTCCACAGCCTCGGGGCATAGTGGCTGAAGGCACGGCTGCCGAAGGTGGAGAGGAGGACTCGGGGAACGAGGAGGAGGCCAGACCCGGAGGAACGAAGGCAACGGGTACTGTTTTGAGGAGAGAGGAGGTCAGAGAGGTCGGAGGGTGCAGAGGAGTGCAGGGACTTGAATACGAGGGTGAGGATCTTGAAATCGATCCTCAGTGCAGTAGCCTAGACTGTGAGCTCAAGGTCCGCAATATTGGGCTTGAACCCACAACCTTCTTGATTCGAAGTCTCTGAGCTGCACTAAAGTTTGTTGTGTTTTAGAACTTCCTGGTGGAACTGGCAGCTGGGAAGGGCAGACTGGAGGAGATCGACCAACAGGTCGATGAGCTAATCAGGAGTGGTCACAGCAAAGCGAGGGCGATCCGAGAGAAACAGCGAGACATCCATCAACAGTAACACCTCCTTCTGTCACAGCGCGAACCGGCTCCAGCGCTCACCTCCCCATGGGGAACACCCCCACGCACACACACAGCGCTCGACTTCCCCCCCCCACACACACACATGCAGCGCTCAACCTCCCACCCCCCCCACACACAAACAGCACTCAACTTCCCCCCCCCCACAACACACACCCACGCACAGCGCTCACACCCCACCATAGCGCTCCTTCTGCCCACAACGCTCACCCCTGCCAAAGCGCTCACACACTCCCTTCACAGTGCTCACACCCCCCAAAGCGCTCACACCCACCCTTCACAGCGCTCACACCCCCCCCCTCAGAGAGCTCACTCCCCAAACTGTGCTCACCCCTCCCATAGCACTCATGCACACCCCAACAAGTCACCTTCCCCAGCGCTCCCCCCCCCACACAATGATCACCCCATCCCTTCACATCGCTACCCCCTCACAGTACCCATACACACAGCGCTCGCGTCCCGTCCACCCCTCCCCCCAGCGCCCACACGGAAATCATCCGGGTTCGAATCCTGGATGCGGTGCCTTAGGCAAATTTCCTTACTCCCCACACTTCTATTTACCCAGGAGTAAGCAGGTACCCGATTGTTTGTCCATTGGCAGATCGCTTTCCGGGCGTAATAATCCCTCAAAAAACAAATTGATCACTCAATCCAAGACCGTTTGTGGGACACTGCTGTGCACAATTGGTTGCCGCGTTTCGCCCACAAAATCCAGTCAATCCACTTTACAATATATTCTGTAAAGTGTTTGAGACGTCTCGAAGCCAGGATTATTGTCATTTTATCCTGCGCTATTTGGAGGGGAGGGTACTCAGTGGCTGTGTGCTTACAGGTGGGAGGTGATGTTGGCTCTGAAGGAGGAGAAGGGGAGAGAGCTGATCGGGACGGCAGATATGCAGACCTTCCTCTGCAGTTGTCAGGAAACCACTGCGATGCTCCAGGAGCAAATCACCCTGTTCTCTAATCGGGAGTTTGATCGGGACTTCAAGAAAAGAGTGTGGGCGGAGCGAGACATCCATACCCTGGAGGCTAGGATCGAATACCTCAAGAAAGTGGCCAAATCGTAAGTAATGTTATTCTTAGTTACAGGGTCTGCAACGCACGGAAGCCCATCACCCTGATCAGCTGGGTATCGATCACACATGGAACCCATCACTGTGATCGGCCAGGTGTCTGACACACGTGGAAAGCCGTCACCTTGTCTTGTATGGAATGCACATTCTCTCCCTGAAGGGACACACCCTGTTTATCTGGATTGACTATGCCAACTCCCTGCTTGTCAGCCTTCCCAACTCTTCCCTTCACAATCTGCAGATCATCCAGAACTCTGCCGCTCGTGTCTTCTCCTGCACCAGACTCCGTGATCCCATCCCACCCACCTTCGCCCGGCTCTCCCCATCCCTCAGAGGATCGAGTTCAAAATCCTCATCCTCAAGGCCCTCCATGGCCTTGTCCCTTCCTACCTCTCCGTTCTGCTAACCCCTTATCAATCTGTCCGCTCCCTCTGCTCAGCAGGCTCCAGCCTCACCAGCGATCAGGCCTTCAGCCTCCCTGCCCCCACCCTCTGGAACTTCATCCCACATTCCCTTCCTCTCGCTCCCTCCCTTGCTTTCTTCAAGGCACGCCTCAAGCCCCTCCTATTCAAAGATGCCTTCGGCCACCCTCCCTGCCCCTCCACCCACCCTGATCCCAGCACCCCCCCACCACCCGCTTGGGTCCTTATCCCTGACTGTTCAGTGCCTTGGCACGTTCTCCCGACGTGAAAGGCACTTTACAAATTAATTTTGTATTGTTCAGTACCTGAATCTGAAGAGTATTAGGCACAGGTTGGCAAGAGCCAAGGCTTGGGCACCCCAGAGTGTGTGACTGAGGTTAACACGATGTGTCTCCGGCTGCAGCATTAAGCAGACAAACCCGGCGGAGAGCGAGGCGATCATGGCGAAGGTCAGGGAGATGGAGCGGCTGCTGTGCAAGCTGAAGGAGCAGGCGGAGCAGAGGAAGCAGATGTTATCGGACTCCGACAAGCAGCAGCAGTTCCTGCAGGAGAGCCGCGAGCTGCTACTGTGGGCGTCCACTGTCATGGCCCGGTTACAGAGCTCGGAGACCGGCCTCGATGTCACCTCCGCCAACATGCTGCTGAAAGAGCATCGCCACGTCTTGACCGAGATTAACGCCCATAAACCCAAGTAAGACCCCCCCCCCGTGGGCACCCTGAGCCCCTCCCCGAGCTCCCCCTGCTGCTCACCCCAAGTTCAACACCAGCCCATCCCCAAGCTCCCCGCCAGCTCCCCTCAGCTTCTGCCCACATGCTCACCCCCCACCCCAGCTTCTTCCCCAAGCTCCAAGATTCCCCCACCAGCTACCCCCCACCCGAGCTCACCCACCCAAGCTCACTCCCCACCCCACAAGCTCACCCCACCCCCCACAAGCTCAACCCCACCCCCAAGCTCAGACAGCCCACCCTGCCCATCTCCCAAGGAATTGGGAAAGGGATGGAAATATCAGATGGAATCACAGTCAGCCATCGACTGCACCCATCCAGTCCGTTCGCTAACTTTGTGGAAATTAACCTACGATAGTCACTACACCTTACAGGAAAACCTGTGAAGCGCTTTGACATGTCTTCCCGACCTGAAAGGGACTGTACCAAAAGCAAGAATTATTGTTATATAAATCCCTTTTGTTATTGACCCACTTCCTACCTCTCTCTGCCCGGGGGACTCTGATCCATGCTGGGATGGGCGTCCCACCTCCATCCTGAGCCACCTGTTTCTTAAAGGGACAGGCCACTCATTATTGAGGTGTTTTCCTCTGACTCAGGTTCCGGGAGCTGGAGGAGCTTGGTGGGTGCGAGGCTGTAGCCCGGGCCGGTTCAGGGGGCGAGGTGGCTCAGATGATTGTGAAGCTACGGGAGGCACAGGAGGAGCTGGCTGGGGCCTGGAGGCAACGCAACCGGAAACTGGAGGAGGGTCTGCAGCTGCAGCAGTTTAACCGCGAGGCCGACCGCATTGAGGCCACACTATCCGGACACGATGCCTTCCTGAGGATCAGTGACCTTGGGGTAATGTGGAGGGTTAATCTCTGTGCGGGTAGTATGTTATGACTATGTTTTGGGAGTGAACGTGGCATCCAATTTGCACACAGCAATGTCCCCCAAACAGCCATGAATTGAATGCCCAATTTTATTTGGTGAATTGTTGGCCAGAACACTGGCAGAAACTCCCTTCTCTTTGCCAACCTTTAACGTCCAAGTGAACATTGAAAGGCCGACGCCTCTGACATTGCAGCGTTCCCCCAGCGCTGCACTGGAGCGTCAACCTCGACTGTGAGCTTAATGTCCCCGACTTGGGGCTTGAACCTACAACCTTCTGACTCAGAGGTGAGAGCGCGACCAACTTGGCCAGGCTGACACCCGACTGTGTGTTGCTAGTGCAAGTGATTGAGAGCGGGAGGTTCTGGTTGCCGTGTCTGAGCTGTAGGATCTCTGCTGTATTTCAGGACACGGTGGGCACTGTCAGCAGCCTGCTGAAGAGACACGAGGAGTTTGAAAAAATGCTGAGGTTGACTGACCAGCGGATACAGGAGCTGCAGAACATGGCGAGCAAAATCATCCAGAGTGGAAACTACGGCAGTAACACGTATGTGTCCACTGACTGGGTCAGGGCATGTGTGACAGTGAGTGTGTTGGGGTAGGTGTGACAGTGAGTGTGTCAGGGCAGGTGTGACAGTGACAACGCAGGTGTGATAGTAAGTGTGTCAGGGCAGGTGTGACAATGAGTGGGTCAGTGACTGGATTCAATGTGTGATATGTGCTTTCCTGACTCCAGGATCCAGAAGCGGGTGGACGTGATCCTGGAGCGACAGTGTAAGGTGAAGCGAAGCCTTAAGGAACGGAGGAATCTCCTCTCTGCATCGCACAAGTTCCAGGTCAGCCCCCAGCTCCCAGCCTCCATTCCCCAGCAGACAGTTCCCCTAGCCCTCAGCCCCCAACACACAGCCTCCAGCCCCTAGCTCCCAGCCTCCAGCCCCCAATCTCCAACCCTCAGACCCCAGCCTTGGCTCCGGGTCTGAGGGTTGGAGATTGAGGGCTGGATGGAGCTGGATCACTCACGGTGCCCTCCTCTGAATGTCTCTCTCTCTCTGTATCCCTCTCATTATCCCTCTCTTCACTTGCCGTCTTTCTATGTGTGTGTGTCCCTCTCCGTTCTCTCTCCCTTAACAATAATAATGATCCTTGCATTTGATATAACGCCTTATCATGTCTCCGAGATGTCTCAATGAGCTTCACAGGATACACTGTAAAGTGAATCGACTGTATTTTGTGGATGAAACGCGGCAGCCAATTGCGCACAGCAGTGTCCCACAAACAGTCGTGGATTGAGTGTCCAATTTTTTTTAAGGAATTAAAATTATCTCCGGAAAAGTGATCCGCCAATTGACTAACTGCTAGGTAAACAGAGGCGTTTGGAGTAAGGAAACTTGCCCAACGTTTCACCCTGTCGGGAATCAAACCCAGGTCTCTTACTTGCAAGGCGAGCGCTCTAACCACTGACCTACAGGACTTCTCTCTTCTCCCGCTCCATCTATTTCCTGACCTGCTCCCCTTCCTAATCTGTTTTTCCTGCTCCAGGAGTTCAACCGGGACGCTGCCGAGCTCCAGATGTGGATCGATGAAAAGTACGAGATTGCGTCCGACGAGTGTTACCGGGACCCGAGCAACATCCTGCGGAAACTCAAGCGTCATGAGGCTGTCGAAAAAGAGATGTTAGCCAACCAGGTGCAGGTGGAGGCTCTGCGGAAGGTGAGTGACACAGAGAGTTCACACTGAATCCTGTGAAGTGATTGAGAAGTCCTGACAGGAAAAGTGCTGTATCCAGTGTGTCCTGGTCGACAATGCCCCAGATCAAATCAGTCACTTCACCGCTGTATGTTGGAACATTGCTGGGCGCAACTTGGCTGCTGCGTTCACCTACACCTTATATGTCAACCTGGCTTAGGGGTAGCACTCTTGTCTCTGAGTCAGAAGGTTGTTGGTTCAAACCCAACATTTTGATTTGCAATCCCATGTCTAAGTGCTCCAATGCAGCGCTTGAAGCCTGTTGCATTGTTGGAGGTGTCTTCCTTTGGATGAGACGTTAAACCAAGGTCCTGTCTCCATACTCAAGTGGATGTTAAAGATCCCATTGAACTCAGCTCCTGGCCAACAATCCCCCAAATACAATTTTTTTCATTCACTCTGTGGTTTTTTGCGGAACATTGGTGTGAAAACTGGCTTCTGCATTTGCCCACAAAATACAAAAAGTGCCGAGTGAGATGTGAAGAATTAAATGTGTATATTGTCAGGGTGTGGAATGAAATGCCAGCAGTGGCTGTTGGAGATGTCCACTGGGTGGACATTTAGAAACAAACTAGATGGGCACTTCAGTGGTAGCCCTGACGGTGTAGTGGAGAGGGCTATAGCTCACAGGCTAGGAGCTCGCTCGTTCGAATCACGCTCAATGCATAGTTTCCTCTGAATTGTCCCTGATATTCCCAGGTTCAAGAAGAAACCAGCCAGGGTTTCTGCTCCTGGTCACTCTACAGCACCTTCTACTGGATGTATGTGTGACAGTCGGGTGGGGAGAGGTTGGTTTGGCTGTGATGCCCTCTTCAGATGTGTGATCTGCCCACACTCACTGCTCAGCCTCACGCACGGACAGTGGTCACTGGGGGGCAGAGAGGCCAGGCCAGGAGCAGAGAGGAGGGGATGGAGACAGGGATAGCGCAGACTTATGTGCAGGGCTGTTCCGGGATCGGGCTCATTCTTTCTGTGGTTGTCTCTAGGCCGGACAGGAACTCATTCGGGAAAACCATTACGCCAAAAAGCAAGTGGAATCTCACCTGGAGGAGCTAATCAGGAGGTGGAGTGAGGTGAAGAGTAAGATGGTGGAGAGAGGAGACAAGCTCCAGCAAGCCGGGCAAGAGGAACAACTGATGGAGCTGGTACAGGTGGGAGGCCTGTGCGGATATGTGACCTGGTTGCTGTGTGTGACACCGGTTGCTGTGTGTGTGACAACGATCGCTGTGTGTGTGACGACGATCGCTGTGTGTGTGTGATGCCGGTCGCTGTGATGCTGGTCTCTGTATGTGTCTGACCCCGTCGCTGTGTATGGGACGCTGGTCTGTGTGTGTGTGTGAGAAACGCCTGTCGCTGTGTGTGTGATACCTGTCGCTGTGTGTGTGTGGCTGACTGCTCTGTGCGTGTGTGTGTGTGTGAGTATGTGTGTGTGTGAGACGCCGGTCGCTGTGCGGGTGTCTGATGCCGGTCGCGGGGTATCTGACTGTGGTCGCGGTGTTGCCAGGACTCAGCGGTGAAGCTGGAGCGGATAGAAGCCATGTTGCGTGAGCGGGCGGTGGGCTCGGACCTGCGGTCGAGCCGGGCTCTGCTGAAGGAGCACACGCGGCTGGAGGCTGAGATGGCCATCCTCGCCGACAAAATGAACGGGATTATGAGCCGGGCGCACTCCATCGCCACAAACCACTTCAACTCCCAGAGCATCCTCCAGCTGACTCGGAAACACCTGGATTGGTGAGGCCCCACTCCTCGCTCCGTCCCTCTATTCTAACTACGTTCCTCTTGCTCCCTTTTACCCTCCCTCCTTCCCTCCCACTTTCGCTCCTTTCCTTCCTCCCTCCCTCAATCTAGAAACCCCCTCCCTCCCTCCCCACCACCCCCTCCCGCTCTGTGCAGTGTATTTGCTGGATGGTCTGGTGCTTTACAGTCAGTCAGTCACTGTCTCTGCTCCTCTCACTCAGGTTCCAGTCTCTGCAGCTGCCCCTGGAGCAGAGGCGACGGCTGCTGGAGGCCACGGTCAGGCTGTACGAGTTCTATCATGTCACTGAGCTGGAGATGACCTGGGTGTCAGAACGCATGGCGGCAGCCACCTCCAACAACTATGGCCGCTCCCTGGGCACGGCTCAGAACCTGCTGCACAAACAGAGGGTAACCCAGCGGGGAGGGGGTGGAGAGGGTGGGGGTGTGTGTGTGTGGGGGGGTGGGGGCTGAGGTGGAGTGGGTGTGAGGGACTGATGGTGGTGTGTCCAGGGTGGGTGGGGGGGGGTGGGGTGGGTGTTGGTCGAGCTGGTGGGGCGAGTGCTTGCTCACTGCTGACCTTTACTTGGGTGCAGGAGTTAAAGCTGGAGGTGAACACTCACAAGACTCAGGTGCAGAAGGTGCTGGACATCGGAGCCCGAATGATGGCCGAGCAGCACCCCAGCGCAACCAGCATCGCTGGCAAACGGCAGGAACTGGAGGCGGTCTGGCAGGAGCTGGAAAGAGCCTGTGAGGAGCGCAGGAGCAAGCTGCAACACACCGTCCGCTTCCATCAGGTGAGTGCAGGCTGGTCAGCGAGCCGGAGTCAGCCCCAAACACGATGGGGAGAGCCATCCGGGGAATGAGCTGCTAAGCATTCGCTCTCTGACCTCTTCTCTCTGACCTCAGTTCCTGGTCGACCTGGGGGAGCTGGAGGTCTGGGCGACTGAGAAGTTGCCGCTGGGGTCCAGCGAGGATTACGGGAAGAATGAAGCTGCCACTCAAACACTGCTCAAAAACCACAAGGTACGTCCATGGCCAATCCCGCACTGTGTCACTCTGAGCCCTCGACTCTAATTCCTCTCTCTGGGTTCACTGTATCTCTTTTTCTCTCTCTCTCTCTCACACTCACGCTCTCTCTCAGGCGCTGGTCAGTGATGTGCAGGTCCACGCTCAGCAGCTGCAGAGAATGGAGCAGGAAGCGATGGACCTCCCGCTCAGAGGGGTGATCGGGTACGACATGGTGGACGGGCCCCAGGATCAGGCGCGCAAACGGCTGGTGAGACTGCAGGAGAAGTGTACGTTAAGGTGAGCTCCCCCACCCGCCCTTACCTTGTGCCCGCCTGGTGACTGCTGCCCGGTACCTGCCCACCCCACCTTGTGCCTGCCTGGTGACTGCCCACCCGATAACTGCCCGTCCAGTGACTGCCCACCCCACCATGTGCCCGCCAAGTGACTGCCCGCCCAGTGACTGCCCACCCCACCATGTGCCCACCCGGAGCTTACCCCCACCATGTGCCTAACGGTGACAGCCTGCCCGGTGACTGTGTTCCAGGATGGTGAAGCTGACCGAGTCTCTGCATTGGCATGAGTACATGAGAGAGTGTGAGGAGCTGGAGCAGAGAATCACACAGCAACTGCAGACAGCTGCCTCCCAGGACTACGGCTCAGACTACGAACACGTGCTGGTAACGATTGCAAGATCCCCCCCCCCCACCCACCGAGATTCCTGTCTCCCCCAAGGTTCACGTCTCCTCCTGTCCCGAGGTTCCTGTCTCCTTCCCAAAGTTTCCCATTTTTCTTCCCCAAGTCAGACACCGGCTGATCACGGTGACGGGTTTCTGTGCTTGTCAGACACCGGCTGATCACGGTGACGAGTTTCCATGAGTGTCAGACACCGGCTGATCACGGTGACGAGTTTCCATACGTGTCAGACACCGGCTGATCACGGTGACGAGTTTCCGTGTATGTCAGACACCGGCTGATCACGGTGACGAGTTTCCGTGTGTGTCAGACACCGGCTGATCACGGTGACGAGTTTCCGTGTGTGTCAGACACCGGCTGATCACGGTGACGGGCTTCCACGGTTGGCAGGCTAACAACAGTAATGCTCGGTGATGTTCGGCGCTGTGTGATGGGCGAGGGCAGATAACAATGAAAGGACTGACTGAATCTGTCTTGTCAGCATTTGCTGGCTCTGTACGAGGTGTTCCATCACCAGGTGGAGTCCGGGGAGGAGCGGGTCCACGCGTGCCAGGCCCTGGCCAAGACCATGGTGGAGCAGGGACACTCAAAGTCACAAGAAATTGTGGAGAGACAGAAAGTGCTCAGGTACCCGCTCACCTCGCTGTCTGTAACAGGGCAGCGAGCCTCAACCTCCAAATCAACAACAACTTGCAGTTATATAGCGCCCTTCGCGCAGGGTTGTGTCCTGGAGCATCTCACAGTGTCGGAAACTGACAACGAGCCAGTGGAGAGGGAGGTGGGGGGAGAGGGGGGACCGTAAGCACAATCAAAAAGGAAAGTCTTTATGCGGGATTTGAAAGTAGGGAGGGATGGTGGGGGGGGGGTCAGCGGAGGGATTGAGGAAGAGAGTTCCAGTGGAGCTGCTCCCAGGGTTGGAGACAGAGCAGCGGGGAGGGCTGCCAGGGGCAAGGCAGAACGAACAGGGGAGGACGGGGCTGGTAGAGGGAGGGCATGGCTAGCAGGGGCAGGGGAAGATGGTAGGAGGAGGGCGGGGCTGCCAGGGGCGGGCAGGGATGCCAAGGGAGGGCGGGGCTGCTAGAGGAGGGCAGGGATGCCAGGGGAGGGCGGGGATGCTAGGGGAGGCTGTGGCTGCTAGGGGATGGCAGGGGAGGGCATGTCAGAGAAAGCAGCCCTTCAGTTACTTTGTGCTTCAGTGAAATCACTGAGAGTTAGTGATAGAGAAGACTCGCTGCCCCCAACACACACACACACTCACTCACATACACTGACTCGCACACATACACGTGCACACTCTCACACACACGCTCTCTCACACACGGTGACTGTTTCAGGGATCTGTGGTCCCAGTTGCTGGACATGACTCGGGACCGAGGTCGGGGGCTGGGGACGGCTGAGCAGGTCCACAAGTGTATCCGAGAGCTCGACGATGCTCTCAGCCACATTGAGGTACGTGCTGACCATGTGAGTGTGCAACATGTGGAGCGTGCGAGCGAGCGAGAGGAGCGAGAGGGGGGAGTGAGGAGCGTGAGGTGGGTGGGGGGGGGGGAGAGTGAGGGGAGCGAGCGGACAAAATTTCCACGTGTTATTTATCACAAGAAGCACATCACGAAGTGCAGGAAGCTTTCCTCCGGGAGTGAAGGCAGAAGGAGGCGGCAGCGTGGGGTCGTGCAGTTTCGACATTGCTTTCGTCTCTCACGCAGGAGAAACGAGCCAGCATCCCCGACGACATAGCCAAGGACCTGCGTGGCGTTCAGGCTCAGCTCCGCAAGCACGAGGCCGTGGAGCATGAGCTGATCGGTGCCGAGCAGCAGGTGAGAGGGAGCGGTCCGGTCGTACTGACAGACGCTCCGAATGACCATATGGTTTCACAACACCAATTATTCCGTACAATGAATAGTCTTTACGTTTGACAGTCTTTACATTTCCTTCGGGCGAGACGTCAAACCGCCTGTTCATGTGGATTTGACACGTGATAAAGCTCATATCAAATGTAAAGATTATTATCATTATTATCATTAAACCTTCGGCATGTTTCCTTACCTCCCCCCACGCCTCGACCCCACCTCACATACACAACCACACACACGCCTCAGTTTACCTAGGAGTGAATAGGAACCCCAGGCTGTCAGTCGATTGGTGGATCACTTTCCAGGGGGTAATAATCCCTTCAAAAAAAGATATAATAATTTATTCACTCAATCCACGAGTGACACTGTTTGTGGGACACTGCTGTGTCCAATTGGCTGCCGCGTTTCACCCACAAAACACACAGCGTGAAGCACTTTGAGACATCTCGCAGATGTGATGAGGCGCTATATCAAATCCAAGGACTATTATTAGTATTATTATTTTTATTATAGTGCCGGGTGGGGATAAACCCTGTCACTGCCTTTAACAATAATAATCCTTGCATTTGATATAGCACCTTATCTTGTCGTCGAGACGTCTCAAAGCGCTTCAGCGAATATAACAACAAAATTACATTTGTATAGGGTCGATAATGCAAAGTGAATTCACTGTGTATGTTTTGTGGGCAAAATGCAGCAGCCAATTGCGCACAGCAGTGTCCCACAAACAGTCGTGGATTCGGCGGCCAAATTATTTATTTTTATTGACAATATCGTGTCTCTGTAGCTCCAGGAGCTGCTCGATAGTTCGGACGCAGTGCAGGAGCGATGTGGCCTGGAGGCGAGTGCTGCTGTGCCCCTCAGGCAGCAGGTGGTGGTTGACAAGTGGGAGGCCCTGAGGAACAAGGTGAACCAACGCAGAGAGGAGCTGGAGCAGGCCTGCAAGATCCAACACTTCCTGGCGTCGGTGAGTGCAGCCCGAGCCCAACCCCAGCCCCCAGCTCAGCCCCGAGCCCATCCCTGACTTCCAGCCCAGCCTTCAGCCCCAGCCCCAGCAACCAGCCCTCAGCTCAGCACCGAGCCAAGCCCGGCCATTCCTAGCCCCAGGACGGCCCAGCCCAGCTCGCAGCCCAGGCCCCAGCTCCAACTCCAGCCTCCAGTCCAACCCCCAACCCCCAACCCCAGCTGGCCACCGGCTCCCAGCTCAGTCTACGGCTCAGCAACCAACCACGGCCCCGAGCCCAGCCACCCAGCCCATAGCCCCGAGCCCAGTCTCAACCCCCGTTCCCCCAACAACCAGCCCCCCAGCTCAGCCACCAAACCAACCACTAGCCCAGCAACCAGCCCCCAGCTCCAGCGCCCAGGGGGTGCTCTTGTTGGCGAATGCCAGGTGGGCATCAGGCTTGGCAGGAAGTTGGGTCCTCACGATGGCCGTGGGCGGGCCTGGCCCTGTCTCGGAGAGAGAACCCGTGTGCCCAGCGTGTGACAGAGATGCCCCAACTCCTCTCCGTTCTTCATCCCTCAGGCTCGCGACTACTTCTCCTGGGTGGCCGCCCTGACCAGGGAGATGAAGGTGGAACAGAGCACGCGAGATGCCGCCACGATCGAGGCGAACCGCACCCAACACCAGCAGCTGCGGGCCGAGCTGGATGCCCGGGAGGAGAGCTACCAGCAGGTGCTGAGCCTCGGCCAAGAGATCCTACAGGAGGAGATGGTCTCCGCCAAAGATGTGAGTGACTCACCCCTGGCCCCCGGTGTCAGAGAGAGGGCAGGGGTCACAGTCAGAGGGGGCAAGGATCACAGTAAAGGGGGCAGGAGTCACAGTAAAGGGAGTAGGGGGGAATAGTAGTGGGAGCAGGGGTCACAGTGTCTCTCTCTCTCTCTCAGGTTAGAGAGAAGGTGCACGCTCTGCAGGAGAACAGGAGGCGCCTGCACCGGCAGTGGGACGAACGTCAGGCCTGGCTGGATCGCGTCTACCTGGAGCAGGTGTTCCACCGAGACGCTGAGCACCTGGAGAAAACCATGAACTCTCAGGAGGTGAGTGAACGAAAGAGAGAGCGAGTGTGTGAGTGAGCGATCAGGGTGTGAGAGCGACAGACTGGGGGTGTGAGAGCGACAGACTGGGGGTGTGAGAGCGACAGACTGGGGGTGTGAGAGCGACAGACTGGGGGTGTGAGAGCGACAGACTGGGGGTGTGAGAGCGACAGACTGAGGGTGTGAGAGCGACAGACTGGGGGTGTGAGAGTGATGGTCTCGGTGTGTGTTTCAGGTTTACCTGCGCTCGAGTGACCTGGGGGTGTCTGTGGATCAGGTGGACTCACTCATCAGGAGACACGAAGCCTTTGAAAAATTACTGGCCAGTCAGGAGGAGAAGGTGCACACGCCACACACTGGTCATGCCTCACACATGCCTCGCACACGCTCTGCATTTGCCCAGCATTACACTCCACACACATCTTGAAAACACCGCTGACCAGCGTACCCATATTCGGTGCAGAAGGGAGGGGGTTTTGGGTGGTGTCTCTGTTTTGGACTGCGATGGGTGTTTGGTGCGGGGAGAGTGGGGGGGAATGTGATCTGGGGGAAATCTATTCGAGGTGACGAGGATGGAGTTGTTAGCAATGCTGAGAGGTCTGTTCTGGAGTGGGTGTCTGCAGGGGGGTTGTTTGCAGGGTTTGATCTCAGGTTTGAGTGGGGGTAGCGGGGGGGAGTTGGGTCAGAATTGTTTGCGGGTTGCTGATCACAGGGGTGTTGGGGGTGCCTGCGGGGCTGATGGCGGGAGGGTGGGGTGGGGGTGGCGGGGTGGGGCGTCGGTGGCGGTGTCTGCGGGTGGTGGGGTCACACGCCGTCTCTTTGTTGCAGGTGTTGCAGTTGCAGGCTCAGGCACAGCGGCTGCAGGAGGCGGGGGGGTCCGTGGTAGGGGCCGGGGCTGGGGAGGTGCAGGTCCGCCTCAGCGCCGTGCTCCAGCGTCGCCAACGCATCAAACAGCTGTCAACGCTGCGCAGTCACCAACTTGGTATCGCTCGCCGCCTCGCACACTTCAACCAGGACCGGAGACAGGTAACCAGCCAGCGCCCCCTCACCCCAGCCTCTCAACCCGTGCAGTCGGCTTGGCTCAGTCAGTAGGACACTCATGACTGAGGTAGATGATTTGGGGTTGAAACCCCACTTCGGACCAGGCTGACACTCCAGCGGGGGGGGGGGTTGTGCTGCATTTTCAGAGGCGCCATCCTTCAAATGAGGCGTTAATCCAAGATTACGTCTGTTTATTTATTTGAAACAGCAGGGAATGGAAGAACCAGCGCGGACAAGATGGGGAGAGAGAGAGAGAGAGAGAGAGAGCGCAGGGGAATGGGGTTAGAGTAGAGAGCTCCAGTGGGGGAGCGAGCACCAGCACAGACAAGATTGGAAGAGCAGGGAATTAGAGTGGAGAATATGAGCCCAGTAGGTTATGCCCTCCTGTGCCTGTGTCTCTCTCCAGGCAGACAGCTGGATCACGGAGCGGATGCAGAAGCTGAAGGAGAGCTTTGTGGTGGAGGCTCAGAACCTACGTGAAAAACTCAAACTCCTGCAGAAACATCAGGCCTTTGAGGCTGAGATCCTTGCCCATGAGGAGATCATCACCAGTGTGACTGTGGTAAGGCCAATGGGTGTCTGGTATAACTAGCGTAAGGGCTCCCGCCCCTTCCAAGCTTCTCTCCAGGCTCCACCCACCCCTGGCCCCCTACCCAGGCTCGCCCACCCAACCCAGGCTCGCCCACCCCGCCCCAGCCTTGCCCCCACTCCAGGCTCAGCCCCCTACCCAGGCTCGACCACCCCCCCCCCCACCCCAGCTCACCCCCCAGCGGCTCACCCCTGCTCCCAAGGCTCGCGCTCCCCTCCAGGCTCGCACCACCCCCCCCCGGCTCGCACCCCCTACCCCCTACCCTCAGGCTTTGACCCCCCCCCCCATGTCCCCCACAGGCTCCTCTCCACCTCAGCCTCCGGCTCCTGCCCCCGGGCTCTGTGCGTGCGCTCTAACACTCTTTACCCTCTCAGGCGGGTGAGGAGTTGGTGGCAGGCCAGCATGCCCAGGCGGCTGAGATCCGAGCTGGTGTGCGGGCTCTGCTGCAGCATTGGGTGGAGCTGAAGGCGGCTGTAGCTGCTCGCGGGAAAATGCTAGAGGATCACCGTGATTTCCTCGAATTCCTGCAGAAGGTGGACCAGGTGGAGGCCTGGATCCGAGAGAAGGTAACGAGAGTCTAGGAGTATAATAATCCGTGCATTACATAGGGAGGGTGCCTTTCACATAGGGACGATGGCTTAAAGTGCTTTACGGGATTCACTGTAAATTGTAGTGATTTGTGGGCAAATGCGATAGGCGATTTGTGCACAGCAATGTCCCACAAACAGCCGTGAAGTGAATGAGCGATGTTTATCTGCGGGATTGTTGGCTGCGATACCAGGAGAGAGAAACTCTGTTCTCTTTTTGAATTATACCCTGAGATCTTTAAAGTCCACGTGGACAGAGGTTTAATGTCTTATCTGAAGGACGGCATCTCTGACAATGCAACACTGCCCCAGAGTTCCACGTTCCCATGTGGAGCTTGAAGCCACAATCTTCTATCTCAGAAACCAGCACACTCGGGAGGATAGACAACCACTTAGCCCATCCTGGAGTCTTTCCCCACCTGAGACACCGTATGCAATACCACAAATCTCTCCACAATGGCCCAGTGCTACCTCCACAACCTCTTTCAACCCAACCAACCCAGAGGGGTGTACCTTGCTTACCTCGCCCTGGAGTGTTCGGCCCAGGTTACCAAGAGCTAAGGGTTTGGGGAACCCAGAGTGTGCATTGGCTGAGGTTTACCCAGTTTGGAGCTGGACGCTGTCTGGCAGGTTTCCCACTCTCTCTGTAGTCTTCACTCTGCTCAATATGGCTGTGGGGTTTCCCCGGAACCTAATCTCGGGAGCAATAGTGCTGAAGAGCTCAGAGGTGTTTTGCTGTGAGAAAGAGCTGTGAACCCATCCAATCTTCATATCGCCCAACATTGGCTCTGTGTGCCCGTGTCCCCCCCGTGTATCCTGTGTGTTCCCTGGCAGTTTCAATGTGTGACCCTGCTTCACGTGTGTCACCAGGAAGTCATGATCAATGTGGGGGACGTGGGCAAAGACTATGAGCACTGTCTGCAGCTCCAGAAGAAACTCAATGAATTCCGAGGAGCTGGATCCCGGGTAGGTGCTTCTCACTGCTGCCTGACATAAGCGCTGGGGGAGGGAGAAAGGGCCAGGTGGGTTGGGGGAGGGATATAACCCTTTGCTTCCACCCTACCACTGCATTGTTGGTTTTGATTTTTTTTTTGTTTATTCTGGTGTGTGACACACATGCAAACCCATCAACAAGCTTTAGAGTCTCCAAACTAGACCGAATAAGTCACCCTGGCACATATGGGAATCCCTGTGTTGGGATGCAATGCTCACTCGCTTCCTGGAGCGATGCATCCTGCATACTTAATTCCAGACATGATAAGGCTCAGGTTGGTAAGAGCCAAGGCTTGGGGACACCAGATGGTGGGTTGGGGTATCTGCCGGAGTCCATCCAGCTAAAACCACATAGCTTGCCATAACGTTGTCTGACAAGCTTTCCTTCTGCTTGTCTAGCTAGAAACACCCTACCCTTTAGGGCTTTGGCTTGCAAGGTTAACAGGAGCTGGGTGGGAAGAATCCTTGTCCCTGCGCTAGTTGTGCCGAGGTGTAATTGGTGCTGGGTTCTCTCAGGATATCACGGTGGACGATGCTCACATTAAAGCCATCGGCACTCTAGCCACCAGACTGGAACGGCAAAACAAGGAGGAGCTGGTGACTGTCCGCCGGAGAAAACAACAGCTGAACGAGAGGTAATAGGACACCCACTATCCCCTCCCCACAAACATACACGCGCCCTAACCCAAATTCACACACATCACTCTCATACACACACACACATATTAATGAGACACACACATCACTCTCATACACACATATACACACACTCACAGACATACACACTCACACATGCTCGCACACACATAGCACACACACACACATCTCATCACACACATCAAATCTCAAACACACATGTCTCACACACACACATACATCTCACACCTCGCTCTCTCCCCTTCGTGTCTGTGTTGGTGCTCGCTTCTCACTGGAGCTCTCTACTCTAATCCCATTTCCTGTTCTCTCCCCATTGTGTCTGTGTTGGTGCTCGCTCTCTCTCCCCCACCTCCATCCCCACCCAATCCCGTGTGGAGAAGTGAGTGGGTGGGTGAGTTGGGAGTGTGATCAGTGAGGAAGGAAATAGGGCAAAGGGGGGAGAGGGAGGGGACAATAGATGTGGGGAGGGCAAAGGATGGCTGGGGTGAGGGAGAGGGCATGTGAGGGCAAGGGGTCGAAGGACAGTGAGAGGGAGAATGGAGTGGGGGGAAGAGGATCTCGCTGTCTTGCTGCTCTCCAGAGTCTGATATCCTGATGTCGTTTCCCAGGTGGACTAATTTTCAGGGGAATCTGAATAAGTACAAGAAGAAGTTGGAGGCAGCCCTGGAGGTTCATGCTCTGATCCGTGAGATGGACGAGATTAAGGAGCGTATGCGAGAGAAGGTGAGTCTAGTGGCGATGACTCTGAGAAAGGTCTCTGTTTGCTCTACTGTCCAGGTGCTGGTGTTGCTGTGGAGGTGATCGGCTTTCATTTGAGGTCTGGCTCAGTCACTCAAACTCTCACTGTGAGTTGTGGGTTCAACCCTCACCTGAGGACTCAAGATCACAGTCCTGGCCGACACTTCAGTGCATTGCCTAAGAGCACTATATCCTAATCGCCCTTCTGATTAGACCTAAAACTGAGGTCCCATCGGCCTGTTCAGGTGGATGTTAAAGATCCCATGGCACTATTCGAAAAGAGAAGGGTGTCCTGGCCAACAATCCCCAATAAAACGCTGGTCTCTGTGCTGTGTGTGAGAAGACCACTCACTCCGCTGTCTTTCCAGAGCGCTGCTATGCAGGGCCTGGACTTTGGCCGAGATGTGGCGAGTGTGGAAATCCTGCTGAGGAAACAGAAGGAAACAGAGCTGGAGATCACTGTGATCCGAGACAAGACAGAGGTAGGAGCCGGCGCCCGGCCAGGGAGTGGGGCCACTGGGCTCTGGGTGATGGCCTACAGCCAGGACTGCCGGTGTGTTTGGGGTTCAGGGGGGGAGCAGGAGAGCGTGAGGGAGAGGAGAGCAGTGCATGGGGAGCCTCTGCTGGTTGGGGCTGAGTGCTGCTTGATCCCTGAGGAGTATGGGGGTGGGGGGCCGCCAAATTGTTTGAGGGGAGGAGGGGTGGGACTGAAGTTGAGATAGGGGATTGGGAGGGGCTGGAGCTGTATTATGGAAAGGTTTGTGAGGGGATGGGGGCTGGGTTATGGAGGGATTGGGATGGGTTACCAGTGGGGATGGGTTATGAGGGACATTTGTTGGAGTGGGGGGGGGGGGTGAAGTTGGGTTATCGGTGTGGGGGTGGGGGGTGTTGGGGGGTTGTGGCTGGGTTATCTGCCTTTGAAGGGTGGCTGTAATCTTGCCTCTCTGCCTGTCCCCCTGTCTGTCCACCCGCCAGGCTCTGGAGGCTGAATGCAGGCAGCTGTCCACCTCGCGGTCGCCCCTGTGTGATCAGCTGATGCAGAGGCAGCGAGAGCTGCAGGAGATCTGGCAGCGACTTCAGAGAGAAGCCAAGCTCAGGTGAGTTCCATGCGGCTCCCACACACGGGAGATGAGCACCACACAGGCGAGGCCATTCACCACACTCCAGTCTCTCATCAGGTTGTGGGGCCGATCTTTTACATCCAATAGCCCGCCCTGACACCACACCTCAATACCTGCACTGCCCCAGTCCCTGTCGCTCTTTCAAACATCCCGGTTGATTCTGCCTTACAGCTTTCTGGGCCAAGTATTCCCCATCCTCACCACCCTCTGTGGGAGGCAGCACTTCCTGACCTTTCTTCTAGTTGTCTTGGCTCTGAGTTCGCAGCCTCACTCCTGTCTTACTGTTGTCACAAATCAGCTGCTCCATTTGTCCTGTCACAATATTCACTTCATTTCTAATCAATTCTATTCTATAAAGCGCTCCCATCTTTTGCACAGAAGACACCAGATAAACAGGTTATAGTTATCTTGCAGTCCAGTTATAACCCCACTGCAGTGTGCCTGGACAGCAATCCTCCTTATAACCCGCTTCACTGTCGCGCAAATTCACTTGTAACATTCACTTTAGGTGTCAGTCTGGCTCACTAGGTCGCACTCTGGCTTCGGGGTCAGAAATCATGTCAAAACAGGCAACAATAAACAAGGCTAACAGGATGCTGGACTATATTGCTAAATCAGTTGAGATTAGATCCCCAGATGTCATTCTCAGGCCACACCTTGAATACTGTGGACAGTCCTGGTCAGCTCGACATAAAGGGCTGCCCAGGTAATGCAGAAGAGAGCAACGAGGCTGTTCCAGAGAGTTAGAGGAATGAGCTGTGCTTAGACAACGATTAGACAAGCTTCAGTCTTGAGAGAAGGTGACTCAGGAGATCTTATAGAGGTGTCTTACATTTTAAATGGTATTGAAAAAGTAAAAGTAGATCTTCACATTGACCCCTCTCTGTATGGTGAAGTGCCTTCACCACCCAAACCAATCTAGTGATTTTGTGGGCTCAAGGCCCACAGTTGAACTCAGCTCATCTTCATTCGTGCAGTGATGAGGGAGCATTACATTGTCAAAGTAGCTGTCTTTCGGATGAGATGTAAAACAAAGTCCTTTCGGTGCCTAATCAGGTGGACGTTAAGGATCCTATGACCCTATCAGAATAGAGAAGGGAGTTTCTCCCGGTTTCCTGGCCAACAATCTCCCAAATAAAATTGGTCAATTGCTTCACAGCTGTTTGCGGGTCACTGCTGTGTGCAAATTGACTGCCAAAACAAAACACACAGTCACTACACTTTACAGAAACTACTCCAGTGAAGCGCTTTGAGACGATTATTATTATTCTTTGGGGGCAGGAGGGAGAGGCTGGAGGCTGCCTACCGCTTACACAGGTTCAGTCAAAGTGCTCGGGAGCTGCTGGACTGGGCGGACAGTGTGGAGGCCCTGATGGCAGAGGGGAGGCTGCCAAAGAGCAAGCTGGAGGCCGAGAGCCTGATCCAGGAGCACTGGGAGAGGAGGGTAAGGACCCGCACAGGAGGCATTGAGACACCACCCCAACACACAACACCCCCAACCCACTGACACCAACCTCCCCATTGACACCAACTACCCCCACTGACACCACCCCCACCCACTGACACACCCCCCCACCCACTGACACACCCCCCACCCACTGACACACACCCCTACCCACTGACACCACCCCCCCGACACTACCCCCACCCACTGAGACACCCCCCCCTACCCACTGACACACACCCCCACCCACTGACACACACCCCCACCCACTGACACCACCCCCACCCACTGACACCCCCAGACAGGCAGTGTGTGTGTGTATATATGACAGGTGGTGTGGGTGTGGTTGCACACTGACTGTGTGCGTGTGGGTGTGTGATGTAGGCTGAGATGCAGGCCAGGGAGGAACGCTTTGCTGCGGTGCAAACGGTGGGGACTGAGCTGGTGCAATGTGGGCACTCGGCTGCCCCGGAAATTCGGCACACACTGGCACAGGTGCAGGATGCCCGGAGAGCCCTGGGACACAGCTGGCAGGAGCGAGACCTCAGGCTGGCCGAGGCACGTGATCTGCAGGTACGTGTGACGCCCAGACTGTCCGGAGGTGGGGGGAGTGGGGAGGTCTCTTTGGGGTTGACCTGGTTTTAGTGTGTATTTGGTAACGGAATGTCAGAATCAAGCCCACCCACTGGGTCGGTCTCTAGTCCGGTTCCCGAGCCGGGTTTCCGCAGTATTCCAGGGCACTGTCGATGCCAGCACAGTCCAGCCTGGCTCATCGTGGAGGGGGCAGGGATTTTTTCTCCACTCAACTCCTGTTGACCCTGCAAGACAAAGCCCTAATGGGTTGGGTGGTCCTAGCTGGACAGCTTGCCAGACAGCGATATCAATAGCAAGCGATGTGGTTTTAGCTGGTTAGACTCCAGCAGTTACCCCATCGCGCACCCTGGGGTTCCCAAGCCTTGGCTCTTGCCAACCTGCACCTAATACTTTCCAGAAGTATTCTTATTATTTTTATTATTATTATCATTCTCGTAAAACTCTTCTGTACCCACTCCAAGGCCTAAATGTCCTTTGTGTAGTGAGCTGCCCAAAGCTCAATACATTGGTTAGACTTCAGCTGTGGTCTAACCAATGATGTGAACCAATTTACTGCTTTAATTCTGAACTTCATGTCTTTATGTATAAAACCCACAAGAGCTTTTTGTACAGCCGTTTTGAATAAGTGAGTGTAAACCTGTCAAAGCCTTGGTAAGCTCTGTGGAAGTGCATGTAAGTCATATGAAAGCATGTTATTTTGCTGTCTATCAGGTATTTTATGGCTACATGGAGCAGAGTGAGAGCTGGCTGAGCAGTAAGGAGGCGTTCCTGGCCAATGAGGACCTTGGGGTGAGTTCCTCTCTCACATCTGTCACCTCCATTCATTGGCATTGAATTTTGGACCCTCTGTGTCAGTTTGTCCCACAATGGAGACTCTGAGCTTACAGTGCTGGGGAGTGCTAAATTATCAGAGGTGTGTCCTTCAGATTATTCCTTAAACCGAGGTCCTATCTGTCCAAATAGATGTTAAAGATTCCATGGCATTAATGGAAAAGAGAAGGGAGATTCTCCTGGTGTTCTGCCCTGCAATCCCCCAGATAATATTGGTCATTTATTTTATGGCTGTTTGTGGGACGTTGCTCGTTTCTGTGTTCATCTATGAAATACACAGGCACTACACTTTGCAGTAAAGTGCATTGAGACAAACTTCCTGACGTAAAAGGCGTTGTATCTAATGTAAGAATAATTACTAAAAATACTGGCTAAACAATCATAATGGGATGGGAATCCTTTCTACACCTTGGTGACAGAGCCTAATAATGGCAATGAGGAGCAGATAATGACTTTGGGTGGGGATCGGGTGGGCCAGATCCAGGTGGGAAGCCCTGGGGTCTCTTGTTGGTCTGTCCCTGGATTCTGTGGGGGGGCAAACCCATTGCTCTACCTTCACAGTGGTTTAAGGTTGTGATTCTGGTAGGGGTCCGGGCTTGTGTGTGTGTGGGCGGGGAGGGATTGGGGGTTCCTAATGTGTGTGTGTGTGTGTGGGATGGGGGGTACCGGTGTGTATATTGGGGGGGTGGCCTTGTGTGTGAGTGTGTGTGTGGGAGGGGGGGTCCTGGTCTGTATCTGGGTGGGAGGTCCTGGTGCGTGTGTGTGGAGCGGTGTCTCGATGTGTGTGTATGGGTGGAGGGTGTGTCTCGGTGTGTGTGTGCGGAGCAGGGAATGGGGGTCTCGGTGTTTGTTGGAGAGGGTATCCCGGAGAGGGATCTGACGTCCCCTGGTTTCAGGACTCGTTGCTGAGCACGGAGATCCTGCTGCGGAAACACGAGCACTTTGAGGAGACGCTTATGGGCCAACTGGAGAAGGTGGACGTGACCGAGAGGTTCTGTCTGCGTCTCAAACAGAGAGACCACCGCGACTCGGAGAACATCAGTCGCATGTGTCACGGCCTGCTCCATAGGTACAGACCCTGCCTCCACCCTCCCTCTCCTTTTCCTGCCATTGATTTCTATGATTCCATGATCCCATAAATTCTATGACTCTATTTATTTGCGGAGGACAAGTTTGCAGGGCTATGGGGAGAGAGCAGCGAAGTGGGATTGATTTGGATAGCTCTTTTGAAAGAACTGGCACAGACATGATGGGTCGAATGGCCTCCTTCTGTACTGTATAATTCTATGATTCTATTGAGCGTCAGCTTGGGGCAGTGGCTCAGAGCGTTCTCGCCTCTTGAGTTCGTGGGACGTTGCTATATGCAAATTGGCTGCCACATTCACCTACGAAACACAGTCACTACACTTCACAGTGAATCGCAGGAAATGCTATGACATGTCTTGATATACTGTTGTTGTACTTCCTTCTTTTCCAGGAAGAAAGTGGTGCTGGAAAAATGTGAGTCTCGCAAGAGGAAGCTGAGAGAGTCCCGGCAGCTGCACAAGTTCCTGAGGAGTGCCAATGAGGTACGTAATCAGGCAGCAAATCCCTGCACAACCCAGCCAGACCCTAAACCCGCTAGCGCAACTTTGTGGGCCTTCCGGCAGCTATTGTGCAGACACCTGCAGCAGCCATTTTTGCAAACCATTTATATGTTCAAGCTCCACATCAGGACTTTGAGCTCACAGTCTAGTCTGAGGCTCCAGTAGTGTTTGGAGAGCACCAACTAGCCCTCCTTCTGATGAGATGCTAATCCAAGGTCCCATCTGTGCCTGTTCAGGGGGATGTAAAAGATCCTGTGGGACTATTGGAAAAGGGAGTTTCTCCTGGTTTCCAGACTAAAATCGGTTACTCGTTTCATGGTTGTTGGTGGGGACAGTGTTGTGTGTAAATTGGCTGCCCGTTCGCCCACGAAATACACAGCTACTGGACTTCACAGAAATGAGTCCCCTAAACTCTCCCCACCTGAACACGCACAGATGGGACCCTGAGAGGACAGTGTGCCGGGATAGTGTAGGTTTCTCTCACTCCCACCACCTGCAGGAGTGGAGCACTGCATTGTCATGGCCTCCATGCTTCCACTGATAGATGTGTGATAAACTGCTGCCTCTCTCCTCGCCTCCCCCTCTTCATCTTTCTTTAAAAGCCACCTGAAGACCAACCTCTTCAACCACGTCCGTGGTCACCTCTTCCTCCCCCTCCTCGATCGTTCAGCATCTGTCCCTGGCACCACACGGCGGTCCAAGACGCTATCCTGCGTGAGAGTCTGTGCAGTTACAAGTTGTTAGGCTTTTTGATATTGTCAAATGTAAAGATTATTATTATTGCGCTGTGAGGCTTTTTGATATTGTCAAATGTAAAGATTATTATTATTGCTCTGTGCATAGCTGCCTGACTTCCCCCTCCCCCCGTTTACTGACCCCTGCGGGGAGTCATGGTTGGAGAGACCCATCCCCACCCACGAGGGCAGATTAATAAAGGACTCCCTGTGTTTGTTGACCACAGGCCGCCATGTGGCTGAATGAGAAGTTGAGCGTCACCGAGGACCAGAGCTGGAGGGAGCTCAGTAACTTACAGGGCAAACTGCAGAAACACCAGACCACAGAGGCAGAGGTGCAGGCCAACCAGAACAGGATCTGTGGCATCAGCACGGTAAGGCGCTCCCCTGCGCTCCCCCACTTTCCCGCACCCCCCCCAACCTCCCTCTGCACCCCCACCCTCCCTCCGTACCCCCACCCTCCCACCGCGCCCCCTCCCCTCTTAGAGTAGGGCGTGGCTCACGCTCTGGGTGTGTTGCAGGAGGGAGAGCAAATGATGCAGGATGGCCATTACGCAAGCGCTGAGATCGAGCCGCGATTCAGGCAGATCGAGGAGCTCTGGAAGAAGCTGCTGAGCACATGTCAGGAGAAGAGAGCCCACCTGCTGGCTGCCAGCGAGGTACATACGGGGGAAGGGGGCGCAGCGGAGGGAGCTGTAGGGGGAGGGAAGAAGGGGGTGAGGGCTGTGAGGGGATGGGGCTATGCGGGAGGGGGGAGGGGGAAGAGGTGTGCTGGGGGGACTGTGTGGGGGTGAGATGGAACGCGGGGGTGGGGGCTGTGGGAGAGGGAGGAGGGGGAAGAGGGGTGGTGTGTGGTGGGGAGGGTGTGGGAGTGGGCACAGGGCAGGCACTGGGCTGACACCTGACTCTGGCGCAGGCTCTGAGCCTCCAGCGCAGTGTTGAGGACATGGAGCAGTGGCTGGCCGAGGTGGAGAAGCAGATGTCCAGCGAGGATTGCGGCAGCGAGCTGGCCTCGGCCAGGCTGCTCCTGGCGAGGCAGCAGATGCTGGAGGAAGACGTGACCGGACACGTGGAGCGGCTGCAGACCCTGCATGACAGGTCGGCCGGCTTCAGCAGCGGCCACGTCCTGGGCCAGCAGCTCCGTGGCAGAGTGGACCGTGTCCTGGAAAGGTCAGTCTCCGTTTCTATTGGCCCTGGTACCTATGGGGAAGAGGGATGGGGGGCACAGGGGGAGTGGGGAGTGGTGGTGTTTGTGTGGGGTTTTGCTTTTGGGTGCGGTGTGGGGGAGGGGGGATATTTCCGTGGGGGAGGGCTGTTTTCGTTGGGGGAGGAGGGGTGTGTTTTGCGGGGAAGGGCGCCATAAAATAAATGACCACTTTTAGTTGAGCAGGTCAGGGCTGGCGGAGAGGGGGCAACCCAGGGTTACGGGGGAGAGGATGCGAGTGTGGGACTGCCTGTGCGCTACAGGCCTGATGTCCTGCTTTGTGTCTCAGGTACAACGCTCTGGGGAAGCCGATGGAGCGGCGACGGCAGATGCTGGAGGCCAGTCTGCAGCTGTTCGAGTTCCTGCAGCACCTGGAGGACGAGCGGGCCTGGGTCCAGGAGCGGCTGCTCCGGGCTTCTAACCGCGACTGCGGACAGTCCCTCACTGCCATCCAGAGCCTGCAGAAAAAACACCAGGTGAGGGGCCATGAGGTGGGGCACGCGAGGGGGGAACGCAAGGGGGCTTATGCGAGAGGGCGGGCACTTGAGGGCGGGTCACATGAGTGGGTATCACGTGGGGGGGTGCACATGGTGGGGGGCACGTGAAGGGGGCCGCATGAGGGGGGCAAGTGAGGGGGGCAAGCGAGGGGGAAAGTTGCACTACTGGAAGGGGAATACGGGCACCAGTGACTGTACACACTGACAGTGCTCTCTCTCCCTCTTCACCCCCCTCCGCCCTTCCCCCACGCCCTTCTCCGCCCTTTTCCCCTCTGTCTGGGGCAGGCGTTGGAGGATGAGATCAGCAGCCACCAGTCTCTGCTCAAGGCAGTGGTGGACACGGGCCAGAGGATGGTGAAGGACGGGCACTTTGCGGCCAGGGAGATCTCCAAGCAGCTGTGGGACCTGAAGGACGCAGAGGAGACACTGAGAGAGGAGGCGGAGAGGAGGAGCCGGCTGCTCAGAGAGGCATACGAAGCACAGTTCTTTCTTACTGAGGTACATCTCGCTCACAACTACCAGCCTTGCATCACACAAGTGGACTCAACTGGCTACCTTTTGCACTGAACCCGGGGTGGGTGGTGGGGGGGGGGTAATAAATCCTTCAAAAAAAACTACTAATAATAATTTGGTCACTCAATCCACAACTGTTCGTGAGACACTGTGTGCGCAATTGGTTGCTGCGATTCGCCCACAAAATATAGTCAATTAACTTTACAGTATATTCTGTGAAGCGCTTTGAGACGTCTCGAAGATGTGCTATCTCAAATGCAAGGATTATTATTATTATAATAACCCGCCATCTTGATTACTGGGGCACCCGATGGGACATGTTGGTGGGAGAAACAAATGCGGAATCAGGGTTCTGCATGGCTCAAGAGAAGACATCGAGGGTATTAGAATAGTAGTAGAATAATGGTGGCCAACCTTTTGGGTCGGCCACACAAGTCTATTTTTCTTGATTGAATATTTCTTGATTTATGGCCACGCCATAAATATCACTAATCAGTGATCCGGAAACAAAATGTTGGTTTAACAAAGGCGTACCTAGACTGGTGCAAATCCTTGACACCACGTGGGCCATGGGTTGGCCACCACTGGATTAGAATTGCTTAGAATTTGTTCCAAATATTGATTCTTATCGGTACTTCGAGGTCATGGTGGACACCAATGTTTGATTGGACACCGTCCTGAGAAGAGGCGAAAAGCAATCTTGTGGTGCCTATCTCTCTTCAGGGACAGCAAGGTCCCATTTCAGGTCAAGCTTGTGGCATATAAGACCTGTGTGCAAAAGGCCTCCTTTATGGATCTGAGTTCCTGGAGATTCAGCAGAGAGATTTCCTCCAACCCATCTGCAAAATCCAGGATCAAGCAGTCAAGTGGATTTGTGGCAAACATAGGAAGCGGCTACAGGAAGGGAGGGCTCTGGCCTACACTGACCTGTCGCTAAGCACCCTGAAGGCGGAGTCGGTTTCACAGAGGCCATGTCTATTTGCCTGGCCCCCTCGCATGAGGGCCTGGATTAAGCAGCTGGTGCCTCGAGAACATCAAGGTGGCTGGCACGTCACAAGCTGTCCAGGCTGAAGGCAGATGCCCACCAGATAGCTGATGAGGAAACTCTGCGGCTTGGGACAACAGCCGATGGATAGCGTTTCCTGGAGTCTGAATTTGTGAACACACGTTCATACATCCAGTGCCTGGAATCCACCTTGATTGGTTTGCAGAGAGGCAAGCGGCTGGTGCTTAAACTCTGCACCTCCAACTGGTGGAAGCATCTCTCAATGGGAAGCAACATGCATCCAAGCTGTGGGGAGGAAGCTGTGTTCCCTTGGTGTGGCGAGCTCTGTGTTCCCCATCGTGACCAGCGTGGTGCTCTCTGTGTGTTCCCCTGTAGGTGCTGGAAGCGGGGTCCTGGCTGAAGGAGCGGAGCGCCGTGCTGGAGAACCTGGATTGCGGCAGGAACGAGGATTCCACCCAGAGGCTCCTGCATAAACTGGACGCCATCGACTTGGACCTCGCCGGCTTCTGGCCACGGGTGGAGAAGCTAACGGAGGCGGGGAACAAACTGAGCAATGTGGGCCACCCAGACACAGACAGGTAGCCCCTGTCTGAAGGTCCAGCAAGTCTGTAGTGCCAACCTGCCCATGGCCCGTGCACCCGACCACCCCTCACATCCCTGCCCATTGTCACTGGTGTGACTGTCTGTCTCTGTCTGACTGTCATTATGTATGTCTGACTGTCATCACAGTGTGTGTCTGACTGTCACAATGTGTGTCTGACTGTCACTGTGTGTGTCTGTCACTGTGTGTGTCTGATTGTCACTGTGTGTGTGTGTATGTCTGATTGTTGCTGAGCGCATGTCTTGCTGTGGCTGTGTGTAGCTGTGTCTGTGTGTCTGACTGTGACTGTGTCAGACTATGAGTTGTGTCTGACTATGGTTGTGTGGCTGTGTATCTGGCTGTGTCTGACTGTGTCTGCGTCTGACTGTGTGTGTGTGTCTGACTATATCTGTGTGTCTGACTGTGACTGTGTATCTGACTGTGGTTGTGTGTCTGACTATGGTTGTGTGTCTGTGTGTCTGGTTGTGGCTGTGGTCTACCTGTGACTGCGTCTGACTGTGATTTCCTCACCTACAAAACCCTCCATGGCTTCGCACCACCCTACCTCTGTGACCTCCTAACCCCCTACCAACCCGCATGTTCCCTCCGCTCGTCCGCCTCTGACCTGCTCCACGTCCCTCGATCCACCCGCCCCACCATTGGCGAGAGAGCCTTCAGCCACTCTGCCCCAACCTCTGGAATTCCATCCCCAGGTCACTCCGCCTCGCCCCCTCCTTAGCCTCCTTCAAGTCCCGCCTCAAGACCCTCCTCTTCGACCATGCCATCGGCCACCGCCCTTCCCTTCACCTCCCTTCCCCCCCCCCCAAACCCAGCCCGAGTCTGAAATGCCGTACGCTGTCCAACGCCTTGGAACGTCTTCCCGACGTGAAAGAACGCGATACAAATGTAATCTTGTTGTTGTTGTTGTTGTGTGCCTGACTCTGGCTGTGCGTCGAGCTGTGTCTGTGTGTCTGACCGTGACTGTGTCACTGACTGGCTGTGTTACAGGCAGGGTGTGTCCGCTGTGGAGCTGGAGTATAAGAGGTTGCTGGGCGTCTGTGCCCAGCGGCGCCAGGCGCTGGGGGAGCAGCACCTCCTCTACCACTTTGAGCGTGAGCGGCAGGAAGTGGACGCTTGGATCAGCGGCAAACACAGGCTGGCGGAGTCCGGGGACTGTGGGCAGCATCTGGAGGACGTGGAGGTAAAACTCCCCCCCCCCCCCCCCCACCCCACCACGCTGGCAATCACCCCCGTCACCCTGACAATCCACCCCCCGTCACCCTGACAATCCCCCCCCCGTCACCCAGACAATCCCCCCCTCCCCTCCACCCTGACAATCCCCCCCGTCACCCTGTTAATCGCTCCCCCCACATCCGCGTCCATCTGCTGGTTGGTGACGTCTCTGCTGGTTTCAGATCCTCCAGAAGATGTTTGAAGACTTTGAGCAGGAGCTGCGGACGGTGGGTCAGAACAAGGTGACGGCCTTGAACGAGCTGGTCCGCACTCTGAAGAAGGAATCGCACAGCCGCGTGGGGCAGATCCTGGAGCAGGCGGGGGCCGTGAACCGGAGCTGGGACGCCCTGCGCGAGGCCGCACATCTCCGCGGGCAGGTGAGGCCACGGAACCCAACGCCTCCAGCATCAGTCTGAACCACTCTCAGTGTCTGTCACTGTGTGTACATCCGGAGTCACACTCAGTGTTAGAGTCAGTCGGTGTTAGGGCCCTTCTCTAAGTGGGCGGTCAGTGTTGCGCTCTCTTTCTCTCTCCTAATTATTCTCTCTCTCTCTCTGCAGAGACTGGTGGCGGCAGAGCAGCTTCACCGATTCCATCGGGACGCCGCCGACCTGCAGGCCTGGATCCAGGAGAAGGGCATCGCCCTGGAGCCTGAGGATTACGGCTATGACCTCAACAGTGTCAAGGCTCTGCTACGACAGCACGAGGGAGTGGAGGTGAGCGCCGACTGCAACTGACGAGTCACCCACCGGCTTCGGTCCCACCCACCCACTCACCAGGGTCCGTCCCACATACGGACCAGTGTCAGACCCACCCAATGACCAGGGTCCATCCATCCGTCCACCCACCAACCCGCTGGCATCCGTCCACCCATCCTGCAGTGACCTGGGTGTTACTACAGCAGTTAGTAATTGGCTGTTTCTGACAGAGGGACCTGGCAGCGATCAGTAAGGAGGTGGATCGTATCCGGGGAGAGAGCCGCCGGCTGGCACAGGCCCAGTCCCAGGCCCGGGAGAGAGTGCAGGCCGAGCTGCAGGAGGTGGTGCTGGCGTGGGACAAGCTACAACAGAAAGCCAAAGAGCGAACGCAAAGGCTACGTCAGGCCGAGCAGGTCCAGGCTTACTTCAGTGAATACCACGTCTTCATGTAAGTCATCTCCCTCCCTCCTCCGCCATATGCAAATTTCTGCTGCCACAATCACCTTAGAAGACTTACAAAACACACAGTCACTCCACTGTACAGTATATTCTGTGAAGCGCTTTGAGACAGTGTGATGTGATAAGGCGCTTTATCAAATGCAAAGATTGTTATTATAGATATTACACTCTACTACTACAACAACAACTTGTACGTATAAAGCGCCCTCCACGCAGGGTAGTGTCTCAGAGCGCTTAAGAGTGGCAGGGCTGGGGTGGGGGGTGGATGGGGCAGGGGAGGTGGCCGTAAGAACAGTCAAAGAGGAACGTTTTCAGGCAGGACTTGAAAAAGGGGAGAGAGTCAGCAAGGCGGAGGGATTGAGGGAGAGCGTTCCAGAGTTTTGGGGCGTAGTAGCTGAAAGGACGACCTCTGATGGTGGGGCGGAGGGTGCGAGGGACCAGCAGGCGGCCGGTGTCGGTCGAGTGGAGGCGCTGGGTGGTGGATTGGGCAGTGAGGAGATCGGAGAGGCAGGGAGGTGACAGGGAGTAAATGGATTTGAACACGAGTGTGTGGATCTCGAAGTCGATCTGTTCGGTGTTGTGGAGCCTCGGCCAGAACTGGTGAGATGTGGGTACGGAGTTTGGTCTGGGTCAGTATGCAGGTGGCAGAGTTCTGAATGATTTGGATCTTTTGAATAGTGGAGCTGGGGAGATCGGCGAGGAGTGCGTTTGAGTAATCCAGGCGGGAGGTGACAAACGCGTGCACGAGGGTTTCAGCTGCATTTACAGTAGATGAGTACTTCAGGACGTCCCAAGATGCTTCCTGTCAAATGTTTTGGGATGTCCTGATGTGAAAAGTGCTGCCTCAAAGGTAAGGATTGTTCGAAGGTTGTTGACCAGTGGTTGGAAACCCGACTGGATGTGGTGTCAGGTTATTTGATGCTGGAGGCCAGTGAGGGGGGTGTTGTGTTCCAGGGCTTGGGGCAATGAGACGGAGGCGGTGCTGGGGGATGAGGAGCAGCCACGGGACATGCTGGGGGCCGAGTTAATGTGGAAACATCACGAGGAGACCAAACGGGAGATCGAGCAGCACGGCGGCAGGTACGAGGACCTGCAGGCCACAGGGAGACGGCTGATAGAGAGCGGTCACTTCATGTCAGAGGAGGTAAAGAACACACTATCTGGGGATTTCCTCCCCCACCCCTGCTCACCCCAGTGATTGCCACCCACCCCCACATCGGTGACTGCCCACCCCCACCAACAGTAGCAAACACTATCCCTTCCTCTTATGCATTCCTAGAAGTGCGCCCCCAACCCCAACGATCACTTACACCCCCACACTGTTGTGCCCATTCTCTGTGGCCTTGGGGTTTCTGGCTGCTGGTGTCACACTAGATTTTCCCCACAAAAGTCACTCCACTTTACAGTGTATTCTGTGCAGTGCTTTGAGACATCTCGATGATGTGATAAGATGCGATATCAAATGCCAGGATTATTACAGGATGTGATGAGTCCTTGTTTTCTCAGGTGGAGGACAAGCTGTGCGAGCTCTCAGAGTTGATGGATTCGTTGCTGAGGGCCTGCGAGAGACAGAGGGTGGCCTTACGCCGACAGCTGGAAATCCTGAGGCAACGCAGAGAGCTGCAGCAGATTGAGACCTGGCTGAGCTCCAGAGAGGGTCTGGTCACCAGTAACTATTATGGGGTGAGTGAGGTTACTCTACAACGTGACTGCCCGGCCTGGGAATCACTCAGGCGTGGGTGCAGAGGAGAGTAACTTCTTTGTTCAGAAAGTTCCACATTGCTGAGATCAACTGGCTGGTATATTGGAGTTGAGTCCACACTCTCTGACTGTCTCTAGTCCAGTTCCTGAGCCCGGCAGATGTTCCAGAACACTGCCCGTGGCCGTGTTACCGAGCAGTAAGTAGGAACCCGATTGTTAGTCGATTGAGGGATTTCTTCTCTGGGGATAATAATCCCTTCAAAAAAATGAAACTGAAAAAAAAATTTGGTCACTCAATCCATGACTGTTTGTGGAACACTGCTGCATGCAATTGGCTGCCATGCTTCCCCCTCAAAATACACAGTCACTACACTTTAGAGTATATTCCGCAAAGCGTTTTGAGACATCTTGGTGGGGGTGGGGTGTGGATGCTGTGGGGGGCAATGCTGTGGGGGTGGGGGGCAAGGGATGCTGTAAGGATGAGATCAAATAGGCTTCAAATGGAATGTCTTCTCCTGCCCATGGGATGGTTTGGGGCGGAGGTTAAGGCTTAAATTTTTAGATTTGGTGGGAGTGCAGTGTTGGTGTCTAACCTCAGCTTTGTGCCTGTCAGGACTCCATGCAGGAGGTGGAGGACTTGATCAAGAAGCACGAAGACTTTGAAAAGATGCTGGCTTGCCAGGACCCAATTTCCCAGCTGGACGCCGGGCAGAAGGTGAGGAGACATTGGCTTTGCTGCGCTACATCCAGCACCAGTTATAACGGGGGAGACATCTCCGAGCGTACAGTCCCTGTGAGCTTCCATTCCTCGCAACAGAGAATATTACCGGAGGCAAGAGACAACTGCAAGATAGGACTCAGAGCAGAGAGGGTCAAGGGTGGTCGGATCGGTGTAACCTCAGCCACAACAAATTCCACAACCCCATGTCTCTACTCTCTCTCGCTGCTCTGCCCTCTGTGCCCCTGCTCTGCCCTCTGTGCCCCTGCTCTGGCCTCTGTGCCCCTAGCCTGGCCCCTCTGCTCCTGGTCTGGCCACCTCTTTGCTTCCTTCGGGAGCACAGGTATATAACAATTGTGAGAAAATTAGAGAATTCTGTAACTGAACCCTGAAATTATAAACCAAATGTAAATAGTGGAGTCCTGGCTCAGGAACCAAGCTTGAGAGAGGGCCACAGAGGGTGGTCTGCATTGTAACATCCCATTGCCAAGCATGTCACCTTGGAGCCAGCTTCACATGAGGAGTTCCCGCTTACCTCCCCCAACCCCAAGCTATTTCCCCTTCACACCTTTCATAATAGTCAAATAAAAATTGGTCACTCGCTCCATGACTGTTTGTGGGACGTTGCTGTGCACAAGGTGGTTGCCACATTTTTCTGCAAAACACAGTCACTGCCCTTTACGGTAAATGCTGTGAAGCACTTTGAGATACCTTGAGAGCATGATCAGGCGCTGTATAAGATGTCAGAGTTCTATTTGTAAGCTCTGACCCTTCCGGATGATATTTTTTCATTGTTCACTGTAGGAGGATGAGGAGTTGCTGAAGGAGATAAGTTATAAAGAGAAAGTGCAGCGCGTTCCTTCTCTGAAGAGGAAGGGCTCGGATAGGAGGCCGTCGCCCTTGAAGATCTCAGGGAGTGAGACTCCCAAACCGTGGGCCAAGCAAACCATCGTGAGCCCCGCTCCCAAATCCGTCGCCAACTTCGAGAAGCTCTTTTCTCCTGTCAGGAAGTCGATGGGTTTCCAGAGATTTCCTGATGTTTCTGGAGATCCCAGTCAGGATGAGGGCAAGGATCAGAGGAGAAGGTCCCTTGTCCAGTCACCATTGATTGCAAAGTCTTCAGGCCTTGAAAGCAGTGGGCTGATGAGTCCAGTACGGAGATCTTCACTGTCCCAAACAAGCCTCCCGTTATCCACGTCTGTGCTATTTTCTGTGGCGCAGAGTGAGAAGCTGCCACAAAGGGCAGCCTCGCCCAGTAGGGTCGACCTCTTCACCAGCCACCTGGTCAGATCTCAGCTCCCTTCCGCATCCGATGACCCCAGCAGCCAGCAAGGCTCCCAGCTCGGTTTCTCTTCGGCCCAATCCAGAGGAGAGAGACTCGATGGAAACATCCCAGCCCAGGTAGGAAGGACCAATACTCTGCTCTCAGACACAATGTGAGCCCCACCGGGGAGTGACAAGGTGGGACACTCAGTTACTGCAGGCCTGTCATTTTCACGGGTCTCAGTCGGTCAGTTAGTCAGTCATACTCTCATCTCTGAGTTAGAAGATTGTGGGTTCAAGCCCCATGTCGGGGACTTTGAGTTCATCATCCATTACAGTGCTAGGGGGAAGGTTGGATTGTTGGAGGTGTTGTCCTTCGTTAACCTAAGGTCCCATCTATGCCTTTTCAGGTGGACTTTAGAAATCCCTTGGCACTGTTGGAACAGAGAAAGGAGGTTCTCTCTCCCGGTTTCCTGACCCAACAATCCCCCAAATAAAACTGGTCACTCACTTCATGGCTGTTTGTGGGTGATTGCTATGTGCAAATTGGCTGCCAGGTTCACATACAAAACACGCATTCACTACACTTCACAGGACAATCCTGTGAAGCGGTTTGAGACATCCGCCTGACTTGAAAGGTGCTGTATTAAATGCAAGGATGGCTTTTGTACAAAAAGGTTGGAATACAGGGAACAGGGCACAGACACATGGGCCAAATGGCCTTTTTCTGCCTGTTTCTTAAGTTCCTGCTGTTGTGTTGTTAGGATCCTGAGGGTGCTGAAACCATGGTGGGTGTGCTGGAGAGGAAACCCAGGCTGCAGGCTGCAAACATCAAGGTAAAATAGAGGTCTTACAGCAGGGACGCCCTGGGGTTTAACAAGACCCCCACACACACACACATATACATACAAACACTACCAGGGGGCAGGGACTCTTCCCACTCAGCTCCTGTTAACCCTGCAAGCGAAAGCCCTAGGATGGTCCTAGCAGTCTGGTGCTCCGCATGCTCCCCAGTGCTCTCAATTGCAAACTATATGGTTTTAGCTGGTTAGAATCCAGCAGTTATCCCAACTCCTATATGATTGCACTCTTGGTCATCTTTCCCCTGCCCCTCACGCACAGACCCCTCCCCACCCACCCCCGTCCCTCCAGCTTGCGTGCCCAGTCAGCAGTATCAAGCGCTTTGAGATGTCCTCCTGAAGTGAAAAGAGCTGTGTGAATATAAATTGTGTTTAGCACAGACTGTGCAGATTTGCAGGAGTCAGACCTCCAGTACAGTGCATCTCCTTATGAAACTGTTTGTTCTAGTCAGCTGGGTGTCTGAGAAACCCAGTACTGCTTCTCTACAAACTGCTAGAGTTTCATGTGTCAGGAAATTTCTCTGGTCTGGATTGCAGTATGATTCTCCGCTCCCCCCCTCCCCGTTCCCTACTCACCAAATTCCAGAGAGTCCTGGGTTAGGCTCGAGGTAACCCCTGGCTGGCGGGTGTGTTTGGGAGGCAAGGGGTGGAAGCATTTGTGCTGCAGATGTGATGTGTTACTGTATGGTTTCCTCTGTCCTGGCTTCCCAGCCTTGGCATGCAGCGGCAAGCTGGAGCACCTGTTTCGTGGCTCTTGAAAGGCAGACCCTCGCTTTCTACAAGAGTGAGAATGATACCTCACAGGTAGGTCTCAACCCATGGTGTCTGTCTGCCCGCCTGTCTGTCTGCCTGTCTGTCTGTCCTCCTGACGTGGAAGGCACTATATAAATGTAAATTGTAGTGTAACATGCAAAAAGCAAATGGGGGAAACTGAGGATTAATAATTATCATCAAGTTTGATACCGATGTTCTCAGTCTCATTTCCTCCTTGTGTGTGTGTGTTTCTCTGGTGTCTCAGCTCTCTCTTTCCTGCCCGCAGACTCTCCCTGAAATGCCATCACTCAATATCAGTCAAGCGAGATGTGAAAAGACAGCAGCCAGCGAGAAGGAGCACAGTTTCTGCCTGAGGTATGTACAGTCCGTGTGGAGCCAATCCAGACAACAGAACAATCCCTGGCTGTATGAACCCACCCAGCCTGTCCTGAGAAACATATCAGTCACCTTGTAGAGCAGACAGCATTGGTTTATTATTACTTGGGGAACTGCACCCAGCTTTATGGAGTGATCTGATCGAGGTGTTTACGAAAAAGGAAAGGATTTGAGAGAGTTAATCAACTGGTGGAGTAACTGATGGAGTTTAAGACTTTGGCTTGCCAGGAATAGGAGCTGAGTGGGAGGATTCCTGTGCCCAGTGACTGGTCTGCTCTTCCAAGTCCTGCCAGTGAGCCAGGCTGGCTGGGCTATCACAGCAGTGCCCTGGACCACTGCCTCACTCAGGACTAGACCATGGAGACCACCACAGAGGGCTGGCTCAATTCTCATTGCCAAGCATGTCACGTTGGAAGCAGCTCAGCTCTGAGAACACCCCCCTCCCCTGAGCTGGGATGATTTGATGGAGTTAGAACAATCCATTGGGGGCATTTAAGAGAGAATCAGATGAGCAGATACAAAGGAAGGGGATTAGAAGTGTCGGGAAAGAACAGGGATTGGGAAAAGGTTGGATGTCTCCCCGGTGAAGCAAAAACTGACATAACACAATGGTCCTCATATCTCATCCACTTCCATGGTTCTGCAGTGGATATCTCAGTCTGTCTGTGAATGTCTCTGAGTGCTCTGGGTGTTTTAGTGCTGAGGGTATCAGTGTTGAGTGTTGTGATGCAATACAACACAAAATTACATTTGTAAAGCGCCTTTCACGTCCGGAGGATATCCCAAGGCGCTGAACAGTCAGGGATTAGAGATTTGGACCCAAGCTGGGGGTGTTTGGGAGAGTGGAGAGCAGAGAGGGTAGGAGGGTGGCCAAAGGCACAGTCGAAGATGAAGGTCTTAAGGTGTGCCTTGAAGGAGGCAAGGGAGGGAGCGAGGTGAGGGGAATGTGGGATGGAGTTCCAGAGAATAATAATAATAATCCTTGCATTTGATATAGCGCTTTTCACGTCTTCTAGACGTCTCAAAGCGCTTCACAGAATAGACTATAAAGTGAACAAAACACAAAATACTGCACATGCTGGAATCTGAAACAAAGAGCTGGGAAAACTCAGCAGGTCAGGCAGCATCTATGGAGAAAGGAAAGTGAGTCAATGTTTCGGGTCAGAATGCCATACTGTAAAGAGAAGCTGAAGGCCTGACCGCTGATGGTGGGGCGGGATGGGCGGGGGTCATGGAGCAGGCTGGAGCCTGCTGAGCGGAGGGAGTGGACAGGTTGATAAGGGGCAGCAGGTTGGAGAGGTAGGAGGGGGGCAAGGTCGTGGAGGGCCTTGAAGGTGAGGATGAGAATTTTTAACCCAATCTTCAGAGAGATGGGGAGCCAGTGAAGCCGGGCGAGGGTGGGAGTGATGGGGTCACGGAGCCTGGTGCGGGAGAGGACACAAGTGCAGAGTTCTGGATGTTCTGCAGCTTGTGGAAGGAAGAGTTAGGAAAGCCGACAAGCAGGGAGTTGGCATAGTCGAGCCTATGTGTAATGTAGGCACATATTAGGGTTTCAGCAGCCTGAGGGGTGAGGCAGTGGCGGAGTCCGGTAATGTTCTGGAGGTGGGGGAAGTCAGAGTGGGAGAGGGTTAGTGATGGGGTCGAGGGAGCAGGTGATGTGATGTGCTGAGTGCTGTGGTTCTGAACTGAACATCTCCCACAGGTTGCAGGACGGGACTGAGTATCTCTTCTCGGCTCCATCCCACAAGCTGCTGGAGCGGTGGGTGTGGAAGATCAGCCGCAATGCAGGTAAGAGCCCGGTTGGGAGGGTGGGGGGAGGTCAGACTCTGGGCCTGGGGAGAGCAGGGAAACCTGATCACAGTGTTATGCAGGCGAGAGCAGCGAGCCTGATCACAGTGTTATAGTAATGAGATATATAGAGGGCAATGAGGAGTTTAAGATGACAAATAGGATTGAAAAGTAAACCCAGAACATTACTTTCAATCGTCTGCACTTAGGCACATTTCATGAGAGAACCTCTCAGCCTTTCCAAAGACAGAACTGTTGCTGCAGACAGTCAGACGGTGATTGATCGGGTTTGTAAATGGGAAGGGAGGGATTTGAGAGGAGGGTCCCTGAGAGCGGGTGGGGGGCGCCAGAGTGGCTGAAGGCTTGCCCATCTACAGTCAGAGCTCAGGCGAGCAATTTAACGGAGAATTAAGGTCAAACAAAATATTTTCTGGCAGCAGGACAAGAGGACCCGGTTTCAGGGTGTGAGGGGGATTCTCAGGACAGACACCAGGAAGGTTTTCTTTACTCAAGAGGGCAATTAAGACTGGAACAGGTTGCCAGGAAAAGTGGTTAAGGCCAGGCCACTTATCAACCAGCTTGATGCTGGGATGGGAGGTGGGGATTGTGGGATCAGATGGGGATAGGCTGGAGGGCTTTCTGCCCCTATACCTCAGATGTGAGGTCTCTAACCTCTGCTGATTCTCTGTTATTAGGGACGGATACAGTAGATGTCTGAGCGAGGCTGAGCGGTGGCAGGCAGCCCAGTGCTGGCCATGAGACAGAAAGACAGAGCCTGATGATCTGCTAACTTTTCCAAGATCACATTCTCACGTCACTGGTTTGCTATTCTGGACATATAAGAACATAAGAATTGCTGGACGAAAGACCACGGTCCATCCAATTCACCTTCAATCATCTTGGCAGTCACTTGACATCATGTCCCAAACTACTGTATATACCGTATCTCGAGATTTTATTTCCTAACAGAAATCTATCTAATTTGCTTTTGAAAAAATCAACTTTCTGCTCCTACCTTCTCCCTCGATAGCCTGTTCCATATGTTTATTATACACTCACTGAAATAGCATTTCCGCAGATTTGTTTTGAATTTACCCACTTCCATTGAAGGCCAGGTGCTCCGGTTCTACTGGTCAGGATGAGATAAAACAACTCATCATGGTTTACATTATCCAGTCCCATTATGATCTTAAAGACTGCAATCAAATTGCCTCTCAACCTTCTCTTTTCCAGCATGAACACGCCCAGTTTACCTAACCAATGCTCACGTTGAAAGTTTCCCAAATTCTCAGGCCTCTGTAGGTGAGGTAACCAACTGTAGCTCAGTTCAGGGAAAACAACTGTTCTGGGCTGAAGTTGCCACTGGCAGCCTCCGAATTCCTGGCTTCTCCCTTCACCCTCGCTGTCGATAGGAACACCTGCAGAGAGCCCCGTGGCTGCCCGAGCCGGGCACTGGGAGAGGTACCACTGACCTGCTGCTCATTGCATTGTCTGCTTCGTGTTCTTGTTAATCCAGACCAAACCCAGGGCCAGAGGGCAGTGCAGATCAACGGCAATCAGCAATAAATATCTGATCAAAACCCTCCGTCTTTGCAGCTCATTCACTGTACAGATCACGGCAGCACCCGATCCAGGGGTTTATATATGCAATAACGCATCCCGGGAATGTTAGCATTCCTAGGGTTAGAAGCACTCTCGTCTCTGAGAAGGTTGTCATAATAATCCTTGCATTTGATACAACGCCTTATCACGTCTTCGAGATGCCTCATCTGAGTGTGACAGTGTGATGTTATTCATAATAATCCTTCCATTTGATATAGCGCCTTATCAAATGGTTGAAATGTCTCAAAATGCTTCACAGAAATATACTGGAAAGTGAATTGACTCTAGATTTTGTGGGTGAAACACAGCAGCCAACTGTGCACAGCAGTGGACTGAATAACCAAATTATTATAATTTATTATTTTGAAAGGAGTATTACCCCGGACAAGCGATCAGCCAATTGACTAACAACCGGCTTCTTGCTAACTGCCAGGTAAACAAAGGCATGTGAAGTAAGGAAACTTGCCCAACGTTTCGCCCTGCTGGGAATCAAACCCAGGTCATCTTGCTTGCGAGGCGAATGCTCTAACCACTGAGCTACAGGACTCCACATAGGTTCAAGCATGGAGGGGATTGAAGCCGAGGCTGATGCTCCAGTGCAGCTACCCTTTACAGTAAATCCTGTTGAGTACTTTGAGACATTGAATGCATCATATTAAGTATAATAATGTTTTAAAAGTTTAATCACAGGCTTTTGGGGTGGGGCGATATACAGAATAGCAGAGGCTGGGAGTAAATTAGACTGGGACCTAATTGACCCATACCAGCCAGAGGTCTTTGAGCAAAACATCAACAGAGCATCAAGCAAGCCCACAGGAAAACATCAGTGAGAGGTACACACTGCTTTATTCTAAATACTGTTAGAACATGAAGACACCAACTCATCATCTGTGAAGATCAGGAGACTGAGAGCATCTGATATTCCTCTCGGGATTTCCTCCCCCTCCCAACACTGACAGCACGGCCTGACTCAACACACAGGACATCTGTGTGTGTGTGAGGGTCAACACTGACAGGACAGGTTGTGTGTGTGTGTGTGTGAGCGTCAGCACTGACAGTCGGAGTGTATGTGTGTGAGTGTCAGCACTGACAGTCGGGGTGTATGTGTGTGAGTGTCAGCACTGACAGTCGGGGTGCATGTGTGTGAGAGAGTCAGCACTGACAGTTGGATGTGTGTCTGTGTGTGTGTGTCAGTACTGATAGGTCAGGGGGGTGTGAAGACTAATATTAGAGGAAAGGTGTGAATCCAGGGTGTAGAGTTACTGAGTTGTACGGGCGGCCTCGTCTCCAGAGTTTAGTCCGTCTCTTGTGTCCTAATGGCTGGATCTCCTCACAGCTCTTCCCTGTTCACACAAAACGTTCCGCTCTCACATCTGTCTGGAAAAGAAATCTTCACACCTGCCCGATGTGGGTGGGGGTGGTAGGGTGACGGCCCAGGGATAACCAGTGTTATAACTGGGATCTTCACTCTGCACTGGGCTCCCCAGCTGCACCTGTTGCTGTGTGATACCGCACCAGAGACGGGCTGTAGTGACCCACACAACACAGAACCCAGTGGGACGGTTGGTGTGAAGATCAGGGAGGAGAGAGAGCTGCTGCTGCTCACAGGGTCACATGCTGGTCAGTGCCATGCTGCTGGTCTCTGCGAACTTAGGAAGGTTTCCCTGGGTTCTGCTCCCTCCTCGGGTCACAGCATTAACTTGTGGCAGCCACGTGAGCAGAGATCAGGCTCGGGGGTGACGGCCTCTACAGTCGCGCCGCCTACAGGCTAACGCTGACCGTGACAACACAGACCGAATCGATTGTGGTGTCGGAAAGTGAGAAGACTTAAGAGACCTGGCCAGTCAGGGGAAATGACAGAGACACGGGAGTGAAAGAGCCGCCGTGATCCAGTAAACGTACCTATCCGTTCCTCTGCTTGTCAGCACCAAGGTCAACCAAGGGTACATACATCACCCCCATCAGCTGGGTGCGGGTGACTTCGCCATCACTGCCCTTGTGGTGCAGCTCCAGCATCTGCCGACCTCCTGCTTCTCCAACTGGCAGCACTAGGCTCCCGCCAGGCTTCAGCTGCTGTATTAACTGTGCCCGGAAACACACATCGTCAGCCCAGACCGGCACAGTGAGATCATCCCGCTCCCGCTAAATTCCCTTTATTATTAAACCACTTCTCTGTCTCTCCTTCCCTTTCTCTCCCCTCCCCTTTCTCTGTCCCCCCTTCCCTCTCTCTGTCTGTCCGTTCCCTCTCTGTCTCGCTCGGCTAGCGAGGCCATGACAATTGAATCATTCAGCCTACCTTCTCTCTCTCTGATTCTCCTTCCCTCCCTCCCTCCCTCTCTCTCTCTCTCTCTCTCTCTCTCTCTATCTATCTATCTATCTATCATTTTGCTGCTCAGCTTCTAATCCAGTTCCCTGTTGAACTATTCTATTGACTCAGCCTCAATAGCCGCTGGAGTGAATTTGACCCCGACGAGCCTGTGAGTGATAAGCTTCTTTCTAACCTCTCCCTGATTCTCCGCTAAGGATTCCGATCCCCTCACCCATTCCGCAGGGAATGGCAGTTGTTTTTCCCTACCTCCTGTCACATCCCATCTCCATTGCCTTCCATTTACTTTACATCCTATCATGTTGAAACATTTCAAAGTGCTTCACGACAACAACAAAATTACATTTATAGAGCGCCTTTCACGTCAGGAGGACGTTCCAAAGCGCTGAACAGTCAGGTGTCAGGACAGGATTTACTGTAAAATGTAGTGACTGTGTATTTGTAGGTGAATGGCTTTGGTATTTAGGGATAGTCGGCCAGGAAACTGGGGAGAGAAACTCCCTTCTCTTTTCCAATACTGCCAACGGGGTCTTTAACGCCCCCCCCCTTAGCAGGCAGTTGGGACCTTGGTTTAACGTCACATCCAAAGGGTGGCACCTCTGACAATGCAGCGCTGCCTCCGCGTGGGTGTGTGTGTATGTGTGTGTGTTGGGGGGGGCATTCTCTGATGTCTCGCCGTTGATCACCGGGATCCTTACCGCGGGTGGGACCGTGGGCGCCGCGGCCCCCACGTGGATGGCGTCGTATGGAGCATCTTCCAGATACCCGAGCCACCCGTCTCCGGCTTCAAACAGCAACAATAACAAGATTACATTTGTATAGCACCGTTCACGTCGGGAGGTTGTCCCAAGGCGCTGGACAGTGGTCAAAGAGGAGGGTCTTGAGGCGGGACTTGAAGGAGGCTAAGGAGGGGGTGAGGCGGAGTGACTGGGGGATGGAATTCCAGAGACTGGGGGAAGAGTGGCTGAAGGCTCTCCCGCCAATGGTGGGGTGGGTGGGTCGGGGGACGTGGTGTAGACCAGAGCCGGCTGAGCGGAGGGAACAGGCGGGTTGGTAGAGATACACGCTGCTCCCACCACCCTACTCAACTCCCCCCCCCCCCCCCCCCACCACACCCACCTGCTCAGCTCCCATCAGCCCTGCTCAGCTCCCCCACCTCACATAGCACCCACCCCCCACTGGGAGCTGGGAATCCTCCCACTCAGCTCCTGTTAACCCTGCGAGCTAAAGCCCTAACTGGTAAGGTAGTCCTAGTTGGATAAGCAGCGGGAAAGCTTGCCAGACAGTGCTCTCAATGATAGGCTCTGTGGTTACAAATAACCAGTGTCTGTTGACTGATCCACTGGGGTGAACTGGGATCAGCAGCTGCGTTCAGATCTAAGAGACCATCACTGAGAGCGAGTCAGCAATGGATGGCTCTGTAGCAGAGCAAGCGAGCGAACGGAGGCCACGTACCGATCAGCTTGGCACGCCCCGAGCTGAGCAGAGAAGCATTGTCCGACTTCACGTTTTTAATGGAGATATTAACCAACTCCTCGATGTACTCCACTCCGACCACCTTCCCGATGGGCCCCACCTGCACAACACATACACCAACATGTAGAGAAATCCAGCTCCTAAAACACTGAAATTCAAGCACATCACTGGGGAGCTGAGCCGGGAGGGGGAAGAGTTGAGCGGGGAGGGGGAGCTGAACAGAGGGAGGGGGAGCTGAGCGGGTGGGGGAAAGCTGAACGATGGCGGGGAGCTGAGCAGGGGCAGGGGGAGCTAAGCGGGGGAGGGGGAGCTGTGCACAAAAGTATTGGTTATGGGTCCCATGGATGTTTTCAAATAAGACTTCAGCCCACGGCAGCCAAAAGATTGGACCACCCTGGCTTAAGACTATGTGATTTCAAGTCCCAATGTGGGGCTTCTGACAACCTTCTGCCTCAGAGGCGAGTGGCACCATTGCCCCAGTCTGACTGGCTGACCAATAATACTCGTCCAGCACACGTGTCCATCTATTTCCCTTGTAAATGCCTCCAATCATCTCTGCTCCCGACAATCACTCTCTGATGCTCCGACAATCCTCTGGGAGAATATACCTTCCCCCACTTGCCTTTCACACTCCAGCTCTTCATATGAAACTCATGCCCTCTCCTCAAATCACCCACCAGCAGAGACTTGCTCACAGTTTGGCCTCTCTAATCCTGTTGTGATGGTGATCATAGCGATACCCTGGGTTGTGGTCAGTGCGGGTATGAGCACAGTGAGAGTGTGAGCGCAATGAGTGTGAATGTGCTCACCATTCGGGCCATACAAGCTGTCAGGTACCCGCTCCCTGAGCCCACGTCCAGGGCCTGAGCTCCTTCAAATAGCTGATCCTTTAACAGTTCCAGGACATGTGCGTGCTGGGGGAGAAACCAAACCTGTAAACTCACATAGTGTACACACATACACATATACTTTTGCGCGCACACACGCAGTATCACACGAAAGACTGCTGAAACCCTTACCTTCACCTTTCTTACCTCTCACTTAAGACTTTTATACCACTTCAACCGCACCCTTACTCTGTCTCTAATCCTGACCTGGAGGTGTGGATGGACAGTGTAGAGGGAGCTTTACTGTGTCTCTAATCCTGACCTGGAGGTGTGGATGGACAGTGTAGAGGGAGCTTTACTGTGTCTCTAACCCTGACCTGGGAATATGAACGCACAGTAGCGAGGGAGCTATACCCTGTCTTTAACCTGTACTGTAGCTGACTCGGGAATGCAGGGGAGGAGGGAGCAGCACAGACTGGCAGAATGGAAAGGCCTGTGTCTGTGCTGTAAGCTTCTGTGACTGAACTCACACAGACCCGGAAACAAATATAAGAGCAGGACATTGGGCAGTTTATTGTATTAGTGTTTCCTCCTCCAGGAAGCCACCATTCATCCCTGGCTCTTTTCCATCAACTCTAATCCCCTCCTCAAGAGGTGCCTGTTTGTGGACTACACTGCAACACTGAGCATCATTACGTGGGCTGCGGAATCAAGTCCGTCTCCCAACCCCCTCCCACCACCCCCCACCACAAACCTGCAGGATGGCGTTAGTGACCTCCAGAGACACTTGTACACATGCTTACCATGTGAGGGGCACTGATGGTCGCCTGGTAACCTGTAAACAACAACAACAACAAGATTACATTTGTACAGCGTCTTTCAAAAAAAACAAGAGAAACCAGTGAGGACAGTGCAGAAAACGAGCTGCTGGTGCAGCTCAGAGGGAAAAGTCAGCATTACAGCTCTGAGGCTGATCTCCGTCCAAACTTCCCCTGGGGTTGCGGGGGGAGAGGTGAGGCGGAGTGGAGGAGGTGAGGGGAAAGTGAGGATGAAGAGGGGGAAGGGGAGAAGATGAGGGGGAGTGGGGGAGGTGAGGGGGAAGGGGGGTGAGCGGGGAGGGGGGAGGTGAGGATTGGGGGAAGGTGAGGGGGAGAGGGGTGATGGGGGTTGTGGAGGGAGAGGTAAGGGGGGTGGGGGTCGCGAGGCACGGTCATCCCTAACATTACTTACCTATGGGCTGCGGGGAGTCAGCGTAGGGGTTGGTTCTAGTGTAATGGCCCCGGTCTGTGGCCATCATAACTTCAAACACACGATCCGACTGAATGACACCATTTCCTGAAAGACGAACAAGTGGAGAGTGCGGTCACTGCCCGGGGTGGGGGGGGGGGGGAGGGTGTGTGCATGTGCATGTGTGGGGTCTCCCTCACCGACCCCCCCCCACTCACCAGCACACCCCTTACCGCCCTGCCCCTCAACCCACCCACCCCTCGCCCCTCCCGGCCCCACCACTCACCGCACGCCACCCACCCACCCTACCCCCCCACCCACCCACCCCCCCCACCCACCGCATTCCACCCTCACACACTTACGTCTCAGGTTGCTGACGAGCTGAGTGTTGTTCAGTCCAGATGAGCTCCAGGCCATGGTCCTGGCCAGCAACAGCCCCAAAACAGCTCCCAGCATCTCCCTGTCAGTCACACAGTGTCAGTCCCCCGCGTACTCTCTACCCCCCCACACACCATACCCGCACCCCACCACCGTACCCGCACCCTCCGCACCGTACCCGCACCCCCACCACCGTACCCGCACCCCCCACCGTACCCGCACCCCCCCACCGTACCCGCACCCCCCCACCGTACCCGCAAACCCCCCCCCACTGTACCTGCACCCCCCCACCGTACCCGCACCCCCCCCACCGTACCCGCACCCCCCCACCATACCTGCAACCCCCCACCGTACCCGCACCCCCCCACCGTACCCGCACCCCCTCCACCATACCCACACCCCACCACCATACCTGCACCCACATCCCCCCACCCCACCCCCACCATACCCGCACCTCCACCATATCCGCACCCCCACTCAACCCCATACCCGCAGCTCCCACCCCATACCCCCACCCCCCACCATAGCAACACCACCCCCACCCCTCCCCATACCCCCCCACCCCCACCCCTCCCCATACCCCCCCCCCACCCCTCCCATACCCCCCACCCCCACATACCCCACACCCCCCACCCCACCCCTCCCATACCCCCCACCCCACATACCCGCACACCCCCCACCCCACCCATACCCCCCACCCCCACCCCCATACCCCCCCACCCCCACATACCCGCACACCCCCCATACCCGCACACCCCCCATACCCGCACACCCCCCATACCCGCACACCCCCCATACCCGCGCCCCCACCGAGTACTCAGTCTCAGTTACTGACAAGTTACGCTCAGTCCCCGTTACTCTCTGTGACTCACAGTCCTGACCCCCTGTGACACGCAACTACTCCCCAGTTACTATGTCACTCTCTCTGTTTAATTACTCACATTCCTTTATTGCTGAATACTCACTCCCGGCGAGTAATGCACAACTGTGACTGCGCACAGTACTGTGGAAGATTCTCTCAGTCACTCTCAGACTTTGGGCTCCTCACAACTGGGCGGAGAGATATGGCGTCACTGAGGCCCAGCGCGGAGCTGCGGGGGGGGAGAGCCCCAGCGCGGAGCTGTGGGGGAGAGGCCCAGCGCGGAGCTGCGGGGGGGGGAGAGGCCCAGCGCGGAGCTGCGGGGGCGGAGAGGCCCAGCGCGGAGCTGTGGGGGAGAGGCCCAGCGCGGAGCTGCGGGGGAGAGGCCCAGCGCGGAGCTGCGGGGGGGGAGAGGCCCAGCGCGGAGCTGTGGGGGAGAGGCCCAGCGCGGAGCTGCGGGGGGAGAGGCCCAGCGCGGAGCTGCGGGGGTGGGGGGGGAGAGGCCCAGCGCGGAGCTGTGGGGGAGAGGCCCAGCGCGGAGCTGCGGGGGGAGAGGCCCAGCGCGGAGCTGCGGGGGGGGGGGGAGAGGCCCAGCGCGGAGCTGCGGGGGGGAGAGGCCCAGCGCGGAGCTGTGGGGGAGAGGCCCAGCGCGGAGCTGTGGGGGAGAGGCCCAGCGCGGAGCTGTGGGGGAGAGGCCCAGCGCGGAGCTGTGGGGGAGAGGCCCAGCGCGGAGCTGTGGAGGAGAGGCCCAGCGCGGAGCTGTGGGGGAGAGCCCCAGCGCGGAGCTGCGGGGGAGAGGCCCAGCGCGGAGCTGTGGGGGAGAGGCCCAGCGCGGAGCTGTGGGGGAGAGGCCCAGCGCGGAGCTGTGGGGGAGAGGCCCAGCGCGGAGCTGTGGGGGAGAGGCCCAGCGCGGAGCCGGGCTGATGGCGGAGCCGGGTTGGGAGGTGGCGGAGGTGGAGGCGGAGCGGGCGGCCGCCGAGCTGTGCTGGGAGCGGATCTGTGCCGAGCTGCCGCCCGGCCGCTCCTCTCCGGGGCCCGGGGCCCTGTGGGAAACCTTCACCCCCATCCCGGCCTCCGAGACCCTCGACCAGGACATCGCGCGGCCTCCCCCCCGGGCCCGGGCCTGGGCCCCACTGCCCGACTCCCAGCGACACCTCCTCGGCCTCGGTCAGTGCCCTCTCTGTTAGTCTGTCACCGTCTGTTACTCTGATACTCACTCACTGTCACTCTCTGTTACTCTGATACTCACTCACTGTCACCGTCTGTTACTCTGATACTCACTCACTCACTCTCTGTTACTCTGATACTCACTCACTGTCACTCTCTGTTACTCTGATACTCACTGTCACCGTCTGTTACTCTGATACTCACTCACTGTCACTCTCTGTTACTCTGATACTCACTGTCACCGTCTGTTACTCTGATACTCACTCACTGTCACTCTCTGTTACTCTGATACTCACTCACTGTCACTCTCTGTTACTCTGATACTCACTCACTGTCACTCTCTGTTACTCTGATACTCACTCACTGTCACTCTCTGTTACTCTGATACTCACTCACTGTCACTCTCTGTTACTCTGATACTCACTGTCACCGTCTGTTACTCTGATACTCACTCACTGTCACCGTCTGTTACTCTGATACTCACTCACTGTCACCGTCTGTTACTCTGATACTCACTCACTCTCTCTCTGTTACTCTGATACTCACTCACTGTCACCGTCTGTTACTCTGATACTCACTCACTCTCTCTCTGTTACTCTGATACTCACTCACTGTCACCGTCTGTTACTCTGATACTCACTCACTCTCTCTCTCTTACTCTGATACTCACTGTCACCGTCTGTTACTCTGATACTCACTCACTGTCACTCTCTGTTACTCTGATACTCACTCACTGTCACCGTCTGTTACTCTGATACTCACTCACTCACTCTCTGTTACTCTGATACTCACTCACTGTCACTCTCTGTTACTCTGATACTCACTGTCACCGTCTGTTACTCTGATACTCACTCACTGTCACTCTCTGTTACTCTGATACTCACTGTCACCGTCTGTTACTCTGATACTCACTCACTGTCACTCTCTGTTACTCTGATACTCACTCACTGTCACTCTCTGTTACTCTGATACTCACTCACTGTCACCGTCTGTTACTCTGATACTCACTCACTGTCACTCTCTGTTACTCTGATACTCACTCACTGTCACTCTCTGTTACTCTGATACTCACTGTCACCGTCTGTTACTCTGATACTCACTCACTGTCACCGTCTGTTACTCTGATACTCACTCACTGTCACCGTCTGTTACTCTGATACTCACTCACTCTCTCTCTGTTACTCTGATACTCACTCACTGTCACCGTCTGTTACTCTGATACTCACTCACTCTCTCTCTGTTACTCTGATACTCACTCACTGTCACCGTCTGTTACTCTGATACTCACTCACTCTCTGTTACTCTGATACTCACTGTCACCGTCTGTTACTCTGATACTCACTCACTCTCTCTCTCTTACTCTGATACTCACTGTCACTGTCTGTTACTCTGATACTCACTCACTGTCACTCTCTGTTACTCTGATACTCACTCACTGTCACTCTCTGTTACTCTGATACTCACTCACTGTCACTCTCTGTTGCTCTGATACTCACTGTCACTGTCACTCTCTGTTACTCTGATACTCACTGTCACTCTGTTACTCTGATACTCACTCACTCTCTGTTACTCTGATACTCACCGTCACTGTCTGTTACCCTGATACTCACTCACTGTCACTGTCTGTTACTCTGATACTCACTGTCACTCTGTGTTACTGTGATACTCATTGTCACTCTGTGTTACTGTGATACTCACTGTCACTCTGTGTTACTGTGATACTCACTGTCACTTTCTGTTACTCTGAAACTCACTGTCACTCTCTGTTACTCTGAAACTCACTGTCACTCTCTGTTATTCTGATACTCATTGTCACTCTGTGTTACTGTGATACACACTGGCTCTCTGTTACTCTGATACTCACCATTACTCTTTGTCGGTTACTCTGATAATCTGTTTGTTACTGTGATACTCACTGTCTCTCTCTCTCTCTCACTCTGATACTCTTACTCTCAATCTCTCTATTACTGCCTGTTACTCTGATACTCACTCTTACTCTCGGTCTTTCCATTACTGCCTGTTACTCTGATACTCACTCTTACTCTGTTACTCACTGTCTCAATTACTGCCTGTCTCTCGGCGAATAACTCTCTGTCTCTCTGTTGCTCACTGTTACTCTCAGTGACTCAATGTCTCTTTGTCACTCAATGTCTCTGTTAGTCACTGTCCTCCCCACTGATTGATTGTCCTCCGCAGAAAACCGATTGAGGAAAGTGAAGGGCCTGAACCAGGAGCCAACGTCCAAAGAGATGCTGCAGTGCCTGGCCCAGGCCAGGAAGGAGTGCTGGGACCGCTTCCTCCATGACCAGCGAGACTCTGACATGTTCAGCGATGGCTGTGATGTGGATGACAGGTAAACAGTCACTCGCAGTCCAGTCTGTCTGCACAAAACTTGGGACTTTTTCCGCTGGGACAAAGAAGGTTGAGGGGTGACTTGATCAAGGTCTTTAAAATGATGAGGGGTTTTGATAGAGTCGATAGGGAGACATTATTTCCACTAGTCGGTGAGTCAGTGACAAGAGGAACTTCATTTAAGAAAGTTAGTAAACAAGCAAATGGAGACGTTAGGAGAAGTGGTTAGGATATGGAATGTCCTGCCAGGAGTGGTGTTCGAAGCAAAATCCATATTGGCCTTCCAAGAAGGAATGAGACAGATACCTTAAAAAGAGTCAGTCACAGGGGCGGGTGTGGGGGAAGGGCAGTTAAGTGGGAATGAAAGGATTGCTCTTGAGGGAGTGGCACAAACACGTAATGTACAGTGCCGTAAATTTATTGTTAATAATCCTTACATTTGATACAGCACCTTATCACATCGTCAATTCGCCTTGATGTGCTACAGCATGTAGGATATAGTGTGAAATGGTGCGACTGTATTAATTGGGTGAAAGCAGCAGCCATTTTGACACAGCAATGTCCCACAACAACCATGGAGTGAGTGACCAATTTTATCTGGGGGATTGTTGGCCAGGACACCGGGAGAAATTCCCGTCTCTTGTGACTGAGAGAGACTCGTCCTGGGGGAGGTAAGCTGAATTGGCTTCAAGGTGACATGTTTGGCAACAGAATGTCAGAATTGAGGTAAAATCCATATTGGTCCTCTGTGAGAATCTCCAGTCTTGTTCCTGAGCCAGGCAGATCCGCAGTACTCCAGGGCACAGCCAGTCTGGCTCATTGGCAAGATTTGGAAGGGCAGACCAGTCACTGAGGCCAGGGAATCCTCCCACTTTAGAGTGAGTGTAGGTGCTGGATCTCCAGTAGACACGGAGAGTGACTGGCATCTCCCAGCTGGGCCTGTGGAAGCGATGGCTTGGAAACCGCGTGTCAAGATTCTCTGACCTCTCACTTTCTGCCTTGCCAATCTAGGGCCATTGATCTCTTCAAACGCTGGCTCCAGCCGGACAAGATTCCAATCAGCGCAGAAGAAATTCAGTTCCTGATCAACCCAGAAGCTTACGTGGACAGTCAGGAGGATGAAGGCAGCTGCTCGGGCTGTGAGCAGTAGAGAACAGCTTCACTCAGTGTTGAACAGCCGTCCCACACCCAGCCCCTTATTCCCAACGCATTACACTTGCTTCTGTTTTTAAACAGACAGCAAGCATCGTAAGGGTAAATGGTTAAAGGAAAATGACTTGTTGAACAGATGTGAATCTAGACCCTGATCTGCTTTTGCCGTGAGAATGGAGTTAATGATGTTCTCCGAGATGTACCTGTGTGTATACGCCGAGAGTACTCAGGATTCGGTGTTTACTGTAAACACTAGGCTGTGAGCAGCTATTCTGTCTTCTCAATGAAAATTTGTAAACCCCGGATCTGAGTCACATCACAGGCTGGTACCAGCCCCCCCACCCCCACACACAAACACACACACGCACTGACTGGCTTTGTGGATATGGAAGCAATGTGGAAATTGAATATGTGGTGTTTCTCTAACTCTTCCCTTTGTGTGTGTATGTTTTTCTCACTCTTCTCTGTTTCTCTAATTAAGTGTTGTGTGTGTTTCTCTCTTCAACTGTATGTGTGTCTCTCTCTCTGTCTCTCTATATATATATATACACATACATGTATATACACATACATGGTGACCAAAAAGTCATACCATTTCAATGTCTAATAAGTCTTAAAGAAATTATGAAGAAATAAAGTAATTATTATTAAAATAAATAGTATCACGACTTTTTGTTACCCTGCATATATATATATAAATCTTTATTACTCTGGATCGGATCAGACACAATCCAGGGAAATACAGCTGACACACGAGCACAATGAAATCAATTCAATTGTGTTAAAATGTGGATAATGTGAAACTGTCAGGTTCAGGCCTGATACAGTCCCATGTCTGTTGGCAGATGGGGGTGGGTGCGGTTGACTATATCTACAGCTCCTGTGCGGGGAGCAACTCGGGGCTTCAAGGTTCTGACCAGCTATGACCTTACCTGTAATTGTTCTGTCGCTCATGTCTGCTCATGACTATATTACAGCACGTTCCTCACAAACAGTTTTGCTTCTTGCCTCTTTGGAAACGTGAATGAGTTTAAATGGCCAATCTCCCCCCGCGCTCCTCAACAATGTTCCAATTTATTTTGGTCAGCCGGGTGTCTGAAACCCATCGCCATACTTAAGAGTCTCCAAGCCAGACTGAGAATTCCATGTCTGCCACCTACACGTGGAACGGAATGCACACTTTCCCCGGAGCGATCACTCTGGTTACCTAATTCTGGAGAGGATTAGGCACCTAATCACATCTAGGCTCGACTACGCCAATTCCCTGCTTGTCGGCCTTCCCAACTCTTCCCTCCACAAGCTGCAGATCATCCAGAACTCTGCAGCTCGTGTCCTGTCCTACACTAGGCTCTGTGACCCCATCACCCCCACTGGCTCCCCATCCCTTAGAGGATAGAGTTCAAAATCCTCGTCCTCGCCTTCAAGGCCTTGCCCCTTCCTTCCTCAATGACTTGCTAAACCCATATCAACTTGTCCGTGCTGTCCGCTCAGCAGGCTCCGGTCTGCTCCACGTCTCCCGCTCACCATCGGCGGTCTGGCTTTAAGCCTCTCCGCCACCCTTTGGAACTCATCCCACATTCCCTTCGAAGCCCTCCCTCCCTGGCCTCCTTCTAGGCACGTCTCAAGTCCCTCTTCAACTGTGCCTTCGGCCACCTTCCTACCTTCCACCCTCCCTTACCCCAATCCCCTCCACCCCCACTAGGGTCCAAATCCTGACTATTCAGCGCCTTGGGACGTCCTCCCGACATGAAAGACATTATACAAATGTATAATACTCGTTGGCTTGGGGACCCTCGAGGGTACAATAGGATAACTGATGGGAGTCTAGATATGGGATTTGCTGGCGTCACTGCACTTTATATCCTGGGAAGCACGTGATAAAGCATTGCATCAAATGTAGGGATTATTGTTTTTATACACAGAGAGTGATACTAGTTGTTCATTGTGATTGTTTAGTGTGAGCCGCACGCAGCACATGAGCCGCAAAAACATGCACCAGACAAATGTCTCCACTCCTACCTGGTTTGATTTGCTCTGATTTGCATGTTCCCTCTGCCTTCCTTCCACCCTGTGGGTCAGAAGGTTATGTGACAGTCTCTCTGTGTGTCAGGATTTTGAGCTTTTAAGCCTGGGCCCCATAAAGGTGAAGGATCCATTTTATTTGGGGGAATTGTCAGCCGGGACACTGGGAGAGAGAAATTCCCTTTTTGCAAATAGCGCCGTAGGATATTTCACATCCACCTGAATAGGCACAGGTTCAGTTTAAGTGGCATCCGAAGAACAATACCTGACAATTCAGCGCATCCCCCACCCCATAGTACTGTGTGAGACTGAGCTCAAATTCCCCGCCATGGGGGCTTAAACCCACGACTTTCTGACTTGGAGGCGAGAGTGCGAGCGATTGAGTCAGGCTGATGGCGGTTCAGGAAGCAGTAGATTGGGTGGATGTTGTGCAGAGCAAGGAAACGGGGAGAGATTAGGTGCTGGGGAGGGACAGGAGGCTGACTCATTTGCATGAGCAGCAAACAAATTTAAATGTCAAACTTTAGCAGTGAGTTATGGCTAATTTTGAAAGTATGCAAATCCCTTGCAGTGACTCTTGTTTCCGTTTCTCACCAACTTTACTTTCTGTCTCATTTTAATGCCTTATTCGCAGGTGAGCTGTTCACTTTTGAGTGAATCGCTTCTGCAGAGAGACAATGCAGTGAAATAGTTAACCCCAGGCTCCAGGACACAGGCTGAGTTTTGACCTCAATACTTTGAGACATTTTGCTTTCTTCTCCCCACTCCCAGCCGTGTGTCACCCTGTCACCTTACCCCTTATTCCATACCCCCATCATTCCCCCCACATTTTTCCACTCCACCCTTAGCTGCATTCCCCCATTAGCCCCCCACCCCCCAAACAAACCTATGTCATGTTATTCTGCTGTCTTGGTGCATCCTAAAGTATTGATTGAGTTTAGTTCCTCAATCCCATTACAATGTTGCACACCTCCACAAAGTTCCCTCAGAGTTGTCTTCTCTCCAGACTAAATAGCCCGAGCTTGTCTAGTCGTTGCTTATAGCTCGTTCCCCTAACACTGGGATCAGCTTTGTGGCTCTCCTCTGTACATATGCAGTGACCAGAACTGTTTGCGTCGTTGAGACATCTCAAAACAGGATTTACTGTAAAGTGGTGATTGCATTTTGTGAGCGAACCTGGCAGCCAATTTAGGCAAAACAACGTCGCACACCAAAAACAGCCAGGAGGTGAAGGAACAATTTTATTGGGGAATTGTTGACCAGGCCACCGGGCGAAGCTCTGCGGCTATTTACCCGGCTTTACACACGCCTAATACTAATCCCTCCAAAACAATAATAAATTGGTCATTTTCAATACACGACTGTTTGTGGGACACTGCTGTGCGCAATTGGCTGCCGCGTTCGCCCACAAATATACAGTCAATTCACTTTACAGTCTATTCTGTGAAGCGCTTTGGGACGTCCTCCCGACGTGAAAAGCGCTATATCAAATGCAAGGATTATTATTATTATTATTTACAGTTTGTACGTTTAACTTTGCCATCTCAGTGGTTGCGGAAATCTATTTATCTGCTGTGAAGTCAACAGTGATCATCAGTAAATAGAGTTTATTGACAATAGGAAATCTTCTTTTGATACGCAGCCATTGAGTGACTGCAATGTTGAAATGTCTGGACAAATTGGCATGAAGGGAGGTGACCATCTGTTTGTCTAATTGTAGACAAACACAACAAAGTCCCACATCAGCCAAGAGGAGAATGATTAATCTAGAGGATTGTTGGCCAGGATATTGGGCAAAACTCTCTTCTCTTTTCCAATATTGTTACAGAAACTCAAAGTCTGCTTGGACAGGCACAGATAGCACATTGGTTTAAAGTCCCACTGGAAGGACAGCACCTCCAACAATGCTCCCCCCAGCACTGCAATGGAGCATCAGCCTAGACTGTCAGCTCAATGGAGGGCTTTAACCCACACGGACCCAGAGATCCACAGGAATCCCAAAGACTTTAGGAGAGACGTTAAGGCTTTTGTGGGAGTGAGAGGAGATTTACTACAATGATATGGGGATGAGTAGTTTGCCCGTTGGAACAAAGGGTGACCAGATTGAGGTCGGGAAGGGCTGACTGGGTGAAGAGAGCTCGGCTCTGGTTAGAGAAGGCAGTTGGAAGTTATTTGCAATGCTGATTAGGTACTGGTTCTGACTTGAGTCACGCTGACAGTTGGGCATAAAAGAGCGTGTGGTTTCCTCTCTTCCTGGTTTGGTGCTACTGTCTCCTCCATCACACAGCACATCTGAGAGCACGCCTGCCTCACATTCAGTCCTTGCTGCTTACACACTGCTCTCCACACACCCCGTGCCTGAAGATGACCACAGAGTGTCCTTTACCTGCTCAGATTGCGGTGGAGAGTTTCCTTGTCCACGGCGAGAAATTCATTAAATGGGATGACGTAAGTTACCAAATCAAAGTCTGGAACGTGTTAAACCAGAACTGCGATTTCACATTATCCTTACATTTGTTACAGTTCCTCTAATGTCGCATGAGATGTGTAAACCCATCTGTGCCTGTTCAGGTGGACATTAAGGATCCCGTGGCACTATTGCAAAAGAGAATCGAGGTTCTCTATCCTGGTGTCTAGGCCAACAATCCCCAGATAAAATTGGTCACTCACTCCATACCTGTTTGAGGGACACTGCTGTGCACAAATTGGCTGCATACAAATTACAGTCACTACACTTTGCAGTGTGTCTTGTGAAGTGCTTTAAGACATTCTCCCGACATGAAAGGCACTGTATCAAATGTAAGGATTATTATTGCAAGACTTCTCAAAGTGGATGCGTCAAATGTAGTGACTGTTTTGTTCAGTTAATAACTTTGTCCGATGTCCAAAGAGGTCACAGAGGTCAGGTGGGGCGAGATGTAGAGATTTAAAGGTGAAGATGAGGATCTTGAACTCGATCCTCTGGGGGATGGGGAGACAGTAGAGTCGGGCGATGATCAGGTGATAGGCCCGTGGAGCCTGGTGCGGTAGAGGACACGGGCTGCCGAATTCTGGATGGTCTGTAGATTGTGAAGGGAAGAGGCGAGTAGTCTTGTGAGCAGCGAGTTGGTGTAATCCAGCCTGGACATGATGAAAGCCTGGATAAGGCAATTATAGTCCTGCAGCTCAGTGGTTAGATCACTCGCTTTGCAAGCGAGACACCTGGGTTCAATTCCCGGCAGGTCAGGGTGAAACCTTGGGCAAGTTTCCTTACTCCACACAGAGCCTAATAATAATCCTCCAAAACAAACAATAATAAATTAGTCATTTTCAATCCACGACTGTTTGTGGGACACTGCTGTGTGCAATTGGCTGCCGCATTTCGCCCACAAATATATGGTCAATCCGCTTTACAGTATATTCTGTGAAGCACTTTGAGACGTCGAGAAGACGTGAAAAGTGCTATATCAAATGCAAGGATTATTATTATTATTATCAGCCAGAACAACAGTACTCCTGGAATCGAGGGTGGATGCAAATAATAATAATAATAATAATCCTTGCATTTGATATAGCGCTTTTCACGTCGGGAGGACGTCCAAAGCGCTTCACAGAATATACTGTAAAGTGAATTGACTGTATATTTGTGGGCGAACGGGGCAGCCAATTGCGCACAGCAATGTCCACAAACAGTCGTAGATTGAAAATGACCAATTTATTATTGTTTGGGGTTTTGGAGGGATTATTATTAGGCGTGTGGAGTAAGGAAACTTGCCCAAGGTTTCGCCCTGCCTGGAAGTGAACCCAGGTGTCTTGCTTGCAAAGCAAAGAGGTAGAGTTGCATGTCATCTGCTCTCACCCGCAACCCACCTATACGTGGAAATTCCCATGTTTGGAATGGAATGCACACACTTTCCCTGAAGGAATATATCCTGTTTACTTAATTCCGGAGAGTATTAGGTGCAGGTTGACAAGAGCCAAGGTTTGGGGACCCCAGACTGGAAATATGGACACCTGTTACTGGGCTCAGGTTCGGGTTGTGAACACACCACCAGAAAGTCTCTCTTCACACAAGGGCGGGGTTACCGGGTGGAGTTGAGGCCAGGACCTGGCAGTCATTTCAGAAGAACGGTGGTTAGGCAGCCATGATGCTGTAACAGGCAGAGTTCCATTTTATTTTGTAATAGGCCAAATACTACAGATGCTGGATATCTGAAATAAAAACAGAAGTAAACTGGGAACGCTCGGCAGGTCAGGCAGCATCTATGGAGAGGAAAGTGAGAACGTTTTCAGGGCAATGACCTTTTGTGCATTTGTTTTGTGTCTGACACACTCAGAATCCCATCACCGTGCTTCATGGTATCCAAACCAGTCTGCGAGTTCCATTGTCTCCCACCTACACATGAAAATTTCCAAGATGTTTATTAGAATGGAATGCACTCTCTCTCTCGCTGGAGGGATGCACCCAGCTTACCTAATTTTAGAGAGCATTAGGCACAGGTTGGCGAAAGGAAAGTCATGGGTACCCCAGAGTGTGCATTGGAGTGTGCATTGAGGACAGTATCGCTATGCTCTGAGTGGAGGCCACTATATAAACATTAGTCATCACTATCTGACCTCCCCTCTGCTCTTCTTCAATACCCGCATTGGGGTAACTGTTGGAGTCTAACCAGCTAAAACCGTACAGTGTGCTATTGGGAGTACTGCCAGGCTAGCTTTCCTGATGCTTGTCCAGCTAGGACCATCCCTTAGGACTTTGACTTGTAGGGTTAGAGCTCAACCATACCGTCTGATGATGCTGACAATTCCCCAAACCTGCCCTGGAATATCAGCCTGTGAGCTCAAGATTCCTGCAGACACAGAGATCAAATTAAGCACACACCAAGCTGAGACTCCGTGCTTAATATCCAAAGTCTTGTCCTTTCCCCTCAGGAGTCGGGAGTGGGATCACCAGTCATTCTGCGGGTGGACGCCAAAGGCTACTTCCTATCCTGGACCTATCAAAACAAGGTAATCAGATTACACTATAACTAATATTTACGCATCAGGAGGTTTCACAACGCTGGCTGGCACCGAGCTGGGCTGGGGAGTAAAAAGATGACTGAAAGCACGTTGCAGAGGTAGGTATTTTAAGCAGACCTTGAGCGAAAGGGAAGGAGTTTGAATGACTCCGGGTTGGAGCTTTTTAAATATTCTTTTAATAATCATCTTAGTGTTTCCCATTACGACTGTAACCTATCAAGTCGCAATTTACTGCCTCGATTTCCAGCCTGTGTCTACCCTGCCAGGCTCCCCGGGTGCATTACCCCCACCATCGCCATGCTCCCCCAGTACAGCTCCTCCCCCAGCCATGTCAGCTGCCCCCCAGCCCAGCTCCCCCCCACCAGCGCAGCCCTCACTCAGCCCCCACAGCCTAACCAGTGAGGCCTATAATAATAATAATCCTTGCATTTGATATAGCGCTTTTCATGTCTTCTGGATGTCCCAAAGTGCTTCACAGAATATACTGTAAAGTGAATTGACTGTATATTTGTGGGCGAACGCGGCAGCCAATTGCGCACAGCAATGTCCCACAAACAGTCGTGGATTGAAAATGACCAATTTATTATTGTTTTTGGTTTTGGAGGGATTATTATTAGGCTCTGTGTGGAGTAAGGAAACTTGCCCAAGGTTTCGCCCTGACCTGCCTGGAATTGATCTCAGGTCTCTCGCTTGCAAAGCGAGTGCTCTTACCACTGAGCTACAGGACTCCACGCCTAACCATTGATTTATAAAATTTTGCATAAAATCCTTGTTTTTGTACTATTCTATTTTTCAAGCCAAGGATCCCATTTGCCCTTTTTTAACAGCTTTATCAACTTGTCCTGCCACCTTCAAAGATTTGTGTCTGTGAACCCCCAAGTCTCTCTGTTCCTGCGTCCCCTTTAAATTGAACCATTTATCTTATATTCCTCCTTCCAAAATACATCAGTTCACACTTCTCTTCATTGAATTCTATCTGCCATGTGTCTGCCCATTTCACCAGCCCATCTATGTCCTCCTGCAGTCTGCTACCATCCTCCTCACTGTTCACGACATTTCCAAGTTGTGTGTCGTCGGCAAACTTTAAAATTTTGCTCTCTGTACCCAAGTCACCATGTGTTGTCGGTGTCCTGGTCTCTGTTGAGTTGAACAAAGGGTTGGTGTGGCTCTGGTTGGGGTTGAGGCCTCCTGCAAATCTCACATGCAAATCTCCTGTTCATGTGTGTGTAAATATAGAAAACACTCAAACAAAGCCGTCCCACTCAGCACGCATACATCCTCCAGAGACTCTTTGTTCCTCAGCTTGCCATCTTTCCCAGGAAGTGACCGCCCTGCCGTCCGTCCTGAGGTTTTAACGTGAAAGGCGCTATACTAACGTAATTTCTTGTTGTTGTCCTTGCCCCCACTGCCCGCTCGCCCCCTCACAGCTTCTGATTCATCTTCTTCAGAACTCCACCAATTCCACTTGTAAAAGAATAGAAGGACTCTGGAGGCGAATCCTATGTGGAGCATTTTTTACTAACCTCCCCCTTAATTATTTTTGGGATTATCTTAAATCCGTGTCTCTCGTGACCGGTTGATTGGCAGTGAAATAATCTCGCACGATTTATCCTGTTTTAACCCTTCAGAATCTTCAAGATCTCAGTCATATCACCCTAAGGGAGGATGGGGCCGGGAAGGTGGGGGGTGGGCCTGGGTCGTGGGAGGGTGGGGACGGGCTGTGGGAGTGGGGATGGGAGGTTGGGTCCGCGAGGGTTGAGTTGGGGCTGGCTGGGCTGGGAGGGTGGAGGCTGGGCTGGGCGAGTGACAGCCCATATACTGGCCGAGTGCTGTCACTAACAATCACAGCTGATTGTCCATCAACACTCAATGTTCTTCATGTTGCTCAGCAAGTGGAGTGCCTGGACATCACAAGCATTCGTGACACCCGGATAGGGACATTCGCCAAAGTGCCGAAGGTAAGTCCTGGCCTCGGTGCCGCTCTCTCTCTCTCTCTCTCTCTCTCTCTGTCTCAGTGGCGCTCTCTCTCTCTCTGTGTGCCGGCCTCGAAGGTGGCTATGCTCTGAGTGGAGGCCACTATATAAACACTAGTCATCACTATCTGACCTCCTCTCTGCTCTCCTTCGATACATGCTCCCGTGATCAGAGCAGGACCCAGTACTGTGGGTGTGACTGCCCAAGCAGTGATTAACACCCACTCCCTGCTGATCAGGCTCCTATCCTGTGTAAGAGTCTCCCTGGTGATTTGGGCTCTGGTGGTGTTCACAGCTGTCCTGTGGCTCTCATACACACTGATTTGTAGAGTTATTCAAATATATTAAAATCCACAAAACCAAACACAATCTCTGTTTACACAGAGCTGTGACCAAGCAGACCTGACTCTGACCCTCGCATGGCAGGGACCTGGTGGTTGAAGTATGGGAGCACGAGATCGGGGGACCTTGCTCACCCAGGCTGTCCTTCCCTCATCCTTCTCGTGTCAGTCTGGCTCAGTGTTACCGCTCTCACCTCACAGTCAGAAGGTTGTAGGTTCAAGTCCCAGGTCTAGGCTGACACTCCAGTGCAGCGCTGGGGGAGTGCTGCATTGTCAGAGGTGCCATCCTTTGGATAAAGCGTTAAGCCATCTGCTTGTTTGGGTGGACATTAAAGATGATTTGGAAAGAGAAAAGAGTTTCTCTCTTCTGTGTCCGGGCCAACAATCTGCAAAATAAAATTGGTCACTCCCTTCACTGCTGTTTATGCAACACTGCTGTGCGCAAATTGGCTGCCATGTTTCTGCCTTTAGCCTGAAAGGCACTGTATATAAGCGTGAGTTGTGAAGTCCTGAGTGGTGTTTGTCATGTGTGACAGGTGCTGTATAAGAAAGAGCGAGTCGTCCTTCTTGTTTTCACTTTTGTTTGATTCTTCTGCAGAATCCTAAAATTCGAGAGATTTTCAACGTGGAAAACCCAGAGTCCAACTTTTACTCCAAATGCCTGACAGTGGTGTCCGGCCCAGACTTTGTCAACCTGACCTTTGATAACTTTGTGGCCTTCAAAGAGAATGTGGTTGTGGTGAGTGACATCGCTGGCAGCTCCCAGACCACATGCCTTGACTCATTTTTCCACATTATGTCCTTTGGATGAGATTTTAAACCGAGTTCCTGTTGGCCTGTTCAAGTGGATATTACAGATCCCCCATGGTACTGTTCGAAAAGAGAAGGGATTTTCTCTCTCCCGGTGTCCTGGCCAACAATCCCCCCAAAGAAAAACTGGTCACTCACTCCATGACTGTTTGTTGGGTTTGCGCGCAATTGTGCTGCTAGTTCACCTACGATAATAATAATAATAATGCTTCCATTTGATATAGTTCTTTATCAAATGGTTGAGACGTCTCAAAATGCTTCACAGAATATACTGTAAAGTGAATTGACTGTATATTCTGTGGGAAAAACATGGCAGTCAATTGTGCACAGGAGTGTCCCACAAAGAGTCGTGGGTTGAGTGACCAAATTATCGTTTTTTTAAGGGATTATTACCTCCAGAAAGCGATGCACCAATTGACTAACAACCGGGTTCTTACTACTGCTAGGTAATCAGAGGCGTATGGAATAAGAAAACTTGCCTAAGGTTTTGCCCTGCCCGGGAATTGAACCGAGACGAGTACTCTAAGCGCTTAGCTACAGGACTCCACTTATTATTATTACTATTATCCCAGGATTTGACAGTCTCACTCCTAATTTCTCACTTGGGTTTTGACCTGTGTGTCTTTTCACTGACAAAGAAGCCCTTTACAATTTGATGCCGTGCCTTTGACATTAGGGCGAAAGTTCTTCGCAGGATTCCACTGTAAAATGTAGTGACTGTGCATTTTGTAGGCGAAGGCAGCAGCCACTTGTGCACAGCGACGCCCCAGGAACAGCTGTGAGGTGAACGTCTCTCTCTCCAGCCTCTGTCGCTCCCAGGGGATCAACTTTAAGAACCTCACTCTGATATTGCTCTCGCTCTCTCGTGCCCTACTCTGATCTCCTCCAGCCTCATTCTCCGCCATGACCCCTTCGCTCAGCCTACTGTGTTTGTCCCGCGGCCCCACCATTCAGCCATCATGCCCGCACCCTCTAGAACCCACTGACAGATCCCCTCCACCTCACACACTTTCTGTCTGTCTTTAAAAATATTCTGTTTTTCCCAGACATATACCCAGATGTGAAGGTGCTGTGAAAACTGCATTTGTTGCCATCTTTTCATTGGGTGAACACATAATCTAAGTCTCTTTTCTTATTGGTTTCTGTGTAGAAATGGTCGAAACACATCCTGAACATAGTCATTCATCCGTTCTCTCACAACGCTCCCAGATCAGCTTTCCTGGACAAAATGTGAGTGTCACGTATGTGAGTTACAGCTTTACTATCTCTAGCCCAATCACGTCCAAAACAATATATTCTGTGAAGCCCCTTTAAACATCTCAATGGCATAAGGCACTATATCAAAGACAAGGATTATTATTAATAACATCACACTGTCACACTCAGATACACCAAGATCAAGATGTTGGTGAATGAAGAACGCAGGATTCCAGTGAAAAGGTAGGTCCGAAAAATTTCAGGATTAAAAATGTGTTTATGGTCAAAATGCATCTCAGCTAAGACCCCGGCAATGTGATTCAGTGAGTCCTTATCCTGTAATAATAATCCTTGCATTTAAAGTCCTCCAATGGAGCTCAGGAGGGTGGGGGAGGGTTTGGGTGATTGAGTTGGGCTTTTAAAGTGGGAAGAGAGCAAGACGGGGGCTCCACAAGGGGTTGGGGGCAGAATAGCTGAAGGTTTGCTGCCTGTGAAGGGGAGAGCTGGGGGAGTTCGGCCAGCTGGGAGTGATGAAGGCTTGTTGGTGTTTGCACTGTGTTGGCTACAGATGCAGGAACGTTTCCTCTGATAAGCAATGGATTTACTGAGCTCTGGGTTTGTGTCTCCAGCTTTTACCAGATGTTCCCCGCTGACAGGAAGCGGGTGGAGGCTGCCCTCTCCGCCTGCCACCTCCCCAAACTCAAGGTCAGTCTCTTTGTGCCTCTCCTGCCCCATGCCCTCAGCACCCAGTCAGGGCATTCCCACCAGCACTGGCCACATTGTGTGTGTGACTGTAACTCTTATCATCCCCATCCTCGCTCAACTCCATCAACTCCCCATCCCCCAGTGATCAGTTCCCCATCCCCCAGTGATCGATCAGCTCCCTATCCAAGTGGTTGGCTCCACTGAAATGTACCTCATTGATCGCGCTTTCGGTCATCATTCCCCCTCCCACCCACCCCCCCACTTGGCTCCCACCCCCAGCTCGACCATGAGATGTGAGATGTGTGTAAATATAATCTCTGTTGTGCCTTTCTGGTCAGACGGACATGATCAATTTGGAGGATTTCAACGAGGTGGTTTTTCAGCAGTTTCTAGCACAGCTGTGCCCGAGGCCTGAGATCTCCCAAATCTTCGACTTGCTGTGAGTGAATGTGCCTTGCCTTCCCTAACTTAGTCCCTGGGTTTACAATGGAAACTTTGGGGGTAACATTTGTGTGGATTCTTGTTTTAACAACCCACCCCGCCATTCAAGTGGATGCTTCCTTCCCATTTTCTTCCATTTTGTTTCCATTCTGAGAGGCAATTTTTATTGCAAGTTGTGAGCTCTAGTTCGGGTGCTGTGTTTATTTCTGGTTCACAATTTTATTCCCAGTGTTGATCTGCTGGGGAGATGCCCAAATACACGCGCTTCTCCCCCACCAAAGAGCCCTTTAATTAGAGGTTTGGGACCTAGTGTGTTCAATTGAGTAAAAGTTCCCTTTTGGCTGTGGGAAGAATGGATTTCAGACCCTCCTTTGAAGGTCAACGCTGGGAAATTAATATGAATCAAAGGAGAGTAACTGACCTGCAGGCTGCTCTCACTCCTAACACTCACAAGTCAACAACGCTATTGCTGGGAGCTGCGGAGGAAACCCTTCACCTGGAATAGTGAGTGCCATCTCTGTACACCTCCATTACTGGTCAAATTTCACCCTTTAACCCAGAATTATAACCTGACTCAAGTTGGTATCACCCTCATCTCTGAGTCAGTAGGTTCAAGCCCCATGTTGGGAGTTTGAACTCATATAGTCTAAGATGACGCTCCAATGCAGTGCTGGGCAAGGCTGCAATATCAGAGGTGCCGTCCTTCGGGAGAGACATTAAATCAGGGTCCCGTCTGCCTGTTCAGGTGGACGCTAAAGATCCTATGATCCTATCGGAAAAGAGAGGGGAGTTTCTCTCTCCCGGTGTGCTGGCCAACAATCTCCCAAATAAAACTAGTCACTCATTCCATGGCTGTTTGTGGGACATTGCTGTGCATAAAGTGGCTGCTGTGTTTGCCCACAAATATACAGTCACTACACTTCACGGTAAAGTCCTGCAAAGTGCTTTGAAACGTCTCAACGTTATGATGAGGCGCGATATCAAATGCAAAGATTATTATTAAATATTTGTAAACCACTTTCACTCCACTTCTGATCAGTTCTATCTTGTGCTGAGCTCCGAGACGAGAGGCGCTGGGTAAATGCCAGTCATTATTCCTGAATCTCATTCGCATCTCATTTACTCCTTCAGCAAAGCCAAAGCAAAGCCCTTCTTAACCAGGGATCAACTGTGTCACTTTGTGAATAAGATCCAGCGAGACTCCAGGCTCAATGAGGAGCTGTGCCCTCCCCTGCAGCCCGCACAGATCCAGAGTCTGATCGAGAAATACGAGCCGAGCAACATCACTGCACGCAAAGGTCAGTCCACAGCCCCGCAATGCTCTAGCCTCCCATCACAAGATCTGTCTGCCTGGCTCAGTGTGTGTGTCAGCCCGGCTCAGTGTGTGTGTCAGCCCGGCTCAGTGTGTGTGTCAGCCCGGCTCAGTGTGTGTGTCAGCCCGGCTCAGTGTGTGTGTCAGCCCGGCTCAGTGTGTGTGTCAGCCCGGCTCAGTGTGTGTGTCAGCCCGGCTCAGTGTGTGTGTCAGCCCGGCTCAGTGTGTGTGTCAGCCCGGCTCAGTGTGTGTGTCAGCCCGGCTCAGTGTGTGTGTCAGTGGTAGCACTCTCACCTCTGAGTTACAAGATTAGGAGTTCAAATCCCACTTCGGGACTTGGAATCACATCGTCTAAGCGGACTTTCCAGGGCAGTGCTGGAGATGCTCTGCATTTTCGGAGGTGCTGTCCTCCGGATCAGACGTTAAACCGAGGCCCCTTTGCCTGTTCAGGTGGATGTTAAAAATCCGGTGGCATTATTTGAAAAGAGAAGGGAGTTTCTCTCTCTCTCCCGGTGTCCTGGCTAACAATGCCTCAAATAAATCATTTATTCGCTTCATGGCTGTTTGTGGGACATTGCTATGTGCAAATTCCCACACAGCAGTCGTTATACTTTACATAATGTCCTGTGAAGCACTTTGAGGGATGTTGTCCTGATGTGAAAGCATCAAACGTGAATATTGTCAGGGGGTTATCACACATCCCCACCAACAGTTACTGAGGCCGGGACAACAGGGACCTGGATGAGCAGATGAGCAGCAAAACATTAGAGAGAGGGGGAAAGAGAGAGACAGAGATGGAGAGAGAGAGAGAGGGGGGTGGTTAAGGAGGAGAGAGAGAGCGAGAACTGGGAAATGTGTTAAAAATAATGTGTGAGTGGAGGATAGACTGTGGGCGAACGACCTCCTGTAACATAATAATAATCCTTGCATTTGATACAGCGTCTTATCACATCGTCGAGAAGTGTCAAAGCACTTCGCAGAATATACTGTAAAGTAAATTGTCTGCATATTTTGTGGAATATGTCGCTAAGCTCTGCACTCTATTCCGCAGGCCATCTGTCACCTGAGGGACTGATTTTGTACTTGTCGGGTCCGGAGAACAGTGTACTGTTTCCAGATAAGTTGCTGGTCAACCAGGACATGACACAGCCCCTGTCACACTACTACATCAACTCCTCCCACAACACCTACCTCACAGGTACAGCAACACAGCTCAGTACAGGGCTCAGCCACCCGCCCACACTCTCACCTCTGCATCAGAGGAAAGTGCGATCAAGATCCAAGTCAGAACTCTGAGCTCACAGTCCAGGAGAACTGCCTTGTCAGAGATGCCGCCCTCAGGTTAGAAGATAGTCACCCAAACATAGAAACCCATCCCCATCATCAAGGACAGACAAACTAGATGGGTCAAGGTGTCCCTGCAAAGGTCCTCTCACCTTGCTGAAGGCAGACGCCCGCCAGATAGCTGATGAGGCTTGGGGCGACAGCTGAGCTACCTGGAAGCTGAGTCTGAGTTTGTGAACACATGTTCGTACATTCAGGGTCTGGAATCCATCTTGATTGGTATACAGAGACAACTAGCTGCTGCTTAAACTCTACACCTCCAACTGGTGAACCATCGCTCATTGGGAAGGGACGTGTGCCCGAGCTGCGCGCAGGGAGGTGTGGCAACGCTTGCACGTATTTCCGTGTTCCCCGTACCTGCCATCCACCCAGTGAAGCCTCAAACCTGAGCTTGTTGGATTTCATGATCTCTGTATTTCTCTCTCCCTCTCCAATCACTCTCTGTGTGTCTCTCTCTCTTTGATCATTCTCTCTCCGTGTCTCTCTCTGATCACTCTCTGTTTCTCGCTCTCTTCTAATCACCCTCTGTGGGCATCTCTCTCTAATCACCTTCTCTCTGTGTGTGTCTCCGATCGCTCTCTATCTCTCACTCTGATCTCTCTGTGTGTTGCCTTTTCTTTCTGATCGCTCTCTCTCTCTCTATGATCACTGTCTGTGTGTTGCCATTTCTCTCTCTCTCCGATCGCTCTCTCTGATCACTCTCTACTTGTTGCCATCTCTCTGTGTGTAGCCGGGCAGTTCTCTGGGCTCTCCTCCCCGGAGATGTACCGCCAGGTGTTGTTGGCGGGCTGTCGCTGTGTGGAGCTAGACTGCTGGAAGGGGAGGCCACCGGACGAGGAGCCCATCATCACACACGGCTTCACCATGACAACCGAGATCTTCTTCAAGGTAAAGACTCTTCTCAAAAGCTTAGCAGACAGTGCGTATCCTTCCCCTTTCTCGGTGTCCAATCAAGTCACTGTAACGCATTCCGAGACATTACCTTACGTGAGGGGACTATATATTTTGTTGACAGCCGGATGTCTGACACTTGCAGAAATCCATCACCATGCTTGAGTAGGAGTCAAACCGACTAAAACCACATAGCTTACTCCATGGAGTGCCATGGAGAGCACTCCATGGCAAGCTTTCCCACTGCTTGTCCAGCTGGGGACATGCTACCCGTTACGGGCTTTGGCTTCCAGGGTTAGCAGGAGCTGAGTCGGAGGACTCCCTGCCCCCAGTGACTGGTCTGCCCTTCCAAGTCCTGCTGATGAGCCAGGCTGGGCTGTGCTATCATCAGCAATACCCTGGAATACTGCAGGCCGCCCGGCTCAGGAACCGGACTAGAGACTGTCACAAAAGACTGGCTCGAATCCAATATTCTCTATGCTTCTTAGGGGGTGGTAAATGGGGTCTCCTTGGTGCTGAACTGGCCCCAAGGTAACATGCTTGGCAACGAGGAGACTCTATCAATAATGTTGTTATATCCAAACCTACAGCTGTGTGTTTGGCTGGAATCGGTGTCAGGTTCAGGTCGGTGTTGAGGGTAACAGGCTCTGTCTTTCCTTTGACAGGATGTGATCGAGGCGATAGCAGAGTCAGCTTTCAAAACCTCTCCCTACCCGCTCATCCTGTCCTTTGAGAACCACGTAGACTCGTGAGTATCGAGCCCCTGTGAACATCCTCTTACCAACACAGCAACAACGACTGGGCAAATATCAGCATTAATAAAGGCACCATTTTATCCAGGTGTCAGTCTGGCTCAGGGTCAGTCACTCTTGCTCTGAGTCAGAAGGTTGTGGGTTCAAACCCCACGTCAGGAATTTGCACCCATAAAGTCACTTCAATACAGAGTTGACTGGGGGTCTGGATTGTCAGAGGTGCTGTGCTTTGGTTGAGACGTGAAACTTAAATCCCATCTGCCTGTTCAGGTGGACTTTAAAGATTCCATGGCACTATTCGAAAAGAGAAAAGTTTCTCTCTCCTGATATCTTGGCCAACAATCCCCCAAATAAAATTGGTGGCTCACTTCCATGGCCTATTGTGGAACATTGCTGTGTTGAAATTAGCGGCTGCATTTGTGTACAAAACACACAGCACTACACTTTTCAGTAAATTGTATGAAGCGCTGTGGGATGTTCTCCCGAGGTAAACAAGCTGTATTAAATGTATGCATTGTTATTCGCAGAGTTTGCTGTTCAGAGTCCCCAACTGGGTTTTGAACCCAAAGCCTTGCTGCCAACTGAACCAAGTTGACACCTATTTTAGACAGACCCAAAGGGAGGAAGGGGAATTGAATTAGAGGGTCTGGAGGGGGAAGAGCAGGTTCGATGGCCTTGGTGGAGGTGGAAACATGGATACAGTGGGTGGTGTAGTTGTCTGCTGTGGGACAACCTGCCCCCAAACACACACACGGTCACATCCTGCTCTGTGCTGCAGGTGGGATCACTGTCACTTCTCTCAGCGCTCGTGATGTGCTCCCGATGTGAAAGGCGCTATACACGTGGAAATGTTGTTGTTGTCGCTGTCTGCGTCCCTGTCTCTGTCTTTGTCAGTGTCTGTGTCTCTTTCACCCTCTCTGATGCTGTCTGTGTCACTGTCACTGCATGCGTCACTGTCTGTGTGTGTGTGTGTCTCTCTCTCTGTGTCACTGTCTGTGTCACTATCTGTGTCACTGTCTGTCTGACTTGTTGCGTCTTGTTTCACCCAGCCCCAAACAGCAAGCCAAGATGGCAGATTACTGCCGGACCATTTTTGGTGACATGCTTCTGACCGAGCCTTTAGAGAAGTACCCGGTGAGTCCCCACATGAGCCAGAGGGAGGCGCTAGCTCCCAACTTTACAGCAGTGTGTATTTATACTGCACCTTCACATCAGAGGACTTGCAGTGACTGCTGGACTCCGAGCCAGGGAGAAGCAGGTCAGAGATGTAAAGGGCAATTTTAGGACCAGAAAGTATTTCTTTACCCAGAGGGTAATTAATGACTGGAACAGGGTTACCAGGAGAGGGTGTGTAAGGTCAGGACACTGGGACTCGTTAAAACAACAGCTCGATGCTGTGATGGAGGGACAGTCGGTGGGTGTTCTGGAGGCAGGAGATCAGATGAGTCGAAGGGCTTTCTTCACCCCTAACCGTTCTTGTTAAATTAATTAAGTGATTACAGACAGTGACACAGACAGTGACAGGATCTGTAAATAAATGGTAAAGTTGTTCATAAGATCAAAGCCAAAGTGACAGATAACGTCCCACACACTGCCAGAGAAATGGAAATTCAGGAAATAAAGAGAATGATGGGAGGAAAACAAATAATCATAATAAATAATAATAATAATAATTATTCTTACTTTTCATCAGTCACTCCCCTCCCCCAATCCCTCCCCCTTGAGGGACAGAGATGGATACTTGCTTGGTATCCATCGCTGTCTCTGTAAAGCGCTGTAAGACATTACTCTAGGTGAAGGACACTGCATAAATATTATTCATGTAATGTATGGCTCCCCATCCCCCAGAGAATAGAATTGAAGATCTTCGTCCTCACCTTTAAAGCCCTCCATGGTCTTGCTCCTCCCTACCTCTGTGACCTACTAAAACCATACCAACCCGCCTGCTCCCTTCGCTTGATGCTCACTGGCCTGCATCATGTCCCCCAGTTGGCTTGATACACCATCGGCGGTTGGGCCTTCAGCCTCACTGCCTCCACCCTCTGTAACTCCATCCCAGAGCCCCTCTGCTCGCCTCCCTCCCTTGCCTCTTTCAAGATCTGTCTCAAGACCTTCCTCTTTCACTGTGCCTTCAGTCATCCTCCCACCCCCACCCTCTTACCCTCCACCTCTCCCGACTCCCAACTCCCAGCTTGTAGAAAACCCTTCACTGTCCAACGCCTTGGGATGTCATCCTGACATGAAATGTGCTGTCTATAGATGTGTAAATGTAGGAGAGTGTGTTAGCTGTGAGGCTCTGTGAGCCGCAGTGTGAATGGTGACTGTGCGGTCTGTACTGTGACAGCTGAAGCCCGGGAACCCTCTGCCCAGCCCGAAGGACCTGATGGGAAAAATCCTCATTAAGAACAAGAAGAACGAAGCGGTGAAGGAGAACGGGCAGGCGGGTAAACGGGGGAAGGGGACAGAGCTGAGCAGTTGTGAGCAGAACACAGGCAGCGAGAGCTAGAGTCAGGTAAAGCGCAGTCCCCGCACAGCACAGCCCTGCACACCAAAGCCACACAAAGCACAGCTCTACACAGCACAGGCCCACACTGCACAGCCCCGCACAGCTTAGCCCTGCAGTGGCCAGCACAGGCACAGGAGGCCATCCAGCCCGCCAGGCTGCTCCACAAGTCTAGATCACAGCAGATCTTTTAATCCCATTTCCCTACCTTTACCCCACATCCCTCAATCCCGACTTCCCAAATTTCCATCCATCGCCCTTATAGACATCCCGATGGATTCTGCCTCTTGTGACCTTCTGTGCCCGAGTGGTTGACATTCTCATACGGGATATGGTTTGTGATTTCACTTCCATTGGGATATCACTGTGTGACAGGCTGTGTGTGTCACTGTGTGACAGGCTGTGGGAGTGATGTCTGCTCTGACCTTTCCTGCAGGAGAGGCTGTGGAGGACGATGTGTGTGAGAACGAGGAGGAGGCTGAGATGGATGGGGAGGACGAGGGGCTGAGGAAAGCCGAGTCTGATGAGGTACAAGAGGTTTGCATGTAAACTCTAAGAGCAATGTGTCAGTGACAGCCATGTATCACAGTGTATCATGGTGTATCATGGTGTATTGTGGTGTAACACGGCATAGCATGTTGTAACATGGTGTCCCCTCTCTCCTGACAGGGCACAGCTGCACAGGAGGTCCGGGCGTACGAGGAAATGTCCAGTTTGGTCAACTACATTCAGCCCAGGAAGTTTGACTCTTTCGATATTGCAAAGAGTGAGTTTGTCTCTGGTTCGTTGCTCTGAGACACATTTGCATACGTTGTCTCTACATTTTACACTACGTGCCAGGATAACATTGCAAAGGGCTTCACAGGATGTACAGTCAAGTGTAGTGACTGAATATTTGCACCCGAACACGGCAGCCAGTTTGGGCACAGCAGTGTCCTACCAACAGTCGTGAAGTGAGTGACCAATTTTCTTTGGCCAGGACACCGGCAGAAATTCCTTCTCTTTTCCAATAGCCTTGTGGGGTCTTTGAAGTTCACCTTTACAGGCACAAACAGGACCTCGGTTTAACACCTCAACCGAAGGACAGTCTCTCTGACAATGCAGGGTTTCCTCGGCACTGCACTGGAGCATCACCCTAGACTGTGAGCTCAAAGTCTCCGACTTGGGTCTTAAACCCACAACCTTCAGACTCAGAAGTGAGCCAGGCCGACACTTTTGTCCTCACATCACCACCAGCGGAAATAACTGCTCACACTTTATCCTCTCAAACCCTGTCGATATCTTAAACACTGATCCTATCACCTCTTGAACCTTTCTGCTCTGACAGAGAAAGAGTCTCGTCCTCTCGAGCCTCTCCTCACACCTTCACTTTCTGGCCTCTGTGACATCGCCATTCGCCCACAAAATACACAGTCACTATACTTCACAGGACATGCTGTGAAACACTTTGTGACGTCCTGATATGAAAGGCGCTGTCGCAGATGTAAGGGTGATGATGATGATTATTATTATTATTTCTGATGATTGCTGTATTTGCTCTATTAGAAAATGCATCTTTAAAAATATTTTCAATTTTTTTCTTTTACAGAAATAAATAAAAGTTACAGCATCTCGTCCTTCACGGAAACTAAAGCCCTCGACCTGATCATGAAATTATCTGGAGAGTTTCTTCAGTATCCTTGCCCGGTGTCTGGCACGGAGCCAGAGAGGGATGGGGGCAGAGAATAACGTACCCAGTATTGAGTTGTAGACTGGAATCTAATCCATAATTCTGCCGGTTATACAGTCAAACCGTTAAAGCAACCAACTCCATTCAGCAACCACCCCTTTTAACAAACAACCGGACAGCCCGGTTCACACACAAACCAACCCATGCCCAGAGGCCACCCTTATATAAAGCCCACTGTGGCCCAACGCCCTGTGCGGTTGTTGCTGACGGCCTTGACTGTATAAGGAGCAGCTGATCCTGGGGGCTGCTGAGTTGAGGGAGGGAAAGGGCTGACCCGGGGGGGTGTAGGGTGGGGGAGGTTTGCAGGGATCCCTGGTGTTGGGCTCCTGAATATTATCTCAGGTATAACAAGCGCCAGATGAGCAGAATCTACCCCAAGGGAACGCGGGTGGATTCCTCCAATTACAATCCTCACATCTTCTGGATCATCGGCTGTCAGATGGTCGCCCTGAACTTCCAGACCACGGGTTAGAGCATGTCCCTCACCTCGCCATGTACACCACTCCTCACCATGTACACCTCACCATGTACACCACTCCTCACCATGTACACCTCACCATGTACACCACTCCTCACCATGTACACCACTCCTCACCATGTACACCACTCCTCGCCATGTACACCACTCCTCGCCATGTGCACCTCGCCATGTACACCACTCCTCGCCATGTATACCACTCCTCACCATGTACACCTCGCTATGTACACCACTCCTTACCATGTACACCACTCCTCACCATGTACACCTCGCCATGTCCACCATTCCTCACCATGTACACCTCACCATGTACACCACTCCTCACATGTCCACCACTCCTCACCTTGTACACCTCGCCATGTACACCACTCCTCACCATGTACGCCTCACAATGTCCACCACTCCTCACCTTGTACACCTCGCCATGTACACCACTCCTCACCATGTACGCCTCACAATGTACACCACTCCTCACCTTGTACACCTTGCCATGTACACCACTCCTCACCATGTACGCCTCACAATGTACACCACTCCTCACCATGTACACCACTCCCTCACTGCGCCCGCCACCGTATTTCAGACCGTGTGTACAGATTGGAAAGAGAGGGCTGGCACTGTGTGCGTGTGCAGGTGGGTGATGGGGGGGGTGGGGGTTATTGCGGGGAGGGGGCAGTGTTATAGTCTAAGCTGACGCTCCAGTTGAAGCATTATGAGACGTCTGCACGACGTGGATTATTGTTGGAGTTCTGTGAGTGACTGTCTCTCTCCTGCGCTCTGTGTCAGACATCCCAATGCAGCTAAACTCCTGCCTGTTTGAGTTCAACGGCAGGAGCGGTTACCTTCTCAAACACGAGTTCCTGAGACGGCCAGACAAGAAGTTTGACCCCTTCACCTCGGATCACATTGACACTGTGGTGTCCAACGCTCTGTCCATCACGGTAAACAGCAAGTGTTGTTTTACTCACTCACACAAGCCCGTCCAGCACCGACTGTGGCAATCCATCTCTGTGTCTCAGACAATCAGAAAACTTTCAGGTTAAATCGCTTGTTCATTTCACCGTTGTTTGTGGGATGTTGATGACACTGTGTCCACCTACGAAATACAGTCACTGCACTTTAAGCATGGAGTTGCCTGTCCAATGTGAGAGGGGCTATATTGAAAGTAAGATTATTATTATTATTACACAGTGCCTTTCACGCAGAAGAATAAATGTCTCAAATTGCTTCACAACTGTATCCGCACCAAGCGTGGAGTTTCTCTTTCCCTCGGTTCTGCCCAACAATCCTCCAGATAATATTGGTCGCTCGCTCCATGAGTCAGCTGTTTGTTTGACATTGCCGTGGGCTTCAGAAGGTGAGATGGTGTGTAGCTTAATCTAAGAGTTGTTGATGACCCACAAAGGTGATGGATAAAGGGAAACTTCGGTGCCTCTTTATATATATGGATAATAGTTAAAAAAAATCTTTGCATTTGATGTAGCGCCTTATCACGTCTTCGAGATGTCTCAAAGCGCTTCACAGAATATGCTGTAAAATGTAGTGACTGTGTATTTTGTGGGTGAAATACAGCAGCAAATTGCGCACAGCAGTGTCCCACAAATAGGCGTGGATTGAGTGACCAAAATTATTATTATTATTTATTTCTTTGAAGCGATTATTACACGCGGAAAAGTGATCCACCAATCGACTAATAACCGGATTCCTACTTACTGATAGGTGAACAGAGGTTTGTGGAGTAAGGAAACTTGCCTAAAGTTTCACCCCGCCCGGGAATTGAATGCGGGTCCTCTCGCTTGCGAGGCGAATGGGACTCCACATCAGAGAGATGTGCTAACAGTGTGATTGGGGGCTGGGGTGCGTGGAGAGATCGGTTACTGACTTCCTCTGCTGGTTTGGGTGCAGGTTATCTCAGGACAGTTTCTGTCTGAACGCAGTGTGAAGTGCTATGTGGAGGTGGAGCTGTTCGGGTTACCCAGTGATCCCAAGAGGAAATTCAGAACCAAAATGAACAGTGAGCCTAACTCCATCAACCCCTACTGGAAAGACGAGATGCCCTTCGTGTTTAATAAGGTAGATTCTCCCCCTACTCTCTGCCTGCCTCACACCCGCTGATACCAGCCGGGCTCAGCCCCCAACACTCTCACCTCGCAGTCAGAAGGTTGTTGGTTCAAGCCCCAAGTCAGCACTCTGAGCTCCCAGTCGAGGCTGATGCTCCAGTGCAGTGCTGCGGGTTTCGCTGCATTGTTGGAGGTGCCGTCCTTGTGATGCGATGTAATCTGAGGTCCTGTCTGCCTGTTTGGATGGATGTTAAATTGATCCTATAGAAAAAGAGAGAAAGTTTCTCTCTCCCAGTGCCCTGGCCAACAATCCCCCTGATACATTTGGACATTAACTTCATGGCTGCCGCATTCACCCACAAAACACATAGTCACTACACTTCACAGTATCCCGTGAAGTGTTTTGGGACAGTCTCAGGACATGAAATGTACCAAATATATTATTATAACTAATATTACACTGATGTTAAGATTGCACTGTGTGTGAGAGATGCTGTGTTTGAGATGCTGTGTGTGTGAGATGCTGTGTGTGTGATGCTGTGTGTGAGAGACGCTGTGTGTGTGTGTGACGCTGTGTGTGTGAGAGACGCTGTGCGTGTGTGTGTGAGACGCTGTGTGTGTGTGAGACGCTGTGTGTGTGTGTGAGACGCTGTGTGTGTGTGTGAGCCGCTGTGCGTGTGCTGTATGAGATGCTGTGTACAATTCACTGATTTTCAGATCCTGTTACCGGACTTGACTTCTGTGCGGATCGCTGTGTTTGAAGACAGCGGAAAATTTATTGGACACAGGATCCTCCCCCTGCCCGCAATCCAACCAGGTACTGATGTTCCCCCCCGCTCCCGCTCCCCCTCCGCCCACCCGCCCACTTCCCCGTTCCTGATTTTCCCCCCACTCCTCTGTTCCCCCTCCTCCGCTCCCCAATTCCCACTGGTTCCTGATCCCCTCACCCTCGCCCTCTCTCCCCCACCCCATCCCCTTCCCCCACGTTTCACCTCCGCTGTCTCTCAAATCCCTGCTGACTGCGCGGCTGCTTGGGTTGGGTCGTGTGTTTGCACAGACTGACACGCTCTGACATGCTCTTGGTTCCAGGTTACCGCCAGGTGTGTTTGCTGAGTGAGAGTAACCAGCCACTCACCCTGCCCTCGCTCTTCCTTCACATCGAGATCAAAGATTATGTCCCCGACACACTGGCAGGTGAACGTGTGTGCGCGTGTGCGTGCGTGTGCGTGCGTGTGTGTGTCGGCGAGTGCTCGAGAGCGTCAGCAAGTGTGCGAATGCGTCAGGGAGTGCGTGAGCGAGCGTATCGGCGAGCGTGCAAGTGTGTCGGCGAGCGTGTAAAGGTGCAAAGTGAACGTGCTGTCCTGTGTGTATGTGTGTGAGCAGATTTCAGTAAGGCGCTGACCAACCCAATCCAGCATGCGAGTGTGAGAGAGCAGCGAACCCCAGCCATGAAGACCCCCACAGAGCAACCGGAAGAGGTATTGATCTGCCCACCCTCACCCCCCACCCTCACCCCCACTAACAACCCCACCCTAACCACCCCTCATCCGCCCACCCCACCCTCACCCATATCTCACCCCCCACTCTCAATCTCACCCCACCCTCCCCCACACCTTTGGGGCGTGATAGCGGGATGGGCGGGCGGTGTTGTGGGATGGGGGGCAGGCGGATGGAGTGGTGGACGGATGGTGGGGGTGCGGTCCAGGGCAGGGGGAGGTGTCACAGTGACCCTGTTTGTCCGTAGGCCCAGACCATGGAGAACAAGAACCAAAACGGTTCCCCGGCCCCGGCCTCGGAGGATGGAGTGAGAGGTGAGTGACCCGAGTGCCCGGGTCTGAGCCGTCTGTCAGTGACCGCTCTGAGCCAAGCACCTCCCGCGTCGTAGCCCCTCCGCCGCGTACCCCCTCCCCCTTGTACACCCTCCCCCTTGTACCCCCTCCCCCTTTGTATCCCCTCCCCCTTGTACCCCCTCCTCTGCGTAGCCCTTCGTCCGCGTACCCCCTCCCCCTCATACCCCCTCCCCGTGTAGCCCCTTCCCTGCATAGCCCCTCCCCCACATAGCTCCTCCCCATGTAGCCCCTCCCCATGAAGCCCCTCCCCCTTGTGTACCCTCTCCCCCTCATACCCCCCCCTCCCGCTCGTACACCCGCCCCCTCGTAACCCCTCCCCCTCATACTTGCTCGTAACCGCTCCCCCTCACCTCCCTCTCACACTCTGTCTCTCTCTCTCTCTCTCCCACTCTCAGCTCCGGTTAGTTCGGGGTCTTCTGTGTCTTGCGGAACAAAGGAGATTTTCAAAAGCTTTTCAGGTAAACGGAGTGAGCGTGAGCTGTGAGCTGTGAGTGGGAGTGCAGCAGACCGAGAGGGGAGGGAGACGCAGCGTGAGCAAGACAGGCTGCGACAGAGAAAGGAGATAGAGAGGGGAAGGGAGTCACAGCGGGGAAACAGAGGGGAGTCAGAGAGAGGGGAAGTCAGAGATGGAGAGAAAGAAGGAGCCCGAGAGCGAGCGAGAGAGAGATAGGAGTCACAAGGACAGCGGCTAAAGTTGTAGACGGCAGAAAGCTAATGAAGATGTCGACTGCAAAGATGAGCAGGATAGGTTACAGGAGGACCGCGAACAATTTTTGGCAATTGGGCAGATCGATGGCAGATGAAATTCGATGTCGAGAAATGCAAAGTGCTTCACATGGGGGATAAAACATCCTGGAAGGGACCTTGATTTAAACGGCAAGAAAATAATCTGTACAGAAAATGAAAAGGACCTAGTGATACCCGATTGACAATAAATTGAAACTGTCGCAACAGTGCTGTGTAGCAGGGAGTCAGGCAAACCAGAGGCTGGGTTGTATTAAAAGGACAAACATCGAGCCAAAATAGTGGGGTAATCCTGCCACTTTATCAATCACTAGTGCGACCGCACTTGGAATACTGTGTACAGTTCTGGTCACTGCAATATAAAAGGGATATTGCAGCGATTAAGACGATACAGAGGAGGGCAACCAAAATGATTGAGGGGATGGAGGGACTGGACTGCGAGTTCACGCTGGTTGAGGGTGGCATACGATCACCGTCTTTAAGATTCTGAAGGGACTAGATAATGTAGACCTTGATAAGCTGTTTTATCTTCTGCTGAACAGTAGAACCAGAGGACACGGTCTGTAATTGAAGGGAGGTAACCTTGGAGTTAACACTGATGAGGGTTTGTCAAGCCACTAATTTTTCCTCCCAAAATAACTCATACCCTAACCTAATCTGCGTCCTCTGTGCCCAGAGCTGGAACCACTGAATGTGACTGAACTGCGGAACCACAAGGCGTTTGTGAAGCTGCTGAAAAAACAGGAGAAAGAGATGAAGGAGATGGAGAGGAGGGATGCGAAGAGGACTGAGGAGCTGACAAACAGGCACTCCAGCCTCTTCGCCCAGCTCCACGCCCAGACCAGCAAGAGGAGAGCCGTGAAGAAGAAATGGTAACTGCGTCCAACCCACCCTGGCCCCTGCTCCCACCCTGCCCCCTCCCCTGCACTGAGCCCTCCACCCCACTGAGCCCCCACTCCCCAATCCTGACCCCTCTCCCACACTGAGCCCTCGCCGTCCCCCCCACCCTGACTGCACCCCCTGACCCCCGCCCCCATGCTGGGCCCTACCCCTGCACTGACCCCTCCCCCCCTGACCCCCTTTCCGCCCCCCCCACCTCCCACACACTGGCTGCTCCCTCACACCGACCCCTCCTCAATCACTGCTCCATCTCCCTCCCTTGGCCCTTCCTCCCGCACTGCTCCCTTCCCCCTACATCCAACATGAGCGATGCCCTGTGCTGTAATCCTCAAACTCAGGTCAGTGGTATCTAGGCCTCTCTTCACCGGGGATTTCTTTCCAGGAGTTTTCCCAACATCAACGGGGAAGCTCCGGGCACGGAACAGTGGATTGCACTAACGGTCCCAGCCCAATGACTTGGAAGGTTTTGGAACTGAAAGAAAAGCTGGAGAAGGAGCTGAGCAGCCTGCGGGCGGAACAGCTGGAGGGCGTGAAGAAGAAGAAAGAGCAGCACATCACAGAGGTAGCCCTCCCCCTCCCTCCCCGCTTCCCTCTCCCCCACACTCCCTGGGCACAGCCTGGCTCAGTCACTCACACTCGCCTCTGAGTCCATCCCCACGTCAGGGTCTCTGAGCTCACAGGCCAGGCTGACACCCCAGGGCAGTGCTGCATCGTCGGAGAACACTGTCCTCTGAATGAGACGTTAAACCGAGATCCCATCTGTCTGACCAGGCGCTCACTAAACATACAATGACACTGTTCGAAAAGAGAAAGGAGTTTCTCTCTTCCAGTATCCTGGCCAACAAGTATATATTATGAAGCGCTTTGAGACGTCTCGATGACGTTATAAGACGCTATATCAAATGCAACTATTATTATTATTTATTATCATTACATTATAATAATAATCCTTGCATTTTTGTAAGCATTGCACCTTATCGAACCGGAAGGATGTCTCAAAGAGCTTCACAGGATTTACTGTGAAATGGAGTGACTTTGTGTTTGTAGGCACTGGAAGGTCCACCTGGACTGTATAAGGTTGAAGTCCTGGCGTGGGATTTAACCGCAATGCATGACTCCGAGGCTGGCGTGGCTGAGCGGAGACAGGGAGAGACAGAAAAGTACCATCAAATAATTTATATTTCTTCTGCTTGAACTCCTCAGCAAATGGCCAAGCTTCTGGAAGTAGCCAAAGAGAAGCAAGCGAGTGAATTAAAGAGCTGCAAAGATTCAACTGACAGGTACGAGAGATGATTTGAGGAGTGACGAGGACAGAACTGCCTCACTCTGGGCTCACTGGGCTCACAGACCCGTGGGCTAACATTTATGATGAGGTTTCTCTGTGTGTCGGACAACCCGGTTGAACACAGTGACGGGTTTCCATGTGTGTCAGACAATGGCTGATCACGGTGATGGGTTTCAGTATTGATGTAGAATTAGTGCAGAGTTGTAAAGAATGGAAGTTGACAAACTGAATTATATTTCAGTGAGATCAAAGATTTAAAAAGGAGGATGGAGTTGAAGCGTCAGGAAAAGCTGGAAAACATGTTAAGATCTACATCAGACAAATTAAACCAGGAGAGGTCAGTGTTCACCTCAGCTCCTCCCCAACCCCCTCCCCACCCGTCCCCGGCCCCCTCCCCCGTGTGCTGTGCTGCTTTTCTCTCGCGGCCTCTATTCCCCCTCCTACTTTGCCCCCTCTTTATCCATCTTTATATCTCACATTAACACGCAGCTGAATGCTGGTGTCCAGCCGGCAGCGCTCCCAAGACCCTGCCCCACGTGAAGGACGCTGTGGTGTAAATGCACGTTGTTGTTGTTGTTGTTGTTCTCTTCACATTGACCTTTCTGTTTCCAGGCTTAAAAAGGAAATCAACAACCATCATATCCAGGATGTGGTGCCTGTCCTCACTATGGTATGTGCTCGCGGGTTGTGTGGAGTGAGCTCAGTCAGGCCACAGACTCTGAACTGAATGTGGAACAGAATTGTAGGAAATTTAAGTCTCTTTTGGACGCTTTTATCCGCTAAATTGGTTTCTAGACTAGAATGTCTCTCCCAGAGAGGCACATCCTGCTTACATAATTCCAGAGTGTATTAGGCTAGGTGCAAGTTGGCAAGAGCCAAAGCTTAGGGACCCCAGAGTGTACGTTGGGGTAACTGCTGGAGTCTAACCAGCTAAAACCTCATAGCTGATTGCTTTTTTTCCAGTTGGCGGAAAATCAGTCGAGTCTTCAGAAGAAGCTGGAGGATATGCATGCAGCCAACCTGGAGCAGCTGAGAGAGACCGAGAAACAGGTGAGATGATTGCAGCGACTGTCTACGGGCAGAGAGTGTAAGAGGCTGTGTGTGGGGAAGAGTGTAACAGACTGACTTAAACTGTGCTCCCCCAGCACTGCACTGGAATGTCAGCCTAGATAGTGAGTTCAAAATCCAGACCTGAGCCAGGCAGGTCGTGTGACGCCATCAGAGAAGGGAGTTTGTGACGATCACTGCCCTTTACTGAGGTATTGGAGCTTCGAGGAGGGACATGGTCAGTGATTGTCATGCTGTGCTGCGAAGGTCGCTGCTGATTGTGTGTCTGTCCACTCAGTACCAGGAGGAGGTTCAGAGCGAGTACGAGACCAAGCTGCTGACCCTGCCCCAGGAGGTGCAGCAGACGACCACCACCATCATCAGCGCCTGCTTCCCCTGCGAGCTGGAGGAACTGGAGTCCGTATTTGCCGGGGAGACCAGCCCTGCGGGGGCCACACAGGCTTCCCCTCCCCTATAGCTGAGTGCAGGCGGCAGCTTCCAGCGGGGAGGGCGAGGGAGTGGGGTTGAGGGAGGGGGCGGGGCGTGATGCAAGCAGAGAGCATTCTGCCCATGTCCACATAGACATTGCATGGAGTGTCACTCACTGTCTGGAGGCAAGTTGCATTAACGAAAAATTCTGATCTCATCCCTCCACACTCCCCATCTCCCCACCACAGTATCCAGCTGTGCCCTGGCCCCCACCCTTTCCTAGTAACCGTGTGGGAATTGTTAATTCCTCTCTGGGTAAAGAAATACTTCCTGGTGTCTGTCCTGAAATCGCCCTAAGTCCCTGTCCTCTTGTTCTTCTGTCTTGGTGCATCTGAAAGCTTTGCTCGTGGTGACATTCTCAATCGCATCTGTATCAATCTCTCTCTGACAATCGCTTGTGTGTGTGTGTGTGTGTGTGTGTGAGGAGGGGACATTGTAACTACACACTTCTTCACATCACTTTTGTGTTTCCTTTGTGTAACATAGGGTTTAACTTGTGCTTAAAACACTAATTTATTCCAAACAGTGATGATGTTTGTCTTTGTCCAGCCCTTGCGAACCGCAGCTCCAAATAGCAACAACAAAACAATAGATAGGTCGCCTTTCACTCCCGGAGTACCCTGTCCTCACTCTCAATATTACCCTTGTGTTGAGTCTGGGGACTGGGATTCTTCCCAGTCCGCTCCTGTTAACCCTACAAGCCAAGACCCTAATAGGTCCTAGCTGGACAAGTGTGGGAAAGCTTGCCAGACAGTGCTATCAATGGCAAGACACCAGCAGTTACCCCAATGCAATGAAGTCTCTAAGTCAACCTGTGAACTAGGTGATAAGGTGGGTGTGAGAGAATTATGAGAACATCGTGAAGCTTTATTGAGGTGTTTTATTGGGGGGGACAGGGAAGGGGGGATTGGTTTCCAACACGCAGCATGTAGTAAACATGGATTTTCCATTCTCAGTTGCAAACGACCGACTGATAGTCTTCAGTGTGGAACTATAAACATGATTAAAATTAGCATCTTTTCCTGCTCCTCCGCCCACCACTCCCGATAGCCTGCCCCTCCCTCCCACACAGCCTGTTGCCCCCCCACTAGGTTACAGCAGGCATTGATGTGTGTCAGACTGTATTTGCCACAGACTGGCCCAGGGCAAAGCAATCCATGCTTTAATTGTGTCAGGGTGCCTAGTTAAAACATTTGAAACATGGTTTTATTCATTTAAGTTTTGAATTGTCATCTTTGCCTCTTCCCTTGCCCCACCCCTAACCCTAACCCTAAAAGGGAAAGCGATCATTCCTCACCCCCTCTCTGTCCTGAGTCGGGAATGCGAGTGACTGGGTGGGAATGGAGCTGTCAATGAGGAGCCGAGGCCGCTTTCTGACACACTCGCTGTCAGACTCCATTCTCTCAGCCTTATGATCATCCTTGTATTTGATATAGCGCCATATCATGTCATTGAGACATCGCAAAGCGCTTCACAGGATGTATATTGGGGCAAAATATGGCAGCACAATTGTGCACAGCAATGTTCCACAAACAGCTATCGAGCGAGCAATCAATTTTATTTGGGGGACTGTAGGCCAGGACACTGAGAGACAGAAACTCCCTTCGCTTCTCGAATAGCGTCATGGGATCTTTAACGTCCACCTGAACAGGCAGACCTGGTGGTTTATCATCTCAGCCGAATGACGGGCCTCTCCAACAGTGCAACTCCCACCCCTCCCAGAGCAACATTGGACTATCAGCCTAGACAATGTACTACCAAGTCCTGATGTGGGATTTGAACTCACAACTTTCTGACTGACAGGCCAGGCTGAGGGCTGAGGTCAGGCTCACAGGCGTCTGTGCTCCCCACAGTCACTGCTGTCGCCTCCATTCCTCGATGAGCGACACGATGCAGTCTGGGGGTCCGGCCTGCACCAGGAAGGGCTGCGTCAGCAGCTCCACGGCCGAGGCTCTCCGCAGGGGGTCACGCAACAGGGCACAATTCAAAAACTGCCTCAGGTTCCGGGAGGCCTGCGGGAGAACCATTCAGCATCACAGTTAGTGAAGCAACCGGGCTGAGCATCGCTTCACCAGATCACAAGCCCATCTAACATCCTCCCATCGCCACATCCAGCTGCTTTTAAATGAGTCCCAGTGTTGTGGCCTCAAGCGCCCTTCCTGGCACCCCTAACAGTAATTAATTACAACATCAACTTGCATTTATATAGTTCCCCTCAATCCCTCCGCCTTGCCCACCCTCCATCCCCACTTTCAAATCCTGCCTAAAGACCTTCCTTTTTGATCGTGCTTACGGTCTCCTCCCCCCCCCCCTCCCCTCTACACTGGCTCGGGGTCAGACTCCGGCCACTGCTGAGTGCTCTAGGACGCTATCCTGCGTGAAGGGTGCTGTATAAATGCAAGCTGTTGTTGTTGTAGTAGAACCCTTCATGTTGGGTCAAGAAAAACTTCCTAGCATTTGTCCTGAAATTGCCCCTTACAACTCTAAATCTGTGCCTCTTTTTCTACTGCCTTGGTGCATCCTGAAATATTATTCTGGGTTTACCTTTTCAACAACAAGATTACATTTGTATAGCGCCTTTCACATCGGGAGGACGTCCCAATCTCATTTGCTATTTTATACACCTCCGAGAGCCAGAGCTTGTCATATCACTGCTTATAGCTCGTTCCTCTAACCACGGCCAGTGTAACATCCCACCCCCCCACCACACACACTTGGGGGAAGTATGTGTTAACCAGATGGTATAAACCTTTCAGCCTAGCTCGCTCCGTTACGTCCTCACTGACCTGGTGCTGCAGTTTGAGCTTGGGTGGGGGCCCGTCTCGGAGCCTCTTCATTGCCTGCACCGGGGATTCGCTGAAGTACGGAGGCTCTCCATCCACCATCTCAATCACCATGATCCCCAGCGACCAGATATCCACCTGAGACACAAGAGATGGTCAGACTCGCTCTCCGCCCAGCCGCCAGCTCCTCTTTGCTGGGAGACCGGACCGGGACTCCCATAGGTGTGTGTCAGCTTGGCACAGTGGTAGCACTCTCATCTCCGAGTCACAAGTTGTGGGTTCAAGCCCCCACATCAGAACTTGGAATCAAATAGTCGATAAGCTGATGCTCCAATGTGTTGCATTGTTTGAGGTGCCGTCCTTCAGATGAGATATTAAACGGAGGTCCTGTCTGCCTATTCAGGTGAACATTAAAGATCCCATGGCACTATTCAAAAACAGAATTCTCTCTCCTTGTGTCCTGGCCAACAATCCCCCAAATAAAATTGGTCACCCACTCCATGGCTGTTTGTGGGATGTTACTCCATTCACCCACAAAAAACAATCACCACACTTTACAGCAAATCCTGTGAAGCACTTTGAGACATCCTCCCAATGTGAAAGGGGCAGTATCAAATACAAGGATTGTTATTAATATTATTACCAGTAAGAATTGACTGAGACACACACAAACAGGGACAGGCTGAGACACACACACACACACACAGGGACAGGCTGAGACACACACACACACACAGGGACAGGCTGAGACACACACAGACAGGGGCGAAGCTGCCGGTATTTACCTCGGGACCGTATGGTCTGCGAGAAATGACCTCTGGTGCCATCCAATACGGCGTCCCCACCAACGATTGGCGTCTCGGTATCCGCTTACTGACTTGAGCACAAAACCCAAAGTCTGAGAGTTTAATCTGAGGCAGGAAGAGAGAGAGAGAGAGTAAGGTGGCAATGTTGTCTATCTCTGGCTGGGTGAGACTAGGTCTGGACTTGTCTGCAATGTGCAGAGAGGAACTCAGCCTCGCTCTCTCCATGCCCCATTGCTCCACTTCACACAAGGAGGATCCGAAGAGCACGTTTTAAAGCGTTCTGAGATGCCGTCCGGCGTGGAGGGCGCTATATAAATCCAAGTTGTGTTGTTGTTGCTTTGGTACTTCAAGGGTTAAATTACAGAGCTTCTGAAATCGGAAGAGGAATATTTCTCTGAGGAGGTGTTTAACTCCTGTAAATAAATGTAAACTGGAGTGCAAATATTACAAAGGGATTGATTTCTTAGCATTTCACAACATACGAAGTATGTTGAACTCTGACCTTCAGTGACTTTCTCTGCACGTCTCAAAAGACTCTGCAGGAAAAGGCTTAAGCGTGAATTGGAGAATCTACTGGAATGTGGTTTAAGCTGCTGTTCAATTCTCTGCTGCGGTCACTCATGTTAAACGTGAAGTGCAGCTTGTGTCGAGCAGAGGGTGAAGCAGAGCCACTTACCCTGCCATCCAGGGTCAGCAGAATGGAGTCACTCTTGATGTCTCTGTGGATGATGCCCTGGGAGTGCAGGTAGCACAGGGCCCTCAGCACTGACAGGCACACCGTGGCAATCTGCTCCTCGTTCATCCTGCAAAACCAGCAGGAAGATAGGAAATAACATCAGGAACAGAAAGAAACATCCAGCCTGTCCCACCAGTTCATTAGATTTTTGGCAGATCTTGTACTTCCAAAGCCGCCTCCTTTCACCACACCCTGCTCCGTACTATTGCCACTTGTTTAAACATTCCTATGCATCGCACTCACAGCTTTCTAGGTCCAGAACAGCCCCATCTTCACTCTGTGTGAAGTGGAGCACCCTCTACACCAGTGGTGGATCACAAAATACATTATCTTGATTCATTTATGCCGTAAATCAGGAAATATTCAATCAAGAAAAAAATGGAACCCCACTATGGATTTAAAACAAACTCACCGAGATGACAGCCCACCCCCCCGCCCCCATGTCATTTCTCCCTCAAAATAAAAGTCAATTCACTTGGCAGTATAATCTGTGAAGCGTTTTGAGATGTCTCGACGTGATATGGCGCGATATCAAATGCAAGGATTATTATTACTATGTCCCCTCAACCCCAGGGGGCTGCTTCTGGCCTGTGGTCTAATCACCGCAACAAGCTCGGCCCAGCAGGAAGCCACTCCACCCATTGGATCAGTGTTGGGTTCGTTTCTCCACTAAAGCCATCTTTCTTACTCCCATTTCCTGTTTGTTCCCCATCCCCTTCCTCTGCAATTGCATATCAAAACCCAGCACCATGCTTAAGAGCATCCAAACCAAATTGAGAGCTCCATGCATCCTAAATGGAAATGGAATGCATCCCATTATTGGAATGGAGGGATGCATCCTGCTAACCTAATTCCAGAGAGTATTAGGCACAGGTTTGCAAGAGCCAAGGCTTGTGGACCCCAGAGTTTGCTTTCGGGTAACTCCTGGAGTCTAACCACCTAAAATAATAATAATAATCTTTGCATTTGATATAGCGCCTTATCGCATCATTGAGACATTTCAAAGCTCCTCATAAAATATACTGTAAAGTGAATTGATTGGGTGAACGGCATAGTTTGCCATTGACAGCTTTCCCGCTCTTGTCCAGCTAGGACTATCGTTAGGGCTTTGGCTTAAAAGGAGCTGAGCGGGAAGAGTCCCTGTCCCAGTGACTGGTCTGACCTTCCAAGTCCTGCCGATGAACCAGGTTGGTTGTGCTGTCATCAGCAGTGCTCTGGAGTGCTGCTGACCTGCCTGGCTCAGGAACCGGACTGGGAGACCGCCACAGAAGGCTGGCTCAGTTCCCACATTCCATTGGCAAACACTTCACCTTGGAGCCAGTTCAGCTCCAAGGAGACTCCGCTTACCTCCTTCCTAAGGCGGATAGTACATTTGAGCTGGTATGGCATGATGGCAGCACTGGATGCAGCACTTTCCACAACCATTCAGTGTGTCAGCCGGGCGCAGTGGTAACTCTTGCCCCTTGTCAGAAGGTTGTGGGTTCCAGTTTGGAATCACATATTCTAAACCAGGGCCTCCAACCAGTTGATCTTGGAGGATCAAGAAGTGGCCGCCAAACACTGACATCAGCCCAGGCAAGTCTGCACCAAAGTTTCAGTAGTTACTGAGCCGCAATATCCATGGCGTGGCCATAAATGAAGAATAATTAAATAAAAAAAAGTTTATTGGCCGATAATAAAGAAAGCTGATGCTCCAATGCAGGGGCTGGGAGGGTGGGGGGGTGTTGCATTGTCAGAGGCGTTGTCCTTTGGATGAGATGTTAAACCAAGGTCCCATCTGCCTGTTCAGGTGGACGTTAAAGATCCCATGGCAGAAAAGTTTCTCTCTCCTGGTGTCCTGGCCAACAATCTCCCAAATAAGATTGGTGGTTCATTCCATGGCTGTATGTGGGACATTGCTGTGTACAACTGGCTGCCACGTTTCACCCACAAAATACACAGTTACTACACTTTACAGTATACCCTGTGAAGCTCTTTGAGACTTCTTGATGACATGTGAGGCGTTATATCAAATGAAAGGATTATTATTATTATTATTCTGAGTCTTACCTGGTGTGTGAGATGATGTCGGTGAGTGATCCTCCTTGCAGCAGCTCCATCACCACCCACAGCTCATCCTCCACCAGATAGCTGCTGTACATCTCCACCACATTTTGATGCCTGTAATCCTTCATTATCACAACCTGCAGAGGAATCAGCCACAGCAGCCATCACACACATCATCCAACAGAGAGACCTGGCCTTGTGGAGTACTTAACAGTCAGATCTAACACAGAGGTCAATCAGTCCATCATGCATGTCTCCTGCTCCCTCCCACGGTCCCTTCGACTGATAAAGTACTATATCAAATGCAAGGATTATTATTATAATTTGTTTTCATTGGAGCAGAGAAGGTTGGGAGGGAACCTGATAGAGGAGGACACTGTGATGAGAGTTTGACAAAGTGAATAGGGAAAAGCTATTTCGGGGTAGAGGGAGGGGGCAGTGATGTAAGATTGTCATAAGAAGAGTGAAAGGAGATGTTAGGAGAGATTTTACTCAGAAAGTTGTTGGGATGTGGAATTCCCTACGGAGGAAGGCAGAATCCATTGTGGGACTATGAAGCATAGAGCCTTGAAGGGATGTGGGGCTAGGATGGACAGTGGGGTTGAATGAAGTTTATTCCTCTGTTTGTAAATGGCAGTGACTGAGATGACATAACCTGATTAGGCAGAGTCAACATGGCTTTACAAAAGGGAAGATTTGCTTAACAAATCTTTTAGAGTTTTTTGAAGATGTAACTAACAGGTTAGATAAGGGGAAACCAGTAGATGTAGTGTACTTAGATTTTCAGAAGGCATTCGACAAGGTGCCACATAAAAGGCATCTACACAAGGATCAGTGCTTGGGCCTCAACAATTTACAATCTATACCAACTTAAAATATCTAAATTCGCAGATGATACTAAGCTAGGTGGGAGAGTAAGCTCTGAGGATGACACAAAAAGATTGCAAAGGGGTATAGATAGGCCAGGTGAGTGGGCAAGAAGGTGGCAAATGGAATATAATGTGGGGAAGTGTAAAGTTATTCACCTAGGTAGTAAAAACAGAAAAGTAGATTATTTTCTAGAGGGGGAGAGACTAGATAGTGTCAGTGTTCAGATGGATTTGGGCGTCCTTGTACACCAGTCACAAAAAGTTAGTATCAGGTACAGCAAGCAACTAGAAAAGCTAATAGCATGTTGGCGTTTATTGCAAAAGGGTTAGAATACAAGAGTAATAATAATAATTATTATTTGTTGTATAACTGAAGTTTTGTGAGCCTCTCCCAGAAAATTATTATTATTAATACAAGAGTAGGGAAGTCTTTCTGCAACTGTATAGGACCTTGATGAGACCGCACCTAGAATATTGTGTGCAGTTTTGGTCTCCTTATTTAGGAAAGGACATACTCGCCTTAGAGAGGGTGCAGCGTAGATTCACTAGGTTGGTTCCTGGGTTGAGGGGGTTGACCTATGAGGATAGGTTGAGCATACTAGGTCTATATTCTCTAGAATATAGAAGAATTAGGGATGATCTTATAGAAACATATAAGATTCTTATGGAGCTTGACAGAGTAGACAGTGTGAGACTGTTTCCCCTGGTAGAAGAATCTATAACTTGGGGTCAAAGTCTTAAGATTAAGGGTCAGCCCTTTCGAACAGAGTTGAGGAAACACTTCTTCACTCAGAGGGCGGTGGATTTATGAAATTCTCTACCCCAGAAGGTTGTAGATACTTAGTCCTTGAACAAATTCAAGACTGAAATTGATAGATTTCTAAAGGATAGAGAGATTAAGGGATATGGGGATAAGGCGGGCAGATGGAGTTAGGTTAGAAGATCAGCCATGATCTTATTGAATGGCGGGGCAGGCTCGAGGGGCCAAATAGCCTACTCCTGCTCCTAATTCCTATGTTCCTATGAGGTTTACATTGCTTCCTTGTGAAAGATACTGAACGGCAGATTGATACGGGGAAGAGGCAAATTCTGTCTGTGTCAGATCTATGTCTCATAGGATTGATATTCTGGACAGACAATGGAGAGGGAGCTTTACTCTATCTCTAACTCATATTGTCACTGATCTGGGAGTGTGGACAGACAGTGAACTGTGCCCTTCACTAGTATGTGTCATAGCTGACTTTACTCTCCGTGGTACTCATTGACGTCTACCTCGTTGAACAGGAGTTCCCGCCGCTGCTGTCTGCGCAGGTCCATCATCTTGACGGCCACCCTGCGTCCCGTATCCTTCTCTGTTGCCTTATACACGATCCCGGTGGAACCCTCGCCCAGCTTGTGGAAGGATTCCAGCCGGCGCCTGGGGTCACCCTGGTTCACCACCGTCTGCAGTGCAGCCTTGAACTGCTCGTGTGATACTCGCCCCCCTGCGCTCAGTCCAGCACTGCGGCTCGGGCTGGCGCTGACCTGAAACAGCTCTCGCTGGGGAGACTCTTCAGTGTGGGTGACAGATTGTGGGGGAGAGGTTTGAGGGTGGGTGAGAGATCGTTGGGGAGATGTTTGGGGGTGGGTGAGAAATTGCTGGGGAGAGGTTTGAGAGTGGGTGAGAGATCGTTGGGGAGTGGATTCAGTGTGGGTGAGAGATTGCTGGGGAGAGGTTTGAGAGTGGGTGAGAGATCGTTGGGGAGTGGATTCAGTGTGGGTGAGAGATCGCTGGGGAGAAGTTTGAGAATGGGTGAGAGATCGTTGAGGCGTGGATTCAGTGTAGACAATAGATTGCTGATGAGAGATTTGAGTGTGGACATGATATTGTGGAGGAGAGGTGGGTGTGTGGATGAGAGATTGTGGGGGAGAGGTGGGTGTATGGAAGAGAGATTGTGGGGGAGACATTTGAGTGTGGACGTGATATCGGGGGGGAGAGGTGGGTGTGTGGATGGGAGATTGTGGGGGAGAGGTGAGTGTGTGGATGGGAGATTGTGGGGGAGAGGTGGGTGTGTGGATGGGAGATTGTGGGGGAGAGGTGTGTGTGCGGATGAGAAATTGTGGGGGAGAGGTTTGAGTGTGGACACGATATCGGGGGGAAGTGGATTCAGTGTGGATGTGGCTTGGCTGAGTGCTGGGTCTCTCCCAGTGGGAGAAAGGTGTGTCCGGGCGAGAGGAAAGCTGGCATCTCTGCAGGAGGTTATTGATGCTCAGCCTACCATTCGGGGTCGTTGTTTCATGGCTTCTTGGGCTCTTGTCTGCCTTCAGGAAAGATCCAGTCACAACATTAGCAGAGTTGACAATACAATTCTTCATTCATGTAATGCAATTTGCAAAGCGCCTTCATAACGGGAGGTCATCTCAAAGTACTTCACAGTTCTGCTGGCCTGGGGCTGCCATCAGCAGGGATCAGTGCCTGCGATCTGAGAAGTTTGATCTGCCCTCACAAGAGGAAGCAGAGATACTGGAACGCAGAGCTCGCTTGAGGTCACTGGGCTCAGGCTGGGCTTGTCTGGCTAGAGAGGCCATCCCATCACCTGACTTGCTCGGGTGGTTGTGAAGACCAGTATCAGGTCTGCATTGACCTGTGATGATTTGGGGCTTAGAGAGTTTTGGGGGAAGAGGGTTGACTGCGGTGACAACGGGTTTCGGTCAAACTCAACTTAAAGGGTGTAATTGGGGCCTAAGCTCGCTCTCTGAAACAAAACCTCAACAAGGAGCAGAAACCCTCCCCCGGCTATATCAGAGCCAGTGTAATCCAGCCACACACCATCACTTCTCGAGAGAAATAGGGAATCATAGAATAATCTATACATTTAATACAGTGCCTTATCACATTGTCAAGACATCTCAAAGCAACTTACTGTGCGGTATAGTGACTATGTATTTTGTAGACAAACCCGGCAGCCAATGTGCCATAGCAATATCCTACTAACAATCATGAAGTGAATGATCAATTGTATCTGGGCAATTTGTTGTCCAGGATACCGAGAGAGAGAAACTCCCTTCTCATTTAACATCCACCAGAATAGGCAAACGTCAGTTTAACATCTCATCTGAAGGATGGCAACTCTGATGATGTGGTGCTCCCCCCAGTCCTGCACTGTAGCATCAGCCTAGATGCAAGATGTGAGCTCAAGGACCCGAGGTGGGGCTTGAACCTTCTGACTCAGAAGCAAGAGTGCAACTGACTGAGCCAGGCTGACACACGGAGCTTGGGATCTTGTGAAACTGCAGTGAGGTGGGCGCCGTGCGAGGACCGGAGGGGGCAGTGCTGTAGTCACTCGTCCCGTTTGCTAGTTTGTGTGTGTGTGTGTGTGTCACGCGCCTTCTAACCTCAGTTCCAAAACAGTGACGATCCTGCAGCATCCCAGCTGGTGTGCCCCTGGGCTGGTCTCGTACTGGGCAGCCGCCCCTTTGCTGTCTTGGGCTCTCCTTGGGGCTGCTCGAGCTTTGGAGAAAGAAGCAGGAGATGGGTCGTAACCCAGGATTCCACTTGCTTTTTCTCTCCCTGTGCACCACACAGGGAGAGGGAGATCGAGAGGTGGTCCAGATCCTGGGCACAGCATTCCTGGATTTCTCAGAAACTTCCTTGTGATAGTCAGAAAACAGGTTGAATATGTTGTGAATGGACTTAGTCCGTTGTCTGCTCAATTCCATTGAAGGAATGGCGAGGTCCTGGGTGGATTGCGATCTGTACAGCTCACCCCTCCCATTGTGCCTAAGCTGGGAAAAGCTGGGCACTTTCAGAGTGGAGTTCAAAACCCCAAATCCTCTGAGATCTCTGTTGCTTCCCATTTCTTCTCTGTAGACGCTCCATTTCCCCGCGTAATTCCTGCTCCTGTCCAGCATGTCTCCAGCCACGTGATTTGGGATTCTGTTCAATGCCTGGTCCTTCTTGTGGTATGAGGAGACGGTGTTCCTCCTCAGGGAGTTGGAGCTGCAGACGGAGAGCTTCTGGAGATCAGACAGGATCCCTGTGATGTAGTCGTCTATCCCATATGTGCTTCCTCTCACTATGGTCTGCCCAGAAAACAAAGCAGAAGTCACATTGAAAACAACAGAATATTTGGGTCCTTACCATTATGAGAGGTTTGGATAGAATAAACGAGGATAAATTATTTCCACCGGTCAGTGAGTCAGACACTAGAGGGCATCAGTTTACGATAGTTAGTAAATGAGCGAATGTGGAGGTTAGGCGAACGGTTGAGACAGAATACTTATTAGCTTTCAAAAAAGAACTAGATAAATGCCTAAAAAATAAGCAAATTTCAGGGAAATGGGGGTAGGGCAGGTAAATGGACTGAAAGGATTGCTCTTAACGCAGCACGGATATGATGGACCAGGACTATTCGTCAAAGTGTTTCACAGGAATTGTCATACAGTGTAGTGACTGGATTTTGTAGGCGACAACATTAGCCAGTTGTACACAGTAATGACCCACAAATAGTCATGGAGTGAAGTGATGAATTTTACTTGGGAGGTTGTTAGCCAGGATACCAGGAGAGAGAAACTCCCTTCTCTTTTCCAATAGCGTTGTGGAATCTTTAACGTCCACCTGAACAGGCAGACAAGGCCTCAGTCGAATGTCTCCTCTGAAGGACAGTGCTTCCGACAATGCAGTTTGACTGTAATCTCAAAGTCAGCGCTTACAAATAAATTAAGTTTACGCTTTGATAGTCTATATGAGCAAGTTACTGGAGCTCAAAGGTTTAAGGGACATGGATCGACTGTACAGCATTTACATACACACACTCAGAGACTCACATACACAGACACACACTCATACACTGTAATTACCTGGATATTCAGACCTGAACATTATTCAGTTTTACATAAATTCTGTCACCAGTTTGTTTAGCCACAGACACAGAGACAGCAAATCACTGACAGAGACACCAAAACTTCCCCCACCACAGAGACCCACATTACACAGTGAGCACCAGGGAGGGTGGCTTAAAGAGAGGAACCTTACAGAAATAGGCAGGTCACCAGTGTTGATTTCCCGGAAACAGCTAAAACAGCTGAAGCTCCCACTACCTTGTCTGTTCACACTTCCAGGTCAGTGACAGCACGGATTAGAAACAGAGTAAAGATGCCTCTTCACTGTCCGGCCAGAATATCAATCCCATGAGACACAGATCTCACACAGACACAGAATCTGCCTCTCTCCCGTACCAATCTGCAGTTGTACAACCTCTTTCACAAGGCAGCACTGCAAATCTCAGTCACAAACAAGGCAATAAATTTGTCAGGTCCACACACGTAGCAAACACAAAAATTCACCTTGTCTCACCGAGTTTGTGGGACTGTTTAGTCTTAATTGAAATGGTGCATTGTGGAAACTCTCAATTCTAGTTCTCATTTGGCTGCCAGTTTTTGGTAGCGTCTTAAAAAGAAACCATGCGGCTCCAAAATGAACAATAAAAATCCTCAAATTTGATCCAGCACCGGGCACATTAATGTGGTACGGCTCAGTGACTGTTTGTCAGCGAACAAGGCAGTCAATTTACACCTGGTAAATGTTTCACAAAGACCCAATGAGTGAACGACCAACTCTATCTGGCTTCTCTTTTCCCCTGGTGCCCTTGCTGCAGGTCTGGACACTTAGGGGGAGGAGACAAACAGAGATTCGGAGGAAACTCACCTCAGTGCCTCGATGTTTCTCTGGAGCTCACAGCTGAGGACGACTGGCTGAAAAGCTGCTGCATCTGTCAGGAGTGATGGAGTCTCTGGCACACACTCAGCAGCTTGTCACCACCGATTACAGCTCGGGAATGTTGCTTAACAGCACTCATGTGGGAGTGACAGTGAGGAGGAATGGCACGGCAACTGAACAATTCCTCCCTGTAAAGCTGGCTCTGCTTCAAAGCCTCAGGCCAGCCACACAGGTAGGTTTTGCAGTATTGCAGGCCATAACCACCCGCACGACCATAAGCAGACTCGCACCAAAATAAAAAACCTGGCTGTGCACAGATCAGCCTGAGATTTTCTTTGGACAGCCGGGTGTCTGACACATGCAGAAACCGATCACCACGCTTCAGAGTATCCAAACCCGACTGAGTTTTCCATGGATCCCACCTACACATGGAAATCCCAGATATAGATTGTTGGAATGGAATGCGCTCTCTCTCTCCCTGGAGGGATGCATCCCGCTCACCTAATTATGGAAATTATTAGACGCAGGTTGACAAGAGGCAAGGCTTGGGCACCCACTGCTGGAGTTTAACCAGCTGAAACCACGTAGCTCACCATTGAGAGCACTATCTGGCAAGCTTTCCCAAAGCTTATCCAGCTAGGACCAACTACCCGTTAGGCTCTCACATGGACTATGTTCACCCAGGCGGATCCCAGAGGATAACCCCTGGCCTGGTCTCTTTGCCCCTGTTCTGACCTCTCTGGGGTGTGGTTCTTTCGGTGCTGGTTGCCCCCCCAGTACCAACCCAGTAACCGCTGTCCATGTGTGAGCTGGGCAGTGAGCGTTGGCAGGGGAAAGCCTCTCTTTACAGCCCTGTTTGAGACCAGTAAACCCATCCTGGACCAGGAACCAGCACTCCAAACACACTCGGGCAGTCTATCCTACCTTTAACGGAGTCAGCTCCACGGGGGTGATAGAGGAGGGATCCACCAGTGGGGCAGGCCGCTTGGGGGGGTCTGGCACCAGCCCCTGCCACTGCGGAGGCAGCCCAATAAAACGCTGGACCTGGGGGTCGAAGGAGGTGTGGACAAGGTGCTGAAAGTCCAGGGGTCGGGAAATCCTCAGCGACTTTTTCCTCCTCTTGAACATGGCAACGGGGACAGCTCTGCAGTGGGAAAAGACACAGTTTAACTGGGCTGGCAATGCACACTAGCATTCTGGCTTCCAGATTATCCAGGCGTCAGTCAAGTCATGCAAACTAAGATTTACTTCACTACAAAAGAGCCCATGGAGCCTGTGGACAGGTGCCCAGAGCTGGCAGTAAGGGGGATGTCTGACAAATGGTTGCACTGTAACATCAAATGGAAACTCCACGGTGGGGCACCTTACATTGTTTCCAAGCTCTGCAAACAGGCATAATGTTTAACAGACCTGTCCAGAGAATCAGCAGGTCATAAATATAATAATCCCTGTATTTGATGCAATGCCTTTAACATCAAAACAGTGCTCACTATTAGTGACGGTGTATTTTGCAGGTGAATGCAGCACACAATTGCACAGCAATGTCCCACAAACAGCTAGAAAGTTAATGATTGATTTTATCTGTGTGATTATTGGTATTTTATAAGATCACCTCTAATTCTTCTATATTCTAGAGAATATAGTCCTAGATTACTCAATCCCCTCATCCCAGGAACAAACCTAGTGAATCTATACAGCACCTCCTCTAAGGCGAGGATGTCCTTTCTTAAATAAGGAGACCAACACTACACACAATATTCTAGGGGCGGTCTCACCAAGGCCTTATACAACTGCAATAAGACTTCCCTACTCTTGTACTCTAACCCTTTTGCAACGAATGCCAACATAGTATTAGCCTTCCTAGTTGCTTGCTGTACCTGCATACTAACTTTTTGTGGCTGGTGTACAAGGACACCCAAATCCCTCTGAACACTAACACTATCTAGTCTCTCTCCTTCTAGAAAATAATCCGCTTTCCTATTTTTACTACTTAGTGAATAACTTTATACTTTCCCATGTTATTCTTCATCTGCCACCTTCTTGCCCACTCACCTAGCCTGTTTATTTCCCTTTGCATTCTTCTTGTGTCATCCTCACAGCTTACTTTCCCACCGAGCTTTGTATCGTCTGCGAACTTAGATAAAGTTCTATTTCCTCTTTTAAATCATTGATATAGACTGTAAATAATTGAGGCCCAAGCACTGATCCTTGTTTCACTCCACTAGTCACATCCTGCCAATCTGAGAAGGACCCTTTTATCCCTAGTTTCTGTTTTCTTCCTGTTAGCCACTCTCCAATCCATGCTAATATATTACCTTTAATTCCATGGGCTCTATTCTTATGCAACAGCCTTTTACACGGCACCTTGTCGAATGCCTTCTGGAAATCCAAATACACCACATCTATTGGTTCCCCCCTATCTGACCTGCTAGTTACATCCTCAAAAAACTCTAAATTTCCCTGTGTTTTCTCCACATCCCTTAACTCCCTGGCTTCACAGATGTCTATTAATCTTCCTTTTACACATCCGGATGGATTCTGCCTCTGTGACCTGGAGATCAGTCATGTTGAGTTTGGCAATTGATGTTTAATGTGGGCCCTGGATTCCCCAGACCCCAGTCACACACCTTTACCTAATTAATCATTGTATTTGGTACAGGGAGTTTCATGTCAGGACACGCTTCATAGTGTAAAGTGGATTGACTGTATTTGTAGGTGAACTTGGCAGCTTAAATGTGCACAGCAATGTTCCCCAACATTCATGGAGTGAGTGACCAATTTTTATTTGAGGCATTGTTGGCCAGGACACCGGGAGAGAGAAACTCTCTTCTATTTTCGATCAGGGCCATGGGATCTTTAATATCCTGAACAGTTAAATGGGACCTTGGTTTAATATCTATTCTGAATTCAAGATCCTCATCCTCACCTACAAGGCCATTCACGGCCTCGCTCCCTCCTACCTCTCTGACCTTCTATCCCCCTACTTACCTGCCCGTACCCTCCGTTCCTCTGGCTCCGGTCTGCTCCACATCCCCCGCCCCAACCGCCCTACCATCGGTGGCCGGGCCTTCAGCCTCTCAGCCCCGAGGCTCTGGAACTCTATCCCCCAGTGCCTTCGCCGCTTCTTCCCTTTCCTCTTTCAAGACCGGTCTCAAGACCTTTCTCTTTGACCGTGCCTTCAGCTCCTCTCTCGACTCTCTACCCCCTCCTCGCTCCCTCCCTTCCCTCCCCTCACCCTGACCATTTCCCCCCTGCTCGGGTCCTGACCCAACTGTGCAGCGCCTTGGGATGTCCTCCCGATGTGAAAGGCGCTCTATAAATGGAATCTTGTTGTTGTTGTTGTTGTTGTTGAAGGATGGCACCTCTGACAATGTAATGTATCCCAGCACTGAACTGGAGTATCAGCTTAGATTGTGGAAAGGTCACGATGTGGAGCTTTAAACCTACAACTGTGCATACAAGATGATGAGGGTTTGACAGAGTGAATAGGGAGAAGCTATTTCCAGTGGTCGGGGAGTCAGTGGTGAGAGGATATCGATATAAGATTGTCACAAGACCAAAAGATGTTAGGAGAGATTTTCACTCAGAGAGTTGTTGGGATGTCGAATGCCCTGACAAGTAAGAGGGTAAAGGCAGAGTCCATTGTTGGTTTCGAAAGGGAAGTAGATGGGTATATGAAGAGGTGTGGGGATAGGACGGGCCAGTGGGACTGAATGAACAACTTGGTCTGAGAGCCTGTGTGGACTCGATTGGGCTGAATGGTCGCTGTTCTGTAAATGTGCTTTGGAGTCCCGTAGCTTAGTGATGAGCACATTCACCTCACAAGCGAGAGAACCCGGGTTCAATTCCCCGGTGGAGTGAAACTTTGGGCAAGTTTCCTTACTCCACACGCCTCTATTTACCTAGCAGTAAGTAGGAACCCAGTTGTTAGTCAATTGGCAGATCGCTTTTCCGGGGGTAATAATCCCTTCAAAAAATAAAATAATAATAATTTAGTCACTCAATTCATGACTGTTCATGTGACACTGTTGTGCACAATTGGCTGCTGCATTTCGTCCACAAAATATACAGTAATTTCACTTTACTGTATATTCTATGAAGCGCTTTGAGACGTCTCAACAACGTAAGACCTGTATCAAATTCAAGGATTATTACATTTCAGTGAGTCCTTCATTCTTTGATGTAAGAGTATTATTAAGCGCGGGTATTATCCACTGAGCCAGGCTGACATATTCTTACTTCCATTGTTGGAGATAAACATCCTCCTGACTTTTTCTCTTATTTTACAAACGTTGTTTAAAGGTTTCCTCTGGAGATCCGACATGAGTCATCTTCCTGTCTCCCTGGCTCCTGATTGCCATGGGTATGGTGGGGCCTGAGGCCTGCACTGTGTAGTGATGTGGCAAAGGTGGAGGAAACTGGCCCTGGTCAGGGAGCAGATGTGGGGTAGGAAGAACAGCTGAGGAGCGAATCTGACCCCTTGGTTGCACATGAAGTGCAGTGAGTCTGAGGGATAGGCTGGCAAGATAAGGAAGTCAGAGCTGCAGGTTCCCATTGATGGGAGCCAAGGAGAATGGCTTCCATTTCGTCTAATTAAAACAGAGGGAAGAATACACAGAGCGAATTGTTTGGATCTGGAATACATTGCCTGAAAGGCTGGTGAAGCCGATTCAATAACAACTTTCAAGAGAGAAGTAGATAGGTAATTGGGGAGGACAAATTTGCAGGGCTATGGGGAGAGAGAGCGGGAGAGTGGGATTAATTTGGACAGCTCTTTCAAAGAGCCGGCAAGGACACGATGGGCTGAATGGCCTCTTTCTGTGGTGTATAATTCTATGATTCTATAACAGTCCAGTCTCTCTTGCTGATTCCTTGATCACTATGTCTCCCAATATCCTGACCAATCATTCACCAGAAAAATTTGCTATCCCCCTCATAACGGTTTGTGGACATTAGTTATGTGCAAAATGGCAGCTGTGTTTGCCTACACAAATAACATCACAATCTAAGCTGAAACTCTGATGCAGTACTGGGGGAGCTTTGCGTTATCAGAAGTGACAGCTTCAGATAAGACGTAAATCCAAGGTCCCGTCTGCCTGTTCAGGTGGACGTTAAAGATCCCATGGGACTATTCGAAAAGAGAAGGGAGTTTCTCCAGTGTCTTGGCCAACAATCACAAGATCACAAGATCTGGATAAAGTAGACCCTTCAGCCCATCTGATCTCATCCTTCCAGAAGACCTACTCTACCATCCTCCCATCAGAGCATTTGCTGTTGGAATGTGGATCCACACCTAATAATAATCCCTCCAAAACAAAACAATAATAAATTGGTCATTTTTAATTCAAGACTGTTTGTGGGACATTGCTGTGCGCAATTGGCTGCCGTGTTCGCCCACAAATATACAGTCAATTCACTTTACAGTATATTCTGTAAAGCGCTTTGAGACGTCTAGAAGACATGATAATGCGCTATATCAAATGCAAGGATGATTATTATTATTATTATTATTATTATCCCGCCTTTGGGCTTGACTACCAGTTATCGGAATAACACCTTTTGAGAGGGTGGAGGTGGGGGAGTTACCCACTAATCAGCAGTTGATATCTGAGAATCAGAAATATTATGTAACGATCTGGCTTCAGGATATTGCCATGTAAGACAGTGTGGGGTGGATAAATACACAAAGTTCTGCATTTTAGTCTAAAGTTGTATGTCGCTGGTAAGTGGAGTCCTGTAGTGTTGTGGCTAGAACACTCGCCTTGCAAGTAAGAGGACCTGGGTTTGATTCCCAGGCAGGCAAAATGTTGGCTAAGTTTCCTTACTCCACATATCTCTGTTTACTTCACAGTAAGTAGAAACCTAGGATATTGTTAATTGATTGGCGGATTGCTTTTCCAGGAGTAATAATCCCTTCAAAATAAATTTCAAAAATAAATAATAATAATAATAACAGTATATCCTGTGAAGTGCTTTGAGACGTCTTAAAGACACGATACGGCGTTATATCAAATACAAGGATTATTATTATTATTATTATTATCAAGCTGCTTTTTAAATGAGTCCCAGTGTCGTAACCTCAACCATTCCAGTCGTTAATTAAGAAAACTTCCCGGTGTCTGTCCTGAAATTGCCCTTTACACCTCTAAATCTGTGTCCTCTTGATCAATCCTAAAGTATTGATCTGGATTTAGTTTTTCAATCCAATTTACAATGTTATATAATTCTACGAGGTTCCCTTTTAGTTATTTTCTCTCAATACTGAAGAGTCCAAGTTTGTCTAATCACTGCTTATAGCCTGGGCCAACGGAAAAGTGTGGCACCCCTACAATTGTAGTTTATGGCCCACGGGCCTCCCAGCTGTTTACCTGATGTCATGCGTTTGTGAGTGTCTCTATGTGAGTGTGTGTTTCTCTCTGAGAATGTGTGTCTCTTTGTGTCTGTGAGTGTGTCTCTTCCTCTGTGTCTCTGAGTGTGTGTGTCTCTTTCTGTGTCTGTGAGTGTGTGTGTGTCTCAGTCTGTGTATGTGTGTCAGCACCTCGGGACATCCTCCCAACGTGAAAGGGGCTTTACAAATATAATTCTGTTGTTGTTGCGTGTGTCTCTGAGTGTGTGTGTGTCTCACCGTGTCTGTGTGTGTGTCTCTCTCAGTCTCTCTGGGTGTGTGTGCAGTGCTGGGCCCTGAGAGCAACTGTAGCCTCGCTGGTGTGTCCCCCGTCCCCCCAAACCCACCCAAATAAATAGGCCACCCAGTTTTTGTTAAACAAGCAATTCATATTTTTTTTGCAACAATCTAATGTGTTATTTCGTCATGGTTCGTTTTTATCAATAAAGTGAAAAAAATGCAGGTTGGCAGTAATCGCCCTGCAATTTTCCACAAAATTTGCAAATCTCTGCTATTTTGGGCAAATATTTCTGCACGTTTCTATTGGCCCAGCTTATAGCTCATTCCTGTAACACTGGGGATTATCCTCTTTACTCACACACACACACATGCACAGAGATACACACACAGACATATACACACAAACACACAGATACACACGTACAGACACACACGCACACACACACATACAGAGATACACACATACAGACACAGACACACACATGCATAAAAACACACACACAGACACACACACAGACACACACACAGACACACATACACAGAGATACACACAGACACATATACAGACAAACACATACACAGACAGACAGACATACAGACACAGGTAAATGGAACAAGCAGCAGCCTGTGATTCACCACTGACAGTGATTCCGCTGCTTCCTGCTGACTCAAACCAGCGTTAAGCCTGTTGCGCAACATAGCCGTCGGGTAAAGGCTGACAGTTCACATGTGTCACACAGACCCATGTCCCACACACGCGTGTTGCAAGTTGTGAAGAACAATGACCTTTAACCACAGCAGGGCCCACAATAGTGTCTTTACCCTCAATCCACTAGCAATTGTGTGCAGAGTGAGCTCCCACAGAACAAGCATCAGGCGAATGATCCATTAGTCTGCCAGGATAATTAATAATAATCCTTATACTTCATACAGTGCCTTTTATGTCAGGAGAATTTCAAGGGATTTGCTGTAAAGTGCAATGAACGAGGCAGCCAATTTGCCCACAGTAACGTCCCACAAACAGTCTTGGAGTGAATGGCCAATGTTAACCACAACAAAATTACTACTAATAATCCTTGCATATGATATAGCGCCTTATCATGTCTTTGAGATGTCTCAAAGCACTTCACAGAATATACTGTAAATTGAATTGACTATATATTTTGTGGGCGAAATGCGGCAGCCAATTGCGCACAGCAGTGTCCCACAAACAGGATCGAGTGACCAAATTATTATCATTATTTTTTGTTTTGAAGGAAAAGCGATACACCAATCGACTCACAACCGGATTCCTACTTACTACTAGATAAACAGAGGCGTGTGGAGTAAGGAAACTTGCCTAAACTTACATTTGTATAGTGCCTTTCACGTCAGGAGGACGTTCCAAGGTGCAGAACAATCAGTTTTGGGCCCGAGCTGGGGTTCGCGGTCAGGGAAGATGGAGGGCAGAGGGTGGGGGGAAGGAGGGTGACCGAAGGCCTCGGTGAAGAGGAGGATCTTGAGACAAGTCTTGAAGGAGGCAAAGGAAGGAGCGAGGTGCAAGGACTGTGGGATGGAGTTCCAGAGGGTGGGAGCAGAGTGGCTGAAGGCCAGCCCACTAATGGTGGGGTGGGTGAGGCGGGGGACACGAAGAAGGCCTGAGGCCACTGAGCGGAGGGAGCGGGCAGGTTGGTAGGGGGTTAGGAGGTCGCAGAGGTAGTGGGGAGCAAGACCATGGAGGGCTTTGAAAGTGAGGACCAGGATCTTGAACGGTATCCTCCGTGTGATGGGAAACCAGTGGAGTCAGGTGAGGATGGAGGTGATAGGGTCACGGATCCTTTCTCCTTTTCTTTTCCGTGGAGACCATTCACCTTTCCCATCAAGCGCTGGGAGAGTGAAGTCCAGACTCTGCAGTGGCGGCTTCTGGGGGAGGTTTGTAACATAACAGTGTGCTTGACAGACGCTCTTGCATCAGATGCAAATCCCATGACAATCAGGTTGTGCTCCACTGCCTGCAAAGCGTTCTGAGACATTTCAATATTACATTATGTTATCGGCTTGACCGTGCGGTCCCACCAACATAAAGCTCAATAATCACCTTCTCATGAAGACATTGCCCTTTTAAATAAGCACCTTCACCTCCAATATTTTTATGATGTCGAAGGGGGTTATCAGAGAAACAGGGTCTTTAATTGGGGAGTGAGTCTCAGGATTGTTAGCAGAAAAATCAGGGAAACAGCTGATAACGTCACAGCCAGCCTGGCGCATCGGCAGGACTTAGAGCAGCAGACAAATCACTGGGGGCAGGGAATCCTCCCACTCAACTCCTGTTAATCCTGCAAGCCAAAGCTGTAACGGGTAGGGTGGTCCTAGCTGGACAAGCAGCAGGAAAGCTTGCCAGGCAGTGCTCACAATGGCAAGCTAAGCAGTTTTAGCTGGTTAGACGCCAGCAGTTACCCCAACACTTGGCTCCTGCTGATCTGAACCTAACACTCTCCGCATGGTCAAGCCGGATAACATAATGTAAAAAGGATGTGTCCTGCGGGGAGAGAGCAGGGAATGGGGTTAGAGAGCTCCAGTGGGCGAGTGAGTGCCAGCACAGACACGATGGGGCGAGAGCAGGGGAATGGGGTTAGAGTAGAGAGTTCTAGTGGGGAGCGAGCACCAGCACAGACGTGATGGCCTGAATGGTCTCCTCTCCTGCTGTAAACTTTCTATGATTCAGATGCCTCAGGAGCACTCATTTCTGTTCACAATCTGACAACAGACAAGCTCGGCTCAATTCATTCCTGTTTCCACCCCTTACCTTCCTGCTCCCTCCCCCAAACACCGTGCAGAAGCCACATACACTGTAAAGCGTCTCTTACATTGTTTGAGCACAAGATCTCTTCCTCTCGCCGCTCTCTCCTTCCTCTTCGCAAACGATTTTTTTGCTGAAAGAAACAAGAGCTTTTCCTACCGTCAGTTAGTCAGTCAGGCTGCTGCTATGGGAGACTGCAATGATTGCGTGTGCTTCATTCACATCCTCTGACTCAGTGCAGGTCACTGCTTGTTCAAAAGGCTGTAGAGTAATGCTATTCCACCTCAGTTTAGGTGTAAATCTAACCCTTATGCCAGAGAGTTGTCATACATTGTCCCATAGGGAGCTCACACTCACAGAACCTTTAAAAGATGTGTCAAAACTCCACTTCTGAGCTAGATTTTCTTTGGCAGGAACTGCTGTGATGGGCTGCGAGGGAATCCTCACAGTCAATCCCCAGAGACATCGTTCCTGCATTATTTCCACCGATGTCAGGAAAAATGTGATAACAATCCATGAAGTTGATACAGCTCCTTATTACGTAAAAACATCTCGACACAGGATTTACTGTAAAGTGTAGTGACTGTATTTTTTGTTAAACTTGGCAGCTAATTTGCACACAACACTGTCCCACAACAGTCATTGAAGTGAATGAGCAATTTTGTTAGCCAGGCCATTGGAAGAAACTCTCTTCTCTTTTCACATAATACCATGGGATCTTTAATGACCACCTGAACAGAGAGACAGGACCTCGGTTTAACATCTCAAGTGAAGGAAGCTCCTCCAGATTGTGAGTTCAAAGTTCTGATGTGGGCCAGGCCAAAACCTAGTCTGAATTTGGAAGCCGATTAAATCTTACCCAAGCTAAAACTGAACTGAAGAAATTTCCGCAATCTTAAATTTTAAGACAAAGCAGGAGTATCCCCTGAGGCATTTTTCTGACATAGAGGGGGCTATAAAAGTGTAACTTCTTGTTGTTGCGGGGTGGGGGAGGGTTGGTAGTTTGGAGCTGTGACACACAGGTGAGGTTGATCTGTCGGGAGACAGCTGCCTTTAGATGAATGCTGTATTCCTGTTTCTGAAATGTCTCCTGTTTGTACAATGAATCATCTCTCCTGGTTGTCACACCGCCAACACTAATGGATGATGTGAGCAGAATGTTCTGGAAATGTTAATTCTCAGCTAATCTGCTCACAGCGCTGACATTCAAATAACCACTCACACACACGCCTGATTTTACAGTGAAGTGGATCAGGATATTTGCAAAACCTCAATCCATAATCTCAGAGGTAGATTTTCTGGAGGCATTTAAAGATAGATAGAGGAGGCGACATGAGAACGATCAGTGTGCCCTTCGCCTCTTTCTCAGTTTGTCCAGCAGGACCATGTTCCAAGAAAAGTTGGTGTTCGTCACAACCGCCAGATACCAATGAGAATCAATAATTGGGACTGATGGCCCTTGTAGACTTGAAGGGCACAATATTATTGTCCAAGTTGTTTAACAGCCCTTGTTTATTGTGCAAGGAAAGTTGTTTAATAGCAGTCCGGCTTGAAGGGCGCTATATTATTGTTGTTTTTCTTGTTGTAACACTTGAGTTTGCAGTTACCATTTGTATTTCTGCAGAATCAATTATCTTCAGGAATGTCGTCCTCAGGAACGATTGGTATTCACTTCCAAGAAATATCACTCTGTTAATTACTGAACTAAAATCACAAACACGACAGGTATTTTGGATTCGTTCGGCAGCAAATGTGGCCTCTGTCAAGGAAACATGTTGCATCTTTGTTTGGTTTGACTTTTCTGCTCATTTTCCGCTCTCACCACTTGGGTCAGGGATGAAAAAAGAGAACGGGGCTTTTCCTGGTGTCCTGACCAACATCATAGAGTTATCTGATGAAACAGCAGGGAAATAGGGCATTTGGTACAATTCAATGCTGGTGTTTATGTTCCACAAGACCTCTGCTATTCCCCTCCCCCTCATATATGCATCACATTCTCTCTTAAATACATTACGTGTTAGTTTGGTGTAGTGGTCGTGCTCTTGCCACAATTAGAATGTTGTGGGTTCAAGCCCCACGTCGGGACTTGGACTCCCATCGTTGTACAGGAATTGCTGATAAGTGTAGTTTATAAGGTTGTCAACAAACAGTGCAGCCAATTTGCACACAAGGTCCCCTACGCAAACACATATGAAGTGAGTGACCAATTTGACCTGGTGGGTTGTTGGCCAGACACCGGGAGAAACCTCCCTATAATGCTGAAAAGTCTTTCTTTTCTTTTCCAATCGTGCCATGGCATCTTTACTGTCAGTTTAATGTCTCATTGGAAAGACCACTGATGATGGAAGGTGCTCATGCAGATTAGTCCAAGGATGAGGCAGGGAGGCCAAAGATAGGGGAGTGGAGTCTGGGATCCAGGACTAACCAGATCTCAGTCAAGATGGAAATATAGCCAGGTTCATATCTGAAAAGCTGCTTCTTTAAAAGTTGTCTCAGCCTAACCAAAGGATGTGAAACAAACATGAGCAAACCAGCACAATAGGGTTTGGTTATCAGCTTGCGGAATCTGGGTGGTGTACATCTCAGCTTCACATATTTTGTGAAGCTCTGAGGCTCGGTTAAATGTCACCCATGTCCCAGAGCAAATAATTTCAAGTACGTAGACCATGATAAGCTGTTTTATTTTGTACTAAACAGTAGAATCAGAGGACACACCTGCGATTGAAGGGATTCAGAAGAAATCTGCGGAAACACTAATTCAGTGAGCGAATAGTAAACTTATGGAAGAAGCTCCCCAGGGAGATGGTGGTAGCAGCAAATGTTGTGTGTTTGAAGAACAAATTAGATAGATTTCTGCTAGAAAATAATATCTCGGTATATAGTTTGGGACACAACATGCCAAGCGGCTGCCAGGATGGTGGATGGTGGAACTAAATGGACCTTGGTCTTCTTTCGCCTTGCAAATCTTATATTCTTATGTTCTAATGTATCCAGCCTATGCACTCCCCTGAAACATGCAATAATACTCCTTTCATCTCATGCAGTGACTTATCACATTGTCGAGATGACTCAAAACACCTACACTGAAGTGGATTGACAGTGGAATTTTCGGGGCAGCATCTTGGGAGTGCTTAATATTGTTGACCTGTACCAGAGAGAGGGTAAGTGTCCGAAGGTAGGGGTCAAACAGGAAGGTCTTAAGGTGCAGTCTGAAGACGGGCAGGGAAGAGGGATTGAGGCAGAGTGTTCCAGTTTCTGGGTATAGAGATCAAAAGTATGGCCACCAATAATGGCTCAAGGAGGACGAGGGAAGCATAGAAGGCCGGAGCCAGCTGAGTGAAGTGGGTCAGGGGTTGAGGTGTGGGGGGTGTACAGGTCAGAGAGATAAGCAGATGCCAGGGTATGACGAGATTTGTAAGTGAATATGAAGATCTTGAAATCAACCTATTCTCTCAATGTCCTAGGCAATAATCCTCCAGATTAAATCGGTCATTCACCTTATGGCTTTTTGTAGGACACCTGACTATGTGGATCTCAGGATATAAGAATGGTCTCTGTCCCTCTGTAAACTCTGGTTCATTGGAGAGACTGCAAGGTGTGGTTGTTTCCATGTATCAGACAACAGGCGAAACAATAACCTCAAGCTTTGCTGTCAACAGCTCGTAGTGCACATTGTTAAACCTGCTTTTCAGCATTTACAATCGCTGGAAATGTAATATCTAGCACTGATACAGTGCCTTCCACATAAAAATAAACACACTTCAAAAATTAATTCAGAAACAGAAGTGAATGTTGTACAAAACACAAAATACTGCAGATGGTGGAAATCTGAACAAAAAAAGAAATCGCTGGGAACACTCAGCAGGTCAGGCAGCATCAATGGAGAAAGGAAAGTGAGTCAATGTTTTGGGTCCACAATCCTTCGTGAATGTTCCCAGCGGCTTCTGCTTTTGTTTTCAGATTTCCAGCGTCTGCAGTATTTTGTTTTGTTTATATTTAATTCACTGCCACTTCTAGGGAGTGCCTACCTTGAAGTTTTGCTCTTCTCTTCGACGTGAATGTTGTAGGCCTGGTGTAGTAGAGATCAGGCTCGCTGGGCTGAATTCAGCTGACTTGTTTCTTGATCTCAGGTGTGCAAGACAAAATTGATCTGTCTTACCAAATTGAGGGAACGGAAAACCTGTCTGCTGCATGTGAGCTTCTCATTGTTTGGAGGTGTAGGTGTTTGAGATTATTGAGGATTCAGCACTGTGAACTAAGAACAAGGATTCTCCCCCCACTTCCTCTCTCCTTTCCTTGTTTCACCACCTTCCCGCACCTCCTCCTTTCTTCTTGCTCACTCTCCCTTCACTCCCTCCCTCTCCCAAACACAGCCCTGTACCCTCTGGGGTGTATAACTTTAAAAAATGAAATCAAATGCAGAAATCATCAACATTTTCAGCAAAGGAGTCTTTGAAAGAGGCATTTCTTCTGTCCCACTCCCCTGCCTTTAACCTTTCATATCTGTTTTAAATATTTGTGAAATTCAATGATTAAAAATTCAGGTTCAACCAGCATTTTTGATCAGTGAAACCGCATCTGATTAACTGAAGGTAAAACAATGTCTCCTAACCAGTCACTTTACTTTTTGTTTACGAAAAACATGGTGTCGAACAGCTTCATTGTGCAGTTTAATGGAACACAAGTATAAATACCACAGTACAGTGCGCAATTGACTACACTTTACAGTATATTCTGTGAAGCCCTGAGGCCAGTCCACACTGATTGCTGTGACTGCCACCTAAGAGCCAGTGCAGGTATTGCATGTTTTAGAGAGCAGATACTCAGCTGTTGACATGGAATAGAAGGTCATTCCAGAGCTGTATGTGGACACTAGGCTGAGTCCTGCGTCTCTCTGTAGTTTAGTTGTAAGCACGCAGCCCAGGTGCTGAGTGCTGAGCTGGACACAGGCCAGCGTTGCTCTTGGAGCCTGTCCCAATGCCAGTAGCAGCCTCTGGGAGTGAAGGCCAATCCGGCTGGTTCACCCTCCAATCTTCCATATCGAGAAAATCCCAGTATATCCAGTATAACCCATGAAGTGCTTTGAGACGTTATAACAATGCGATAAGGTGCTTTATTAAAGATTATTATCATAGTGCACAACTAAGTAAATGTATGACACCTGACTGCTTGCAGCACAGGTCAGTTCCACGTTGCAATGGCCCTGAACCTGCATCGTTACAAGCTAATCTCATCAGGACATTTTAAATCCTGTTTCTTCTTATATCAGTTATCATCCCATTTCTTTGATCAAATAATCACCAAAGTTCTGAATCCTTTTATTATTCCTATTCTAAGACAATAGCTTTAAGGCTACCCTTGAACCATCAAGTGCGTGGATCCACAAGTAAGATTGCACACTTCAAGCTGGACTCACGCTGCTCCAGGACAGTACAGGAGGGAGCACTGAATTGCTGGACAAACTGTCCCTTGGATGAGATGTTAAAGCAAAGTCCTGTTTGCGCCTGCTTAGTTGGACGTCCTGCGGCCCTATTGGAAGTGAAAAGGGAGTTTCTCTCTCCTGGTGTCCTGGCTGACAATACCCCAGATATAATGGCTGTTTGTGGGACACAAATTGGCTGCCGTGTTATCTGTGACACTTTTGTGGCTTTTTGAGGGTTCAGCACTGTGCCAAATGCAAGATTATTTCTGTTAGAGAGGAGCTGATTGCCCAGTATCTGCAGGATTTGCAGCCCTCTTCATAGGTGGGATACAGATGACACCTTGCAGCCTCTCTGCGTACTCTTCCAGCGTTTCTTTACAAAGCCATCGGGCTTTCTGTAGTTGGTCCCGCAGCTCTGTCTGGGTCACTTTGAGCTGGGCGATGGTGTCCGAGGCGGTGAGAGCTCCCTCGCCTCGCCGAGCATCTGGGAGGGAGCGTCGCACCCCAGCCACGGTGGGACTCGCTTGGAGCACCAACCTGAAGTTGCCGTGTTTTCCCCTTCGCTCAGATGTGGCTCGCACCCGCGTCAGCTTCTGTTCCACATCCCGCTTGATGAGTTCGAGCTCTTCACTACCCAGTCGTGATCTCTCCGTGACTTTCATCTTTAACAGTCAAACAGTCAGTCCACAACACCCTACACCTGTGACGCACATGAGCTCCCACACCACAGAAACAAAGACCTGAAATTCTCTGCCATTTTAGCACTGATTTTCTAATTTTCCAACTCTCTGCTGACGGTCTGGCTACAAGCGCTGGTTACCCTCCAGTACCCGTCCAGTGTGAGCCTTGGTATTGAGTGTTGGTAGGGCACTCAACTGTGGAGGGTGTTTGGGGAGGGGTCTTAAACCTGGGGACTCCAGGATGGAGGGACTCCAGGATAGAGCACTGGGCGACACCAGGGTGGGTGGGGGGCACTGAACAACACTACCAATATACTACCATTACCATGAACGGGCCATTACCTTTTCATGCCACAAGGCTGTCCTGTCCGACACTATTTGCTGTAGCTCTTTCTGCAGATTTCCGAGGGACTCGGACAGTCTGTCTATTTCTCCAATGAGATAGTTATCAGTGTGGGTGCTGAGCTGGCCAGGAACAGTAACCTTATTTGCATTTGCATGATCCTGCGTGTCTGAGGCTTGGCCCTCCTCCAGCTTAGCATTCAGCACACTCTCCTGACAAGGAACACACCATTAATGTAACAAACAATATTTTTATAACAGCTTATCAAGACACCAGTCGGTCATGGTCTTATCTCCGAATCGGATTGTGGGTTCAAGCTCCTTGTCCGTGTTCTGAGCTCACAGTTTAACTGACAGTGCTGACATTCCAGCACAGTATTGGGAGCACCCTACATTGTCGGAGGTGCCATCCTTCGGATGAGACTTTAAACTAAGTTCTGCCTGATCATATGGATGTTAAAAATCCCAAAGCAATTTTAATTATTTGAAAAGAGAAGGGAGTTTCTCCCTTCTTATTTCCTGACCAACAATTTAGATTACGCGGTCAGTCATTCACTTATATAATAATAATTATTCCTTCATGGCTATATGTGGGATAAACACATATTCATTACACTGAACTATAATTATTGTAAATTGCTTTGAGATGTTTCAATGTTATATATGCTGTTAGATGTGGTGTATCAACTCAAAGTCGTATATAGTAACGATTAAGTGATGTGACTATTTTTGTTGGTGAAATTGGCAGCCAATTTGCACACAGCAAGATTTCACAAAACAGACATGATCTGAAGGGCTGATGGATTTCTCCATGGGGTTGTTGACCAGAACACTGGGAGAAAGCACCTTCTTTTTTAGATAGTGTTGTGCGATTTTTAATATCCACTTACAATGGTACAAACGAGTCCTGATTTGTAACATCTCATGAACCTTTATAAAACACTGGTTAGACCTCAGCTGGAATAATGTGTTCAGTTCTGGGCATCACACTTTAGGAATGATGTCAAAGCATTGGAGAGGATGCAAAGGAGATTTTCCAGGATGGTACCAGGAATGAGGGACTTCAGTTATCAGGAGAGGCTCGAGAAGCTGGGATTATTCTCCTTGGAGCAAAGAAGGTTAAGAGGAGACTTAATAGAAGTTTTCACAATTATGTGGGGATTTGATAGGGTGAACAAGGAGAAACAATTTCCACTGGCGGATGGGTCGGTAACCCGAGGACACCATTGGGTAAGATAAGTTTGCAGGGCTATAGGGAGAGAGTGGGGGAGTGGGATTGATATTTGGATAGCTCTTTTAAAAGAGCCGGCACAGACACGATGGACCGAATGGCCTCCTTCAGTGCTGTATAATTCTATGATTCTATGATTTGAGGAACGGCACCTTCGACAATGCAGCGTTCCCTCCAGTATAGTCGCTGGACTGTGAGCTCAGGACCCGTGGTGGGGATAATAATAATCCTTGCATTTGATATGGTGCCTTATCATCTTTGAGGCGTCTCAAAGCACTTCACAGAATATAATATAAAATACAGGGTCTGTAAATTTTGTGGGCGAAATGCGGCAGTCAATTGCACACAGCAAGGATGGAGCCCTTGTACCTGTGACCCAGAGGCGAGAGTTCTACCCAACTAGGGCCAGGCCAATGCTTGCGAGAGCTGGCATCTACCGATCCTCGGATCACACTGTGCCAGCATTAGGGCTGCATGGAGCCCGATCCTGTCTAGAGGCCTGAGGGGATCTGAATTTAGTAGCATCGTCTAGTAATATATATGGCCCCAGCACGAGAAAGGCAAACACTGTGCCTGGGCTATACAGCAGCATTCAGTTGTCTCACGACCTGAGATCCTTGCTGGTTCATAGCCTTAAAATCATTGCTTCAAATGTAAGATCGTACAGAATTTTAGAATATTCTTTATCCAGACTTATTTTGAGAGCACAATTTTGCTGTGAGTTCCTGTGCCGGAACGGCTGCTACTCACCATCCACTGCCAGTAAATCCCTTCACATTGCTTCCACTCCAGGTAGGCCTCCAGCCAGCTGCTCTCCAGCTCCAACAGCTGCAACATCTGCAAGGACAGGTGCTCACTAAGGGGTTGGGATGGTCAGGCTTGGAACAAATAACATAACAGCAACCACGTCTGCTGATTGTGTGAGCATCAGCCAAAGAGCTGTGTGGAGTAAGGAAACTTGCCCACTCAAAGTCCCATGGTGGGGTTTGAATACAATGAGAATGCTAGCAACTGAGCCAGACTGATACCCTGAATATTAGAAACATTGTTAGGTGAGGGCATTGGGTGTTTCTGTTGTGTCGCTGGTCGGAAAACACCCAAGCTCACTGTCCAGGTTACCTCAGTGCCATGTTTGGGGTCTTGAATGAGACGGGTTTCCATCACAGACAGGTGATCAGTGTTCAGGTCAGTGCTGCATCCTCGGGTGTAAGAATGAATCTGAAATACAGAGTCGCTGATCAGAGCAGTTTTCAGATTTGTTTATCTAATAAGCATTAGATTTGCTTTAGTGCTTCACAGGTTATACTGTAAAGTGTAGTGATTGTTTATCTTGTAGGCGAATGCAAAAAGCCAATTTTGCACACAGCAACATCCCACAAATAGCTATGTACCTGGGGAACAGTCCACCAGAACACAGGGAGGAACTCTTTTTCGATTTTCAAATAGTGCCATGGGATCCTTAAAACCTGAATAGGCAGACAGGACTTTGGTTTAACCTTTCATCCAAAGGCACCCCCGACAATGCAACACACTGGAGTGTCAGCCTAGACTATGAGCTCCAAGTCCCGACGTGGGGCTTGAACCCGATAGTGATGCTAATTGAGCCAGGCTGACATCCAAGTATAACTTTTCAAGCTCTGCACAAAGAAAGGGAAATACTGGCTGGCAGTACATTTTACACACCCAACCACACTGCCAAACTGTAGAGTTCAGAATGCTGTAATCTCAATAACCTTCTGACTGAGGAGTGCAAAATGACCCAAGGAATTGACCAGTGAGATAGTGGACGACTCTTCCCTATGGTGGAGCATCCACAACAAGGAACAGAATTTTCTTCACACGGAGGGAGGTGAGAGAGTAGGATGGTCTGATAAGGGTCACAGAGGCAGAATCTATCGGGATATATAAAAGGCAATACATAGACACTGGGAAGAAAAGGGGTTAATGAGTGTGGGAAAAGGGCTTAAAAGATCTGCAATAAGTTTATAAAATGGTGGAGGAGGCTTGAATGGCTGAAAGGCTTTTCCTGTTGCTTCCTGACACAACAGGGCAAAGTTTTTCAGTGGCTGAAGCTGTCTACCTTGTAGAGGGCTGCACACCTCTCGTGCTCTGCACTGTGGAGAGCTCGCCACCGAAAACACAGCTTCCCATGCAAGCACTGCAAGCGCCGGATATCCACCCAAGCCCGACTCCGAGTCACTGCTTCCTCTGCCAGGTCGAGGGCATCAGCTCTCCTGCACTGAAAGACACAGCGGGAGTTAGGAAACAGCAGTGGGATGATAGACTCTAACCACGTATGTGATCCGCCTGACAGAGCCACTAACATGCAAGGCACGGAGTCTAGCTCAGAAGCGGGACAGTTCAGATTAAATAATATGGAGCAGGAAAGGAGAATAAGATCAGCAAATACATCAGGGAGCTGGATAGATGCTTGAGGAGATAAATGATTGAGAAATACAAGAAAGAAATATCAGTCATCAGGAAAGCACAGTTAGTAAAATAGTTCTAGGCACCTGAAGGCAATGTCACAGATGTGCATGGAAGAATAATACAGGCTGACAGCCAGTGTCACAGTGGGTAGATAAAGAAAAGGGTAAAGCCGCTCCTGTTTTGTGTTGGCAGAAGATATACAATAGCCAATTACGTACAACAGTGTCCCACAAATAGTCGTGGATTGAATAAGCAAATTATTATTACTAATTTTTGTAAGGGATTATTACCCTTGGAAAAGTGATCCACCAATCGACTAACAACAACAAAATTATATTTGTATAGCGCCTTTCACGTCAGGAGGATGTCCCAAAACAACCGGGTTCCTATTTACTGCTAAGTAAACAGAGGCAAGTGGAGTAAGGAAACTTGCCCAACATTTCATCCTGTCGGGAATCAAACCCAGTTTCTGAGCTCACTGAGGTCTCTATCTGTGAGGAGCACTAAAAAATCACTGAGCTGCAGCAATTATCAGATAACATTGAGCAATGCATCTAGCAATACAAGACCCTGGTCTGCTCCTCTGGTAGCACAGATGTGTCTGGTCCTGAGCAGTTCTGGTTCTTCTCTGCTCCTGAAACCCTTCCAACGTACAACCTTTGGCTTTTAAGTGTTTGGACACTTTTGTGTTTAAGAGGTATTCTTACAGTGCAGAGAGACGTCTCATCCCCCAAACGCAGTCTATGGACATTCATCAGCTGCTTCAGTAGGTTTATCTTCTGCAGAAGCCAGGAGAAGGCCAGAAGCAGCTCCCGGCTGCCCGCACTGCCATCAGCAGGGAGACAATACAAATCCCTCAGTCCGTAGCCATAGTGTGCGAGCGCTGCCTTTACGTATTCAACCTGGTCAACTATGGCAGGTAGGGAGAAAGAAATAGAGAATGTTTCAGAAAAGGACGATCAAAAGCCATTTACTTTATGATGACTGTTTATTTCATTGGCAGCCTGGCTCAGTCACTCACCCTCTTGTCTCTAGGTCACATTGTTGGCAATTCAAATCTTTTTTTGCTTGAGACATTAAACCGAGTGTCATCTGCTTGTTTAAGTGGACATTAAATAAAACACAGCACTATTAGAATAACCAAGATAAATTGATCATTCACTTCATGCCTGTAGCTCAGTGGTTAGAGCACTCGCTTTGCAAGTGAGAGACCTGAGTTCAATTCCAGGCAGAGGGCGAAACCTTGGGCAAGTTTCCTTACTCCACACAGAGCCTAATAATAATCCCTCCAAAAAAAATAATTAAATTGGTCATTTTCAATCTACGACTGTTTGTGGGACATTGCTGTGCGCAATTGGCTGCCGCGTTCGCCCACAAATATACAATCAATTCACTTTACAGTGTGTTCTGTGAAGCGCTTTGGGACGTCCTCCCGACGTGAAAAGCGCTATATCAAATGCAAGGATTATTATTATTATTATTATGCCTGTTTGTGGGACCTTTCTGCACATGTGCTGCTTTGTCTACACAAACAGTCACTACATGTAACAATCCCTGTGAAGTGTTCTAATAGACGCTACCTCAAATATAAAGTTAATATATTATAAGGTTTGTCAAGCTTTTCTCTCTTGAGGTAAGATGATTGAGAGGGGACTTGATAGAGGTGTTGAAAATCATGAAAGAATTTGATAATGTGAACATTAGGCTGTTTCCACTTCTAGACAAGTCCATAACAAGGGAACATATATATGATAGCCAGTACTAGACAGTTAGGAGCTACATCTTCATACAGAGGGTGGTGAAAATGCAGAAATCACTATTGGAGTGTAGGAAGCTGTAGTTCAGCAAAAAACATCAGTGTATTTACTATCAAAACTGATGTAGGGGAGGAGGACAGAGCTCCTGTGCAGTATAAACACCAGCAGACCATGTGTGCTGAATGGCCTGTTTCTGTGCTGATCAGTCTATGTAATTCTATGACAACTGTTGAACCGAATATGTGGCTTTAATCTCCTCTCTCTCTCCTCCTTACCGTGCAGGGCCCACAGTCAACAATGAATTTCAACCATATGCTAATGGTGTTGCCTGCATTGCTCTCACCTTTGCCTCTGTCCATTGGTTGAACCCAGTACGGAATCCCATATCATACCTGTTTTTTTGTTGACAAACAGCTAAACCAAAGTCCCATAGTCTTAAGGTAAAAGTCCAATTTATCTGGAGGATTGTTGGCTTTGACATCAAGGAAGGAGGAGAAACTCCCTTCTTTTTTCATTAGTCACGAGGGATCTTCAGCCTCAAGTGCAGGCGGGCATGAGTTTTAGTGTCTCATTCAGTACTGCACTGAAATGCCAGCCTGGACTATCAGCTCAAAATCACCCATGGCTGAACCCACAACCTTCCACCTGAAGGTGAGAATGTTACTATCTGAGCCAGTCTGACATCTTACAAACTGTTGCTCTACATCATAAACTGAGAGAAACTCGCACAAATAGTTTTCTTGCACATCTATACAAACGTTGTACCCATAGGTGGCGTATCCACACGGCTCATGTCCTCACAAACTTGTCTGAGAAGGCAATACAGCATCTTCCAAAACTCGGCGGCCTGGAAAACATTAAACAATTGTGTCAAAGAAGCATTAAGGACACAACTGTGATCCGTGAGCCGGCCTACAACCGGACGGTCAGACTCGGTTACAACCGTGGTTTGGAACCATAACCTTCTGCCTCAAGCGCGCTCTCAACTGAGCCAGAATGGCACCCAAAACAATTTAACAATTCAATAACTTTTCCCACCTCAAGGTATGCTTCCCAGCCAAGATAAAACACAACACACCCGACTACCCGTCCCACAGCAGCAGGTGGGTCTCAGCACTATCTGCCTCACTCTCCGGAACTCATCCCGTAATCCCTCCGACTCGCTCGCTCCCTCGTTCAAGATCTCATAACCTTCCTTTGACCACACATTTGGTTAGCTCCCCCCCACGCCCCCCGCAAGCTCAGGTGCCCATCCAGCAGTGTGGAGACATCCTCTGGATAAATATAATCCATTTGGTATGTGCAGATGACATACATACACACACACACATACATACACACACACATACATACACACACACACATACATACATACACACACATACATACAGGGTGACCAAAAAGTCTGATCTCTCAGCGACCCCTATTATCTAACAAAAAGATTCTTTACGACTTATATTAGACATTGTGATGGCATCGTGACTTTTTTTAGGCACTCTGTACACTATGTGGAGCTGTCAGTCTGGGCCGGACACTGTGGGTTAGACCCCAAGCACTTGTCAGTGTGGCTCTGCTGAGCGCTGCGGGGGGGCTCACCACGTGCTCCCGGCCCAGCTTGGCTTGCCGGAAAAGCTCGGGGGTGAGCGTGGCCAGTCCCGGGCCCAGACTGGCCACAACTCTACACAGAGCGGCAATCACCGGCCGCACCTTCATCACCTACACCCGCCTTCTCCCGGTAACCCCCGCCCTGTCTCTCCACGGTAACCCCCGCCCTGTCTCCCCCCCGGTAACCCCCGCCCTGTCTCTCCCCCCGGTAACCCCCGCCCTGTCTCCCCGGTAACCCCCGCCCTGTCTCCCCAGTAACCCCCGCCCTGTCTCTCCCCCCCCGGTAACCCCCGCCCTGTCTCCCCCGGTAACCCCCGCCCTGTCTCCCCGGTAACCCCCGCCCTGTCTCCCCCGGTAACCCCCGCCCTGTCTCCCCGGTAACCCCCGCCCTGTCTCCCCGGTAACCCCCCGCCCTGTCTCTCCCCCCGGTAACCCCGCCCTGTCTCTCCCCCGGTAACCCCCGCCCTGTCTCCCCGGTAACCCCCGCCCTGTCTCCCCCGGTAACCCCCGCCCTGTCTCCCCGGTAACCCCCGCCCTGTCTCCCCCGGTAACCCCCGCCCTGTCTCCCCCCGGTAACCCCCGCCCTGTCTCTCCCCCGGTAACCCCCGCCCTGTCTCCCCCGGTAACCCCCGCCCTGTCTCTCCCCCCGGTAACCCCCGCCCTCTCTCCCCCCCGGTAACCCCCGCCCTCTCTCCCCGGTAACCCCCGCCCTGTGTCTCTCCCCCCGGTGACCCCCCGCTCTCTCTCTCTCTTTGGTAACGGCCGCCGTTAGAAACGTTTCAAATCCTGCGGCAGTTAAGACCAACGATCTGGAGAGAAAGGCAAGAGGAGCCGTTGCTGTGCCCCGGCACCGGCTCTCGTCCTGCCCCGCCCCACGCGGCTGGGAGGACCAGCCGCTGCCAGCGCTTGGATGAGCCTCGCCCGCGGATTGGGCGAGTTTCACGCCCATTCTGCCCGGGGGGTCGTGGGGGGGAGGGGGGAGGGGGTGATCTCAGTGCTGTCCTGTTATATTTTTTCCCCTTCGCCTCGCTCTATCCCTTGCGTCCTCCTCAAGACTCTGCTCTACGCCCGCGCCCTTTCGGTCACCCTCCTAAACCCCAACCCGACCCCCACCCCCCACCCCCGACCCCCAACCCCGACCCTGACCCCCAGCTCAGGTCTAAATGCCACCGGCCTGTACCACAGCAGCTGTGGCCCCCAAGCCCCAGAGTGTCCTCAGCAGCTATCTAGTGGTCATCTGCTAACGTCTCATCTGAAGGACAGCACCTCTGACATTAAAGCACAACCTCAGCACCTCACTGAGGTGTCATCTTAGACTACGTGATTCCAAATCCCGACATGGGGATTAATAATAATAATAATAATAATAATCCTTGCATTTGACGTAGCACATCGTTGATACATCTCAAAGCACTTGATAGAATATATAATGGATTGACTGTGTATTTTGCGGGCAATTGCACACAGTAGTGTCCTACACACAGTCATGGCAATCCGTCAATCGACTTTAACAGCCTGGTTCCTACTTAGTGCTAGGTAAAAAAAGAGCTGTGTGAAATAAATAAAAAAAATTGTCTAAGGTGGGAATCAAACCCGAGTCCTCTCGATTGTGAGCCGAGCGCACTAACCACTATGCCACGGGACTCCATTAGCTGGGGACTCGTTGGTCAGGACTCCAGGAGAAATCTCTTTTCGTGAATAGTGTTATTGGATCTTTTACATCTCCCCGAATAGACTGACAGAACTTTGATTTAATGTCTCATCCAAAGCACGGCACCATCAATAATGCAGCACAAAGATAAAGAAAAATAAAGAAAATGTAGACAGATGCATATCTCAAATGGCTTTCATTTATTTGTGTATTCTGGATTTCACAAACCACCATTGAGAAAGCACTTTTTTTTTTACAAAACCTTGCACAGGCAGCAACACGAACAGCACAATAAATTGAAAACCGCTTCAGATGTGCTTAAACCTTCGGACTCAGAGACGAGAGCACTACCACCGAGCCAAGATCACACCAGCTGCTGCAGCCCAGATAAACATGGGTTTGCGACAGGTCAGAGGAGAGAACATCAGTGGGTCTGGAACTAGAGCAGAAGCGGAAAAGTAGATTTGGTTGTTATGATGTCTAGCAGGGAAACACGGGCCATAAAAGTACAAATTGGATCAAACTGTAGCTGAGTGGTTAGAGCACTCGCCTCTCAAGCAAGAGAACCTGGCTCTGATTCCTGGGTAGGGCCAAACATTGAGCAAGTTTCCTCACTCCACGCGCCTTTGTTTGCCCAGCAGTAAGCAGGAACCCTGTCGGGTCAATTGGCGGATCGCTTTTCTGGGGGCAATAATCCCTTAAAAACTTTTTTTAAAATAAGATAATAATTCGGTCACTCGATCCGCAACAGTTTGCGCAGACACTTGGCCCGCAAAGCACGGAGTTGCTTGGCCTTTGCGGCGTCTTCTTCGAAGCGCTTTGAGATGATGAGCAACTGCTTGTATTATTATTATTATTATTATTATTATTATTATTGCCGAACACAACACAGAGGAGGAACCCAGCCAACCCGAAGACTGCCGCAACCTTGCGGTCAACGAAAGAAAGTCGGGGCCCCAATATTCCAAGACACAAGCGAAATTGCCTCGCGTCTTCCTTCCCAAGTTGATGCAGTGTGAATGTGATTGACGCCCGGGGGTGGGGTAGGGCGGGGGGGGGGGGGGGTGAGGGGGAGGGATGGCTGGGAAAGTCCTCAAGGAGGCGCCTGCATCACATCACATTCACATCCACATCACATCCCGGGCGTCACCTTGGAAAGAAGAACGAGTCGGAAACGCGGGCCATTTGATGCGGTGCCATTTAAACAGGTCGTCAATAACACTGCTCCTGCCTTCTCCCTCATCTTCACCTTCTCCTTCTCCCTCTCCTCCTTCTTCTCCTCCTTCTCCCTCTCCTCCTTCTCCGTCTTCTCCTGCTTCTCCCTCTCCTCCTTCTCCCTCTCCTCCTTCTCCTCCTCCTTTTCTTCTCCTCCTTCTCCCTCTCCTCTTTCTTCTTTTCCTCCTTCTCCCTCTCCTCTTTCTCCTCCTTCTCCCTCTCCTCCTTCTTCTCCCTCTCCTCCTTCTTCTCCCTCTCCTCCTTCTCCCTCTCCTCCTTCTCCCTCTCCTCCTTCTCCTCCTTCTCCCTCTCCTTCTCCCTCTTCTCCTCCTTCTCCCTCTCCTCCTTCTCTTCCTCCTTCTTCTTCTTCTCCTTCTCCCTCTCTTCCTCCTTCTCCCTCTCCTCCCCCCTCTCCTCCCCCCGACTCCCGGGGAGGTCTCTGGCGTTGTGGGAATCTTTTCTTTTTTGGGGACCTGTTAAAAGTTGCGAAGGTGTAAACGTTCACAGTGTCGCGCAGAGGTGTCGGAGTTTCCCGGTGTAACGTGCAGCTGCGACCAGGAGGGAAACTATTCTTTTCCTTTCCCCTCACAGCCCCCACTCCCACCCCCACACCCCACAACCCCCCCCCCCCCCACCCCCCACTACACACACACAAGTGAGTTGGACATCTTTCGTTCGCCTTCTTCTCCTCTGCGATTCTCTGTCGTGCTTCCCCGGAGAGGTGGGGAGGGGAGGGAGAGGGGAGGGTGGGGAGGGGGTGGTGGGGAGAGGAGGTGATGGGGAGGGTGAGGATGGGGAGGGGGTGGTGGGGAGAGGGGGTGATGGGGAGGGTGAGGATGGGGGGGGGGTGGTGGGGTGGGGAGAGGGTGATGGGAGGGTGGGAGGGGATGGGAGGGTGGGAGGGTGGTGGGGTGGGGAGGGGGGATGGGGGGGGGGGGGGGGGGTGGGGAGGGGGATGGGAGGGTGGGACGTGGTGGGGTGGGGAGAGGGGGTGATGGGGAGGGTGAGGAGGTTGGTGGGGTGGGGAGAGGGGGAGATGGAGAGGTTGGTGCGGTGGGGTGGGGAGAGGGGCTGATGTGGAGGGTGGAGAGGGGGTGGTGGGGAGGGCGGGTGGGGAGGGAGAGGGGAGAGTGGGGAGGGAGAGGGGGTGTGGGGTGTGGGATATGTCTTGCTCCCGAGACGAGACCTTTCCCCTCCTCTCAGAAGTTGTAACTCGGAGCTTCACAGCAAAACCACGTCCTGATAAACCTCCACGAATTAGTGTAGTTTATGGTGTATTCTGTGAAGCGCTTTGAGACGCCTCGAAGACGTGACAAGGTGTTATATCAAATGCAAGGATTCTCCTTCTTCTTCGAAGTGTAACCTTATTCCCAAACCCCTTCCCTGCTCTGAGCTGGTGGATCTGGGGCAAAGGGGTGCAACGCATACCACGATGGTATCCGTTTTTCGACACCTAAGCGCTCTGAGACGCCGTCCGGCGTGGAGGGCGCTATATAAATCCAAGTTGTTGTTGTTGTTGTTGTTGTTCTGTGCTGCCTTTGACCCAACTGTCCAGCGCCTTGGGACGTCCTCCCGACGTGAAAGGCGCTCTATAAATGGAATCTTGTTGTTGTTGTTGTTGTTTCTCAGTGCGTAAAAAAAAAAATTGATAGGAAATGCTAGTATCTCACCGAAGAATTTCGGCTGCCCCTTGAAGTATTGTGTCAGTCTGACTCAGTTGTTCGCGCTCTCTCCTGGCAGTCGTTGAGGCTTCAAGCCCCCACATTGGGACTCTTGAGCCCATACTCTAGTCTAGACTAACATTGGAGGGTTGCATTGTTTGGGGTGCCTTCCCCATGGCAAAATGGCTACCCGAAAAGGCTCGTGATGATTCAGGTAAAAGTGATGTGCCGATTCATGTGTGGGCTGATTTGCGGTGACACCTTTTTCAGATGAGACGTTAAACCCAGGCCCCATCTGCTTGTTCAGATGGGCGTCAAATACCCTAAGGGAGCGTGGTCCAACAGGCGGCCCATGGGCCGCATCTGGCCCTCCGCTGATTTTATCTGGCCCAAGGCCATTCCCAACATTCCAAATTCTGCTCCCTCCCTTCCTGATGAACATCCTCCCATGGCAGTGGCAGGATCCGGTAGTTGGGAGCATCCAGCGCGGAGAGTGGAAATAATGCTGGCTGTTACTGCAGTGTGTACTCAAGCTGAGGGGGAAGTCTGGTTATCCATTGCGTCCTTACCAACTTCCGGCTCCTGCTACTAAAGATAATGAACATGGCTGATTAGGAGAGAATGTGAGGGGTGAGGGGTGGAGAAAGAAACTTAGAGCAGGAGAAAGTGAGAGAGCAGAGCATGAGATTGATTGAAAGAGAATGTGAGAGGGTATGAGAGAGAGACAATGTGCGCGAGAGTGTACGTGAGAGGGAGAAGGGAGAGTGATTGAGAAAGAGAATGTATGAAGGAGAGGGGGAGAGAGAAACAAAAAGCATGAGACAGTGAAGAAAGAAAGGAGAAGCGAGGGCAGCATTTATTGGTTCACTGTCAGGATAGATGATTGGAGCTTCCCTCGGCCATCGCGGAGGTGGGGGGAGAGTTGGGGAGGGGGGGGTAGAGGACAAACACCGTGCAGTTTCCTCACAGGAAGCTCCCCTTTTCCCCATTCCCCCCTCCCGCCCCCTTCCCCACCCTACCTCTGTGACCTCCCGACCCGACCATTCCGTTTGCCCACCATCGACATTTTGCCCCTGTTCTCTGGTGTCTCCGGTATCGCTCCCTCCATCCCCTCTTTCAAATCACAACAAGACCTGACTCTTTGGCCATGCTTTCGATCATCTTTATCCCTCCCCATCCCACCTCCCTCGGCTCCCACCCCCAGCTCAGGTGCCCAGCCGGCAGTATCAATCGCTTTGGGACATCCTTCCGATGTGAAAAACGTGCTGTGCAAATGTTGTTATGTTTACGGAAGGGAAACCCCAAATATTGCTTCTGCAGTAAGTGGACATTTTTCAAGTAGGGAATCTGGCACACAACAGCCAAAAGCTTGGACCACCCTGCCCTATGGGACTATTTGAAAGGAGAAGGTAGTTTTTCTCTCCGAATGTCCAACAATTCCCCAAATAACATTGGTCATTCATTTCATGGCTGTTTGTGGGACATTGCTGTGTGCATTTTGCCCTAGAGACTACACAATCAGTACACTTTATAATATATCCTGGGGTATGGTGCTTTGAGACATTGTCTGTCTCTACTATAATAAGATTTATTATTACTATATTCGTTATCCTAAATCAAGCTGAAACATTAATAATTGTACACATTTATTTTTAAAAAATTACTATTAATATGGACACAAATGTTCATTTCGTTGGAGATATTTGGTGAATTATCTTGTTATGTTCTCAGAAAGATGAAAAACAGCGTTGACTTTCTTTCAGATCAGTGATTTGGTGGATATAAAAGACATTCGACAGCAGAGAGAGCAGACATTGCCATCCATCCACGGAGGGTGCCTGGACTGAGTTGGTTTGGAAGTTGAAAGGAATTCATCGGAGGTGGAGATTCAAGAGGACAACAAGAGCTTGGTTGGAAGAGGATTTCTATAACGTTTGCCAATGGGTACCACCAGCAGTGATCAAGTGCCCCGAAGGTTTAAGTTTGGCAATCACATTTTAGACATCACAGAGAATTACAGCAATGATCTGTATCTTCCAAGTATAGTCTGGAGATGTGTAAGTTCAATGCGTACAGGAGATTGCAAAGATAGATGGGATGCATGGAATTCTCGGTTTGGGTTAGAGACACTTCAGCGTGCTTCAGACACCCGCATGTTTCAGACACTTGGCTGACCAAAAAAATATATAGTTTCAAGGAATAGTTAACGTCTCCCTGAACAGGCAGACAGGATCTCTATTTAACATCTCCTCCACTGGAGTGTCAACACAGACTGTGAGCTCAAAGTCGGGAAGTGGGGTTTGAATCCACAATCTGACAAAGACTTGAGAGTGCAACCAACCAAATGGCTGACACATGGACCCAGACACCTGGGATAGGAAGTCACAGCCAGAGGCAAAGAGGCATTGGCATTAGCCAAGCAAGAGTCTTTGGGTTTGTTGACTTTCAGCAGAAGAATTGACCAGGCAGTTGGTTCAGGCTGCAGTGGTCTTGAAGTTCACATTAAGGTTGGAGAGGTGGAGATTTTGTTAAAGAAAAATAACTTTCTACTTATATTTCAAAGACCTTTCTTGATCTCTTGCCAAAGACTCCCTCCCATCCCCCACGCCCCCACCCCACCCACCCTAAAAAAGCCTAGGATTAGCTCTGAGTCAGAAAGTTGTTGGTTGCTAAATTAAACTGAGTCCTTGTCTGTCTGTTCAGGTGGACGTTAAAGATCCCATCTCCCGCTGTCCTGGGCAACAATCCCACAGATAAAATTGGTTATTTACTTCATGGCTGTTTGTGGGACATAGTCCGGTGCAAATTGGCTGCTCACCTACAAACTGTACAGTCACTACACTTAAAGATAAATCCTGTGAAGCGCTTTGAGACGTCCTCCCAACATGAAATGAGCTGTATTGAATGTAAGGATTCTGTATTATTTATTTAATCCCCTTGCCATATGGGAAGAGTGACTGCAATACTCCACCTAACCAATGTATTGAACGCATTTATCATTCCCTCTTTGCTGTTGTTCCCTATGTTTGTGACACTGATGTGTGGTATATTTCAGAGTGAATATCTCTGTGAATACATCGTGGAAGAGAACATAAACTTCACTGGAAAGAAGGTCATTGAACTGAACTCAGGCACCGGAATTGTGGGCATTTTAGCAACTCTAATGGGTGAGTTAAAAAGGACATTTTTCTAAATATATGCCAGGTGGGCCCACAGTATTGCAGGGCACTGCTGATGACAGCACAGCCAGCATGGCTCATCCGTAGGACCTAGAAGAGCAGACCAGTTACTGGGGGCAGGGAGCCATCCCACTCAGCTCCTGTTAGCCCTGCAAACCAAAGCCCTAATGGGTAGGGTGGTCCGAGATGGAAAAGCAGCGGGAAAGCTTGCCAGACAGCGATATCAATGGCAAGTGACGTGGCTTTAGCTGGTTAGTCTCCAGCAGTTACTCCAACGCACAAACCTTGGCTCTTTGCAACCTGTACGTAATACTTTCCGGAATTAGGTGAGCGGGATGCGTCCCTCCAGGGAGAGAGTGCACATTCCATTCCAACAATCTATCTCTGGGATTTCCATGTGTAGGTGGTGATGCATGGAAATCTCAGCCTTATTTGGATACTCTCAAGCATGGTGTTTCTGCATGTGTCAGACACCCCGCTGACCAATTATATATATATTATATATATAGCAGCTAAGTATACCAGCATCCTGGATTTTCAGAAGCGATAGAGACGTGGGAAAGGAAGGGATGGTGATTCCAATGATGGCAGAGGGAGAGGTGAGATAAATGTGGGTCATCCACAAGTAGGATCACTATCAATAGAAGTAAATAACCAGAGGGGTGTGAAACACCAGTGGAAGCGTTTATAGACTTTCTGAATGATAAATTGACCTGTATAATTGCGTACGTGTAAGTCAGGCAAGCCCTTAAAAGGCATATCGATAGAGCACAGAATAACAGCACACAATGTGCGGAGGATGTCTGGACAACACTGCGTTCAAGGTCAGTTCACGAAAGTCAGGAAAAAACACGGCACAGGAAAGTTACAAACAAGTGAGAAGTTTAAAGAAATAGTGAAGAAAAGTTGGGGAAAAGCCAGCAGCTATCTGCTGTACATCGTGGTCAGTGTTGGCTCTGTTAGCTTCAGGGAAGGTAAAGTGTGTCCCAACCGTGCACTGGAGCGGCAGAGAGAGTTTCTGACGCACTTGGAAACTCATCACCATGCTTGAGAGTAACCAAAGCAGACTGAGTTCCACGTGTATGGGACATGTTTCTGGTGTCTGAGCTTCCTTTAGATTTGCTGCTTTGACTGCAAATCTACATTTTTCTTATTCTTTCTTTCTGTCAGGTGGAGAAGTTACAATGACAGACCGAACAAATGCTTTAGCTCAGTTAAAAGAGAACATAGATACCAATTGTGCAAACCGTGGGACTATCCTGACTTATACCCTGGGAGACGACATCACCAACTTACCTCAGAACTTCGACTACATTCTGGGTGCCGGTGTTGTCTTTATCACAGACACCTTCTCTCTTCTGGTCGATGCCCTGAAATACCTGAGCAGCACACAGACTGTAATATTGCTCTCGACCGAAAAGTGGAAAGAGTTCGGCTTGCTGGAATTTTATGATAAAACGCTACCCCTGGATTTTCACTGCGCAACAGTTAAAACGTCGCAAGACGTGAATGTGTACAGAGCTTTGAAAAAATATTAAGATCGTTGTCGTTAGCTACTAATGAGGGAAATAAAATATTTATCATTTAACATGATTCTTGTGTGATTTCTGCATGCGTCCTTTTAAAAGCATTGTGTAGACGCATCTCCTCATTTAAATTCTTTTCATGGTTTAGACCCAGATGTAGATCTGTTGATGGTATCTATCTCATCCTTTTCTGTCGTTAAAATCTTTTGGGAAGCTTACATTTTTGACTCTTATGGCCACCTCCCAAGTCCGTAACCCAATCAGTGTCCAGCATCATCTCTGTGAAGACTTGATGTGAGAGTCACTATATGTATGCAAGTTCCTGACTCCACTCTTAACACAATAGGTGTCAGCCTGGCTCAGTGGTAGCACTCTCGCCTCTAAGCCACAAGACTGTGGGTTTGAGCTGTATATCAGGATTTGAGCTCACAGTCTGATCTGACCCTCCAATGATGGGGTTGCATTGTTGGAGGTGCAATCCTTTGGATGAGACGTTTACCCGAGGCCCCATCTGCCTATTCAGGTGAACGTTAAAGATCCCATGGTGCTATTCGGAAAGGGAAGGGAATTTCTCTTTCCCAGTTTCCTGGCCAACGATCCCCCAAATAAGATTCATGATTCACTTCATGGCTGTTCGTGGGGCATTGCTGTGTGCAAATTGGCTGCTGCATTCACTTACAAATCACACAGTCACATCTAGACAACAGCTAAGATTAGGTGCCGTATCAAATACATGTTCAGTTACACAGAATAATGAAGACTGGAAAAATTAACTGTTCTACCTTGGAATTCGATCATTTATGTCGCATTTTTTCCATGTACTTCACAAAGTATCTTAAATATCGTTTTCGAAAACGTTACTGCAAGTTTAACGTTCTCTCGTTCTTCTTGTTTTTGTTACTGTTACCATCCTGTGGGGGTCACAGAAGCACATCCTCCACGGCACAATTGCGTGTTCAGATGATAATGTAGCTTTGAATTCGCTGACACACTCAGTTTTTGTGCGTTTCCTGAACACTGTATCCAGTGCTATCTCCCGAGCTCACGTCTTCAGCTGCTCAGAGTTTGGGAGCTGTTCTGTTTGCTGTATTTGTACATTCCAGGCTGCAGCAAGTCATATTCCTTCTCAATTTACTTTTTAAAAAGATTATGGACTCTGCCTCAACAATGGCAGAGAATTTAACTTTCAAACCATCCAACCATATTTTAAACATCCTTGTGGAGTCCTGTAGCTTAGTGGTTAGAGCATTCACCTCGTAAGCCAGAGGACCTGGGTTCGATTACCAGGCAGGGCAGAACGTTAGGCAAGTTTCTTTACTCCACACGCCTCGGTTTACCTAGCAGTAAGTTGGAACACAGTTGTTAGTTGATTGGGCGTATCACTTTTCCGGGTGTTCCCTCCACTCAGTGGGCACTGACCTGCTTCATGTATCTGGCTCGGCCCACCTCGCTATCTGCCACCACCCTCTGCACCTCCGCTCATACCCTCCCTTGGCTCCTTCAAGGTCCATCTCAAGACCTTCCTCTTTGACCGCGCCTACATATATCAATGTAAATTGGGTATTGTTGTTGAGATCTTGATGCAGTGACAAGCTGAGTACATTCCCATGCTGTGTACTGTGTGCTGTGTGTTGTGTGCTGTACTCTGTGTGTTGTGTGCTGTATGTTGTGTGCTGTATGCTGTATACTGTGTGTTGTGTGCTGTACTCTGTGTGTTGTGTGCTGTACTCTGTGTGCTGTATGCTGTGTGCTGTATGCTGTGTGCTGCGTGTTGTGTGCTGTATGCTTAATGCAGGCAGCAAGGGACAGTTATGATCAATGCTTAATGTTTCTTAAGTTTGACATATTTGTGCAGTATTTTCAACTCTCACTGCTCTCCGACTGCTCTGTCATTTTGATGGCGGTTGTTGGATCTCCCGCACAGCACCCTCCCCCTCACCTCCCACCTCCCACCAGGGACTCCCAGCCCCTGCAGATCTCCTGTGCTGAGTTATTTTCCACGCTCCAGAGCACTGTTGCTGCCCCTGCTCCAGTGCGACACGAGGGGAGAGATTCCACAATGACTTGTTCATTAGAATCTTAATCCACTCAACATCTCAACAGCAACAAATTCCATCTATACAGTGTCTTTTCCATTGGGAGGACATCCCAAAGTGCTGGACAGTTGAGGGTTGGATTCAGGAGGGGTGGGGCCAAGGGGTGGTGAAGGTGGGAGGATGACTGAAGGCATAATTGAAGAGGAAGGGCTTGAGACGAGCCTTGGAGGAAGCAAGGGAGGGGGCGAGGTGAAAATACTCCAGCATGGAGTGTAAGAGGTGGGGGCAGAGAGGCTGAAGGCTCAACTGCTGATGGTGGGACGGGCAGTGCGGGGGACATGGAGCAGGCCAGAGTCTCCCAAGCAGAGGGTGCAGACGGGTTGGTTAGGTTTCAGCAGGTCCCAGAGGTAGGGTGGGGCAAGACCATGGAGTGATTTAAAGGTGAGGATGAGATCCTTAAACTGGGAGATGGGGAGTCAGTGGAACCGGGCGAGGATGGGGGTGATAGGCTCATGGAGCCTGGTGTGGGCAAGGATACGAGCTGGATGGTCTGCGGCTTGTGGAGGGAAGAGTTGGGACGTTCAATGAGCAGAGAGTTGGGGTAGTCTAGCCTAAGCTTGATAAAAGCATGGGTATGGGTCTCAGCGGCCTGAGGGGAAAGGGAGTAGCGGAAGCGGGCAATGTTGTGGAAGTGGGGGAAGTTGAATGGGTCGAGGCACAGAAATGGGATTTAAAGGACAGTTGAGAGTCAAACATGATTTCAGAGTAAACTCCTACGAAACATTTTGCGGTGTCTTGATGACATGATAAAACGCTATATCAGACGAAAGGATTCTTATTATCATCCGCTTATTGACTGTAATAAGCTGCTGAAACGGTTGTGAGAGTGAAGAGAAGGTAGCTGAGGCCAAGATAGATGGCTGAGCTGCGGGAGCTCTGCCTAGAGCACAGTGAGTGTCAGTGGAAACTGATGTCTTGAACCGTTTGCGTGAGCTCAAACCATCATCAACTGGTATCATTGCAGTACTTGGATCTATATTTCCATCGTATACACATATTATTACACACACACAGAATAAAAGCAGGTTTGGTTGCAATCAAGGTTGATTTTATTTTGAAAAGAAGTTGACAACGCTGCTTTTAAAATTACAAATTGCCATTGGGAGCAGAGGCATAAAGTATGTCAGCCTGGCTCAGTGTTCGCACTCTCACGTTGGAATCAGAAGGTTGTGGGTTCAAGCCCCAAGCTGATGCTCCAACGCTGGGGTGTGTTGTACTGTCGGAGGTGTTGTCCTTCAGATGAGACATTAAACCGAGGTCCCGTCTGGTAGCTGTTCCGAGAGGTAGCTGGTAGGATTCGATAGAATACATACTGCATCATCTGAAAAGCTTTCAGAAAGAGGACAATACTTTGTCTGAATTAGCTCTGATTAAGGGGCCATATTCATCTCTGGACACATCCGGAAGCAGGTGAGCAAAATGCACCTCTCCTGGCAGAGAGCGTGGGTTACATTCCAAACACGTGTACGTGCCATTATTATTATAATATTATTATAATATTATTATTATAATAATACCCATTATGTGGCTGACCAAAGTTAGTGACGAAAGCAACACATTCTGTGCAAATCTGCGGGTCAATATAACTGAGATCCTGGAACTTCAAGTTCAGTCAAAGGCTTGTTTTAAGTGCTCCGAGCTACCGTCCGATTATAAACACAAGTTGTTGTTGTTGTTTGAATTAACTCTGTAGCTACTGTACCAGCTGCTTGGTTGTGGAGCACCAACAAACTAGTGTTTTCGGATGTTTGCACATCACTGAGTTTTACATCAGAAAAAGGCCCACTGAGACATTTACCAATTAACTCCCCCTTTGAAAGGATCAATTTAAGTGTTTGTACGCTCTTCCCCTTTTTCTCTCACACTGCCTCCACTTCATCTCCGCAAACAGGTTTCTTCTCTAGCCCCCACACCAAGGAGGCCTGTAGCTCAGTGGTTAGAGCACTCGCTTTGCAAGCGAGAGACCTGAGTTCAATTCCAGGCAGGTCAGGGCGAAACCTTGGGCAAGTTTCCTTACTCCACACAGAGCCTAATAATAATCCCTCCAAAAACCAAAAACAATAATAAATTGGTCATTTTCAATCTATGACTGTTTGTGGGACATTGCTGTGCGCAATTGGCTGCCGCGTTCGCCCACAAATATACAGTCAATTCACTTTACAGTGTGTTCTGTGAAGCGCTTTGGGACGTCCTCCCGACGTGAAAAGCGCTATATCAAATGCAAGGATTATTATTATTATTATTGTGCAGCGTTCCTCAGAGCTCTGTCCTTGGTCTCCTCCTCTTCAATATCTATATGCTCCTCTTGGTGACATCATCCACAGACATGCGGATCCACATCTATGCGGATGACACCCAACTGTACCTCTCTGCCTCTACCCTTAACTCCAGGACCACTGCTGTGCTGACAGAATGTCTGTCAGATATCAAGTCCTGGATGTGAGTCAACTTTCTTCAGTTGAACGTCAACAAGACCGAGGCTCTCTTCATTGGCTCCCGTCAGCGCCTCCACACCTCAGGCGTTGACAGCATCACCATCCGTGGTTGCACACTCCACCTTTCTAAGCCAGTCCGGAACCTTGGGGTCTTGTTTGACCCTCAACTATCCTTTCCAACCCACATCCGTGCCAAGACCCGCTCTGCCTTCCCCACCTCCGCAACATCGCCCGGCTCCGCCATTGTCTCACACCGCAGGCGTCCGAAACCCTCATACACGTTTTTCTTACATCGAGGCTTGACTATACAAACTCACTGTTTGTCGGCCTCCCCAACTCCTCCCTCCATAGGCTGCAGATCATCCAGAACTCCACAGTCCGTGTCCTCTCCCGCATCAGGCTCGGTGACCCTATCACCCCACTCTGCCCCCACCCTCTGGAACTCCATCCCACAGTCCCTCCACCTCGTTCCCTCCCTTGCTGCCTCTTCAACCATGCTTTTGATCACTCTCCTTCACCGCCTGCCCTCTATTCTCCCCAATCCCGACCCCCAGCTCTGGTCCGAAACTCTGACTGTCCAGTGCCTTGGGATGTCCCCCCAACATGAAAGGAGCTATACAAATGTAATTTTGTTGTTATTGTTGTTGCAGTCATAGTCGTTCTAACACCTAATTTGTGGTCCCCAATGCTCAATTTCCTTTAATGCTTTAGCTTTAAACTATTTGGTATTCAAATTTAAGATCTTTGAGAATTGTGCAAAGTTTGGAAGCGTGTCTGTTTTAAGCGGAAAATCTGCTCAAAACTGCACTGACGAATTTCCATATTCCCATGTGAACGTAATAGAATAGAAAATTCAATAGAAAATGGCCCCAGAGACCAATATGATTTGAAATCTTAGGCTTTAGATTCCTTGTTCTTATCTCCAGGATCTGGACAACGTTTGGTTATTTTGAACACGTTGATATATTTGTCTGAGCTTCTGGAAACCACTTCACAATCAAAATACTGGGTTATAAGGTCATTATAAAACCGGTCAACTCCAAGCTCATGCATTATATTTGAAGAGAGGTAAATGACAGTGTTTTCATTGCTGAGATCTTGCAATGTCTGTATTAGTGAGGGGTAGCCACATTCCAGATAAACAATGTCTGAGCCCAGGATGATATCATAGTCATTCGGGAAGAACTTCTGGTCTTCCCCCCATAACAGTGCATGGACCTTTGTACGGTGTAACTCAGCAGGTGGGATGTTAGCGGACACGTTGTCTTTGATTTGATTCAGGACGAGTGGCAGGTCTGTCAACGTCACATCTCCACCTGGCAAAACATCAGTTTGAAGAGTTTACTGAAGTCTTATTTCTCAATAGGTAACAGTTACCTATTAAGTAATTCTTTGTTACAAGCAGTAATTCGAAATGACAGTGGGGCGGAGGGTGCCAGTGATGAGCAGGAGGCCGGTGCCAGTTGAGTGGAGGCGCCGAGTGGTGGATTGGGGAGTGAGGAGGTCGGAGAGGTAGGGAGTGAATGGATTTGAACACAAGTGTGAGGAACTTGAAGTCGATCCGTTCGGTGATGGGGAGCCAGTGGAACCTGGGCCAGAACTGGTGAGATGTGGGTTGCAGAGTTTGGTCCGAACCGGACACATAGATTGTGCAGATTCTCGCCTCTGAGTCAGAAGTTTGTGGGTTTAAGCCCCACATCGGGACTATGAACTCACAGTCAAGGCTAACACTCCATCACAGTGTTGGGGGAGCGCTTCTTGGTTGGTGGCAGTGAAAGTGAAAGTCGCTATATTAAGAAGTTGGTATCTTTTAGGGATAAAAGTTGAGAATAGTAAGAATTCAACGGAGGAATACTTTGGAGAGACAGAGAAACTCCAGTGCTATTCCTCTATAATTTGGAGTTTAATCTCAGTAATATTGTCCACCATCACGTATACATGTCACACACATGTCAAACAAGCCTGCTGTTTTGCTCTTTCACGTCATTCGATGGAATCGTCTTTTAACTCACCTAACAGGACTGCTAGTATTCCAACAAGCCCAGTGCCAGAACCCAATTCAATCACCTTCTTCCCAGTGAATGTGATTTTCATACTCTCAAAGTATTGGCAAAGGAAGCGAGCCTGAAAGACATCAGTCATTGACATTATCCATCACCCTAAGTGGATAATACCCACAGTACAATTATATTTATACAGTACCTTTCATATCAGCATGATGTCCCAAAGCACTTGACCTGCACAATTAAGATACGGTGGGGCCATGGGGGTGGGGAGGGGAAAAATTAATTAAAAACACAGTCTCTGGTTGACTGTGAGTGGGACTTTGAGCTGATCCAGTCAGTATTGGGGGGGGACTGCTACTTTGTTGGAGACAACAACAACAACAAAAAGATTACTTTTGTATAGCGCCTTTCATGTCGGGAGGACGTCCCAAGGCGCTGGACAGGGTACAGCATTTCAGACCCGACCTGGAGATGTTTGTTGGAAGACACAAAGATCCCGTCTGCCTTTCAGGTGGTCAGTAATAATCCCATGACATTTATTGCAAACTAGTGCCTGGCCAATAATCCTCCAGAGAGCAGGGTCACTCCCTTTGTGGTTGTGTGTAACGGTGATAAGGTTGGTAGGACCTCTCTGTGACCCGCGGTGTTAGATCCAAGCTCTTCCGCTTGGGGTCTTAACAGCAAAGCGCACAACTGGCCATATGGTATTTGGGCACCTCGAGACACTGCCTGTGTGAAGTGCGCTGTATAAAGGCATGTTATTGTTGTCTTTGCCTATAAATACACACTTGGCAGTAATTTCTTGGTGGGCATGTTCCACCATTGGTGGTCAGGTCTTCAGCTTTTCTGCCCCCACCCTCTGGAACTCCATCCCGGAGCCCCTCTGCCTTGCCAACTCCCTTGCTTTCTTCAAGGCCAATCTCAGGACCTTCCACTTTAACCACGCCTTTGGTCATCCTCCCATCCCCATCCCCCTAGCCTCCACCCTCTTGAAATGATCCCCCAGTTCGGGTACAAACCCTTCACTGTCCAGCACCTTGGAGCGTCCTCCCAATGTGAAAGGCGCTATCTAAACACCTGTGTTGTTGTTGTTGTTGTTGTCTTTGCTCCCACAGAAGAAACAAGCTAACTAACTGAGTGGCGGTATGATTTCCCTGTGTGAGAAGATGTAGTTGTAGAGAGCGTGTGGACTTACCGCTTCCCAGACTGCACTGGCCACACCAATGCCAGCACCAAAGTCTCGAGTGATGTTCAACGCGTAGCCACAATAATGATAGACACTGGTTAGCTTGTCTGGCAGCGAGTCGGGACCCTCATCCTGAGGATGTGAGGTGCAGGATGGAGCATCTTTCTGTTGGGATGTCGTCATCTTCTCCAACCCTCGCCGGTAAATTCCACCACTGACACCTCTGCAGTTATTAGCCAGCAGTTAGCCTTCCAGCCACCAGGAGCAGCGCTAGCTTCAAACACACAATTATATCCACATCTGCCCATGGTGCTGAACACAGGGGTGATCCTGACAGGTTCAGACAGGTTATCGGAGTGGATATGTTGGTGAAACGCTCGTGCGTCAGCCTGGCACTGTGGTAGCGCTCTTGCCTCTGAGTTAAAAGGTCGTGGGTTCAAGACCCATGTCAGGACTGGAATTCACACAGTCTAATCTGACACTCCAATGCAGTGCTGGGGTGGTATTGCATTGTCGGAAGCATCCACCTTTGGATGAGACATTAAACTGAGGCTGTTCTGTTCAGTTTGATGTTAAAGATCCCACGGCACTACACGAAAAGGGAAGGGAGTTTCCTGGCCAACAATCCCCCTGAATAAAATTGGTCATTCACTCCTTGGCTGTTTATGCCCAATTGTGTTGCCATGTTTGCCCTCAGATACAGCCACTATACTTTACAGTGTATTCCTGGAAGCACTTCGAGATGTCAAAGACACGATAAGGCACTATATCAAAGATTATTATCAGTAGTATTATATACTGTCGTGGAGTGTCTGTGTATTTTGTGGGTGAAATGCTACTTTCTCATTTATCAAGCATTTACTTGTTGGAAATTAACCTTGGAAACTTTTCCCCGCTAATTAATGTTAGCTTTCACCGAAACGGTTTTAAAAAGTAACTTTACATTTTCAAGTGCCCTGGGACCCTACCCCGCGTGAAGGGCGCTGTATAAATGTACGTTTTGTTGTTGTTGTTGTCACAAACACGGATCTGGCTTCAGGGCTGTGTGCCTGCTGTCCGCAGGTTTAGATGTGACTGTAAGCGGGGTCTCTGGGCTGGGGGGAGGCAGGAGCTGCAGTGATGGGGTTGAGGATGAAATGTAATGAAAGGTATGTGGGCACAGGGCTGCGAGAGAGAGGCAGCCCCCAAGTCTCTCCCGGGGCTCAGACACTGGATGAACAAGGCAGAGACAGCAGTAAACTGGCAGTGGGTGGACGGGCAGCTAAGCCAGAGAGAGAAGATCAGGCTAGATTCCCAGGCTGGGAGACAGAACTCTTGAGCGGCGGCAGCCTGGGGAGTGCGAGGGAGAGCAATGAACCAAAGATGGGAAACTCACTGTGAACTGCTGAGATGCTGGTGTCTGGCGATGGCTGTTGGCTATTGGCTGGTGTCTGGACCTCTCTCTCTCTCTCTCTCAGTGAAACTCAGCTACACTCACCCACAGTTACGCCACCACCTTTAACTGGTTTCACATCTCGCAAGAATTTAGCAACAGGGAATTAAATCCACCCCCAGCTCCCAACCCACAGCAGCACGTGTTAGATATACTTATTTTACTACAGAGGGATTCCTCTCCCCCCCCCCCCCCGCCTCCACCCTCCCCATATACACACACACATAACCTGAAAGGGAAAAAACACCACATTCCTTTGAAATATTGAAAAATCTCCAATTGAACTCAACATAGACGGGACCTACCTAACGACAGTGAATCAATCTATGTTTAGTTGAGGTGTCTGTGAGTTTAGCCTGAAGGAGGTGTTTCCTGCATTATAAACGGTCCCTCTGGTTCCCCAGCAGGGATGTCCCGAGTGGTGACAGACACTTACTGCTTGTGTATTTTCAAACTTTCTTCATGTTTCGTACTTTCTCAATGACAAAATGTCATCTCAATGGAGCTCTAAGCTGATCCCAGGCATTGTTCATTCTTACCCACATAGGGACACTTTATAGTAGCGCTCTTGCCTCTGAGTCAGAAGGTTGTGGGTTCAAGCCCCATGGAAACACATAGTCTAAGTTGACACTCCAATGCAGACAGGGGTTGTTGCATTGTCTTTCAGATGAGATGTTAAACTCTTTAAGTGCTCTGGGACACTACCTCTGATGAAGGGAGCTTTGTAAATGCAAGTTGTTGTAAACTGAGGTCCACTCTGCCTTTTCAGGTGGACGTTAAAGATCCTATGGCTCTATTCGAAAAGAGACTCTCCTGGGCAACGACCCCCAAATTAAATTAGTCACTCACTCTATGGGTGTTTGAGGACATTGCTGTGTGCAAACTGACTACCGCGTTTTGCCCACAAACTACAGTCACTCCACTTTACAGTATATCTGTGAAGCGCTGTGAGACGTCTCAATGACATGATAAGGTGCTATATTAAATGCAAGGATTATTTTTAATATGATTATTTTTATTATTTGCTCGCTAGATAGACACTTTATGCCGTCATTCAATTGACGAAACCTGCTTAATAAATGTGTTAATGTTACTGAAAGCTCAGATATTCTCACCTCCGCCTGCTTCAACTCAAATTACTGCAGTTTCACCCATGAATATTTTTGATACTTGTGATACTCAAACAATTGAAAAGCTGTTACCCACTGCGCTGAGGCAGATAATACCAGAGCCATGTTGAACCACTGTTTTTGTGTTTGCTAAAAAGATAAAACTATACTTGATGTTTGACTGGGTTAATGGGGTAATCTCCACTTTATAAACTATGTGTAAATTGGATAGATAATACACTGCAGTAATGACAACCTTCAAAGTAAGTGCTAGAAACACACATGCTCAGAAGGTTTTGATTCCGCAGAGGATGGCAGTGCATAAAACATTTACAATTAATGGTGGTTAAAACTGTATTTAAAAGAAAACATAATAATAATCCTTGCAATTGATATAGCACCTAATCACGTTGTTGAGATGTCTCAAGGTGTTTCACAGAATATATTGTAAAGTGAATTGACTGTGTATCTTGTGGGCTCAGCTAATTGCCCACACGCTGTGTCCCACAAACTGTCATGGATTGAGTGACCACATTTTTTGGGGGAGAAATTATTACCCCCGAAAGGCAATCTGCCAATCAACGGACAATTGGGTTCCTATTTACTGCTTGGTAAACTGAGGCATGCAACTTTAAAAGGCATGGGGAAAGAGCAGGGGAAATGATTTAGAGAAAATAACTTCAATGAGGAAAGTGTGGTAGCTAGAACAAGCACAAACACAACAGGAAAAGAGCATGGACTGCGGTTAGGTAATCCTATATAATATATATATATAAAATCCTTGCAGGCATCCAAACATCTGAAAGGAAGTCACAGAGTTTTTCTAGAAAGTGAGGTGACTGTATTTATATGTGGACTTCAGTACAGCAATGTCCCCCACACAGCCATGAAGTCAATGACCACTGTTCTCTTGTACAATAAACTCAGAATGTCCTGCTCTTCCCTGTGGCAGAGTTAGTCATTTCAGGGTGTTGAGATAGGAGGAGGGACAGTACGAGATGGAGAGCTGAACATGCAGAACGACATGTTGGAACAATAGAGGCATTTATATTAGAACCTGTTAACATGTTTTATACGGAAAACAGCTAGAACATAATATCCCTCAGATAATACATTTGTGTACTGTGAAACAGTTCTGGAACATAACATCCCAAATACCCAACTCACAATTTTCTCACCCAGACTAAGAGTGCCCTGTTCCTGTGTGTATGTTGGATTGGGGCGTCAATCTGGGACAATGCGCAATTGGCTGCCATGTTTCGCCCACAAAGTACACAGTCAATTCAGTTTACAGTATATCCTGTGAAGCGCTTTAAGATGTCTTGAAGACGTGATAAGGCGCTATATCAAATGCAAGTATTATTATTATTTTTATAAGACAGAATGCCCGGTCACAGTAGATATTGGAGTGTGACCACTGATTGGGATGATTTTTTGTACCAATTGAAAAACTCCAATTTATCAAATCACTTTTTATATGTATAATTCTTTGATTTACGTGATTATGCGAATGAAGACCCACTCCCCCACTCTCTCCCCACAGCCCTGCAAACTTGTCCTCCCCAAATAATTATCTACTTCCCTCTTAAAAGTTGTTATTGAATCGGCTTCCACCAGTCTTTCAGGCAATGCATTCCAGATCCGAATAACTCGCTGTGTGAAAAAATTTCTCCTCACCTCCCCTCTGTTTCTTTTAACAACTATTTTGAATCGGTGTCTTCGGGTTACCAACCCACCCACCAGTGGAAATATTTTCTCCTCGTTCACCCTATCGAATCCCTTCATAATTTTGAAAACTTCCATGAAGTCTCTTCTTAACCTTCTCCACTCTAAGAAGAATAATCCTAATTTTGTTAAACCCAGAAGTGGTTTAACAAACCAAGTAATGTTTGTCCAAGTTACTGTGACCTTCTCAAAAACGTCAGAGTCATTTAACAGGAAAAGTGATGAGGGCATTTTTGATGCGAGTTGGGCTGCCTCACTAAGTGAATGAAAAATATTTCAACTAAAGCTTCAATTGCACAGGAAACAATTGTAGTGTTGTGCGAAACATTCTGCACAAATCGGTCTAACTCATATTATATAAAAGGCTGCACGCAATTTGAGACGTTGACTGAAATTGATCAGTGTTAGTGCTGATCAGCAAAGCTATCTAAGACTTATGGGCAACTGGATTGCGACAGCCAGAGTCTATAGGCTGGTTGCACTAACAACAACAGCAAAAACAACTTGCATTTTTTATAGCGCCCCTCAGTCAGGGTAGCGTCCCAGAGCACTTTAACTAACCAGACACAGGGTGTAGAATATAGATCAGGACAGAGAGGATGTCATTGCATGTTGCAGTGCAAAGATAAACTCAATGATAAAAATAATGATAATAATAATCCTTACACTTGATACATCTCCTTATCAGATCAAGTTAATGGAGGGTTATTGGAGTTATTGGAGCATTGGCATTTTCCCCAAGTAAATGATTTCAACCCTGAGCTTGTTCACAGAGTGAAGCATAAAGACATCAATGTGCACAAGCTAACCAAACTATACACAGAGAGTGAAAGCCGCCTTTCTGTTTGGTCAGGGAGATTCACCTCTCACTTAAATTAGCTCTTGAATTTGCGACATATTCAAATAAAGCAGTTCTG